CTGAGGCCCTAAGCCTAAAAAGGACATTAATTTAGAGAAATACCCAAACAACATTTACACAGAAAATTTTGGGTTAAGGGGTTTAGGGTTCACGGCATCTGCCAACAACACCGCTTTCACCCTCACCCTGACCAGAATCATCCTAGTCCTGATCCTCATCCCCATGTCAACACCACCCATCATTTCCCACACACTCAGTACCATGCTCACCTGCTTCGTGGACCTGAATCCTAACCCAGCAACCGGATAGCTTACACCATCTTCCACAGCGCAGCCACCACAGCAGAGTGGCCTGTCTTGGGAGTTGACTCTTCAGGAACGGATAAGAAGTCGGTGGACCGTCCGGACCTGCAGCAACCTCCGCCACGTCGGATTAGATATGGCGGAGTTCAGGGCTCTGGAGTTCAAAGGCATAGAGCTGCGCAGGACGTGCAACATGTGATCAGTGCTCAGGGTTAAGGTCAGAGTCTGCACTTGACCAAACTGTTGGCAATGTTGCTCCGACGGGTAGATTCCGAGGACTGGAAAGCCGTGTCATGCTTGATTGCCATAATCGCTTGGAGCCTGACCCTATACCCCAATCCCGTTTGCAGTTTGGGATGCTGGTTTAAGGGTTGGGATGCACTGGGATTGCAAAAGGACTAGCTCCTGATGCTTTGGGTTCTGCATGGGTGTTGTCTAATGCAACGATTTCATCGTATTTGTTAGGAGGGTTTCATCAGGCTTGACATGGGTCTGTACTCGTTTCTTTGGATTTCCAAGGTCATAAAATATAGGGCCTAAAGAATTACCAATACTATTTTGGGGTTTCCTTATTATAATGTTGGTATACTATACCCCAAAACCCTGTTCTAATTATTAAGGCCCTTCTACTATAAAACCCCTACTGTAGATCCCTTATAGTAGCCCTTATGGTTTTCTTTAGAAGGAACCCTACTATAGATCGCCTTAAGGCCCCTATTATACTCCAACTATGTCGCGTCGGGTCCTACATCCATCATAGGGATCGCCTCAGGGGGGTATAGCTTAGAAGGGGCCCCCACCCTGTAATAGTGACCATAAGGATTATATAGGATTATATTAGGGCCCTATTATACTCCTATTATACCACTATTACAGGGTGGGGGCAGCTCCTAAGGTATAGCCCATCATCCCGGCGAATGTGCAAGGATACTGTCGGGGCCTTAATAAGAAGGATAGGCTTCCCTTTAAAGGGGTCTATATAAGGGCTACTATAGGGGATCCATAATGGTACTATAATGTAGGGGCCCTAATAAGTAGGATAGGGTTTCGGAGTATTTTATACTCTCAGTACCATAAGGAACCCCCCCAACACAAAACAAAACAACAAAAAACAGCATTGGTAATTTTGGGCTACAATATTACCGTCCTAGTTCTTGTACTTTGCAGAACCGACATCGATGCTTATGCTTTGTGGAAAGCAAGACAGCTTTTGGATAACTGACGGACTTCGTGCCTAAACCCTAGCCCCCGGAACACACAGATGTAAGCACTCCTCTATGGTTTGTGTACCTATAAGGTTCTTGGAGTTCGTAGGCACCTTGCAAGACGAGTATTGGTCGAGTTGCCAGTGCAGTTCCAGCTGGGTGATCCGAGTCTTTCACCCTGCTAACTAATAGCACGTTCTCACCAAGTCTCCTGACTCTTCAAGTAACGAGCCTTTGATGAAGACCTCATGTGGTCCTTCTTTTTGATGGTAGCAATGGGTCTGGGCTCCTCATCAAGAAGACAGGTATGCACTAATCGAGCAGCTTGAATACTTGACACCCAGTGGACGTTTCAGTTTGTTGATAAGCCTAGGCCATCAGACCGGGAAGCAAAGCGCCAGAACGGCGCCAACAACGGCCAGCACCTGAATGCAATGTAGGGCCCTGAGTGCTGAATGGGTAGTGAGAGTTTTCATTGTAGCAGACATACTATAGTAGAGACTATTAGCAAAGCTGTACCCTAGACCTTGTTGACTCCCTTTGGATATTGCAGAGCTCGGGGAACCCCGTACTACAAGGGTCTGAATACTTAGGTACTCAGTGGAAATATGGCTCAATTACAATGCCTCAATACCCGTTCCAATTATTAAGCTCGCTGTATTGAACCGTGAAAGGGCCCACAACATAAGGGCACAGGGCCCCTACTTATGAGGGCCATGTTGGCCCAGGGACAACTAATTTATAGATCCCTTAAAGATGCCTTACAGGTACCCTTACCCAGAACTCCTGCAGGATCTAGAAAGGAGGATCTAGAAAGTAGATCCTTAATTTGGGGCCCCACACTACTCAGGGTACTTTATAGGCACCCCCATTAAGGGATCTACTTTTTGGATCCTCCCGAGGGTCCGGGTATAGATCCTTTAGGAACCCATAAGCCCTGATCCCGGTTCCCTATCCACCATACACGGTTTAGGGCTTTTGGTGGGTTTCGCGCCCCCCCGCCCCCCCCCCCCAACGGGCACAAAAGCACAAATCTAGACAAGGACAGACCCCGAAACCCTAGAAACCATACAATAGGGCACACAAGCCAAAATCTGGAGGAGGACATCCCACATAAAAAGCGTCTAATGACCGAGGCGCTGTGGCAGATGCCAAGAGGGGCGCACGCCGACCAGGCATGGGGAGAGGGGGAGATTCAAAGCCTGGGCTTAAGGGGTTTAGGGGTTGATGGTTTCGGGGTTTAGGGGTGTTTGGGTTCATGGGCTTAGGGGATATGGTTTAGGGGTTTAGCGGTTTAGGGTCAGAGATTCAAAGCCTGGGCTTCGGTTTCGGGTTTCCTTGAAAAGGAATCCTAAGGGGCGATGTAAAGGGGGGTTACTTAAAGGGTTCCAGGGTTCTATATGGGACCCATAGGTTCAGGGTCTAGTTAAGGGTTTATGGTTTAGAGGTTCAGGGGTTATATAGGGTGTTTGGGGTTTAGAGGTCTGGTGGATTAGGAGTTTAGGGTTTAGAATTCCCAGCGAATCCACAAAACCCAGCATTCAGGTATGTTTGGGAGAGTACATGACTGTTATAGGTACTTGGACACTGGGATTCAGGGTTCAGGGTTCGGAGCTTAGGGTTGAGAGTTTAGCGTTCAAGGCTCAAGGTTTAGGCTTTAGGGCGTCTAGGGGTTCCGGCTTCCTAGTGGGGTTTCTGGCAATCAAAGAGGGCTTCGTAGAAAGGTTCCTTACAATGTGAAGGTTCTTGAAGGCTTTGCGGAAGGGTTCTGAAGGGCTCTTAAGGGGTCTCCTACATGCAAAGGTTTTGAGTTTAGGGTTTAGGGTTTAGGGAGTGGGGAATGCAAGATGTTTGGAGTTCTTTGAGGGCTTTAGAGGGCTTCTATCAGGTTCAAAAACGCCAACTAGTATGTTAAGGCTCCAAGTGCTCTCCTCTACAGCTCAGCTATTTCTGGACCTCTGGAACTTGGAAGCTGGAGAATAGACTTGGTAAGTTGGTTTCGTTGTGATTGATGAGGTTTTGTTGGGATTTCTAGGACTGGCAAGCTCCACTGCTTTGGGCTTGAGAAGTATCGCAGGATTTGAATAGCGAATGTTGGGGTTCAGAGACTTTGTGTTGGGGCTTCGGGATGTGGAGTCTCGGAATTTGGAATTCGGGCCATGCTGCCAAGAAGCTCCCGAGAAATGATCGAAAAACGAACGTAGAAAATCGATAATGCGCTGTTGTGAGCAGCTGATGTGGCTTGCGGCAGTCAAGGTACAGACCACCCCGAAGATTTTGGGTTCCAAAGGCTAGGCTATCCAGGGCCCTAAACCTCAAAAAACTAAACTCTGATCAGCTGTACCATGAGACTCAGTGAAACAAACTCCTTGAATTCCTTTCGGGCTCTTGAATATGTCACTCTGCCTAGGAACCCCGCAACTACCTTCATTGTACCCTGTAGTGACTCTAGTGACCTATTGGGGACTACGACGCTACTTCCTTGAAAGGTAAGAGACACATTTTAATACAGATGTTGTTTGGAGAGTCACACAGCGGAAACCAACCAACAAAGGACCGGCACACAAGAACCCGAGTGTCGTCGCGTAGTATAAGGGTCCATGTGCTCGTCTAGTATACACTCTGCCATAAAGTAGTCCCAGTTCGCAGTTACATAGACAGCGAGGTAGGGAGGGGGGAGGAAGGGAGGGAGGGAGGAGGCAGGTAGATACATAAATAGATGGTTTGATCGACGCACAGACAAATAGGCCATAGGCAGATATGTGAACCCATGAATAAAAAGATTGGTCGATAGGAAGGATAGAAAAATTGGTTTCATCTTCGCACAGACAAAAAGGCCACAGGCAAATCGATACACAGATAAGCATATAAACCGATCGGTAGAAAGAAATATCAACAAATAGACAGAGCCCAGGAATGCATGAAAGGGCTCTCAGTAACAGCCTCCTCGATGGCCTGATGATTCTAGTCGGTTATCATGCCCCTACGGCTCAGAAATGGGTTCAGCGATTTAGGGTTTGAGGGTTAGGATGGTCTGGGGTTTAGGATGGTTTAAGAGGCTGGCAAAGTATGATATTGTGGCTCTTGTGCTTAGAATAGGACTTTAAACTTTATGAGGGGTCCGCATAGTATACACACATAATATAATGCTATAGCTGCTGTGCCTAAGTTCGAGCCTGAGCCTATATGAGGGATCTGTATATACAATGCATCTGGCTCCATTGAGGGTTCCCAGTATTCAAAATCACGCTGAAGCAATCCTGAAACCAACAATCCCATAATCCCTGGAAGCCTGACAGAGTGGATGACGACACTGCCTAAACCCGCCTACACTTTCCAAATGTTAAATCCGGTATTCTGTCGAAACGATACATACAAAACACTAGCCTGACAGGCTCCAAGTACCCAAACAGACGGGTCTGGGTCCCATACTGTACTCTGACTCTGAAGGCTTCTTGGTACCTAAAACACGTCGTAGTTTGAGCAGCTGCACCCTGAAGGGCTCTAAACCCTAAGCCCTAAACCCAACACGGTCCTTAAAACAACAGTGGCCTTCTCGGGCTTAAAGGCTGCGCCAAGGCCTCAGCAGAGGAGGCTCAGCAGTCCAAAACGGTCTAGGGAGGTTAGGGTATGTAGGGTTACGGTTGATGATATAAATCCTGCATTACCCATAATAAGGAGTATACCATAATTCCCATAGTTTAAGGTCCTTAAGGTAATGCAGATTTATATCATCAACAGTACGGACTTTTGGGCTGAGGATTTTTGGGGTTTAGGGGTTAGGGTGTAGCGGCGTAGCGCCTGGGGTTCCGGGGTGATGGCACCCATTTTGTAGTCATTCTCTGCCGGTTATCTGAACCTCAAGCGTATGGCTTCAGGAAACCGTGCAAAGCAAGTACTTGAGACAGACATGTATATTTGGGTAGTTGGACTAACTATAGGACATTTCCTGAATCTCAATGGCCCACATACAGATGACTGATTTTGTGGCATATAGCAGTACCTTCGGATGTACGAAGGCTTGTAGCTTCTGGTTTAGGGTCTGGGGCTTAGGTCTTTGTCTTCAATTCTGAGGGTTTATGGGCGTGGGGATTGGGAGTTGAAAATGTCATAGGGATCCTTAGGGGTGTAGGGGGGAGGGGTGTAGGGAACTATATTTCCTTAAATAGGCCTTATTAGTCCTTATTATGGGCCTTAAGGCCCCCTACCCCCCCTCGCCCTACACCCCTAAGGATCCCTATGAAAATTTAGGGTTCAGAGGTTTCAGGGTGCCGAGTTTAGGACTTGATTGCCCTGGCCTTGGAGCTTAATGCAGGGCAATGCCCCTCAGAGACCGGGAAGGCATACTAGGATACCCAGTAACCTAAGAATAAAAAGGCCTCTCTTTTTGGTATTGGGTAACTTTATAAGGAACCTAGGACTACAAAAAAGGAATAAGGGTACTACTGGGCATCCTAGCATATGCAAGACTGTGAAGGACAACGTTCACGTTAAACAGTGACTTCAGGGCCCCAAAAAGGCACATAAGCAAAAATTAGGCCCCCTTATGATGAAGCTAAACCCTATAGATACCTTTAAGGAACCCTGTAGTCTATAGATCCCTTTAATAGGGTCCCAAAAAGGCACATAAGCAAAAACTAGGATAGGGATATCCCATATAAACCACCTTATGATGAAGCCCAATAAGGTAGGGATCTCCCCCATCAAATGCTTATGCTTATGTGCTTTTTGGGTCCCTAAGACTTCCGTATGGGGGCGGAATTGCAGAGCAGAAGTGACAGGCGGTAACCCGGTTGGTTTCGAATGCGGTTCCTCCAAGGGCTCCTTCAGGATGAGCCTTGTAGGAACCGTAACCCAGAGCCTCCAAAAGCCCTTAACTAAGGAATATACCTATACCCCAAAGGATAGTAGGATCCCTAATATGATTTGAAGTAGATTCCTTAATTAAGGGGTTTTGGAGGCTCTGGGAAACCGAAAATAGCTACGCTTGGGAAATTGCCTGAGCCCGGAACCCTTCGGCAATAACTCTTCCAAGGCCTGGAACAGCGCAGGGTTGGTCTCTGAGTCTGCCGCATTTTCCCCTTGTACGGCTTAGGTTTATCGGGTTTAGGCCAAGATGTTGCTAAGGATAATGAGGGATGAGCGGCCTAGGGTTTAGGCATCATATGTGTCCTGTCTGCTCCATCCGCCGTGATCTGTCTTGGGCTTGGGGGACCTGCATTACGATTTTGGACGTAGCATTGAAGGCCTAGGGTTTAAATAGGCATTGTAGAGCCGCAGGCTGCATAGCGACTGTCCGGGATGTTCTCTCTTACCGAATGCAAGGGGTCGCTAGCTGCGACCCTGCCAACTACAACGACGAAAGGAAACAGTCCAAGGCCCCAGACCCACCCCTAAAGCTTGAAGCGCAAGCAAGCAATTGCAGCCTGAACTTCACGTCAATCAAATCTATAGGGCGCTTAAGTAAACCCCGGCCGTGAAGTACTTCCAAGGCAATGCAAGTAGGCGCACATTGGGGTTGCAAATGCCGGACAGACCGTGTAGTGCAACTCGCCTACGACACATCTTAGATCGTCCTAAGGTCCTAAGTCCTAAGCCCTTTGATCCTTCATTAAAAGCTGCCCTAAACTGAAATCCCAAACTGTTCTTTTTGACTGGGTTTCAGCCTCTAAACCCTACAAACCCGCCAAGAAGTTGTCCCAAATTGCAACGATATCCTTTGGACCTCCCTAGACCCTACAACGTAGAGGCTTTTTGAGGCCTACCTTCTTTAAAGGGGATTCTTGGATCTTAACCATCGAGCAGATTATCCAACGACAAAGCCAAAACCCAAAACTTGTAAATGCTAAACCCCTAAACCCCAAACCACAGGCAGAATCAGGCACTATCTGGTTAGGCCCGGTATATCTGCAACTCGCAAAACATGATTACGACTGGGTTGAGGAGCTTACTATGGCATGACCATCATAAGTAAGGCGGCTGTCAGGAATAGTAGGTAGGAGTAGATATCCAGGTTTACATTGAGTGTACATTGTGGAATTCTAGGGTTCAGGAGCTTACCATGGTATGACCATGTATCAAAACATTAGGTGGTAGGTATACGGGTCTACATATAAGAATTCTAGGGTTCCTGATTATGACATCCCTGTATAATCCCTTACCGAAGTAGGTACTTGGTCGACTTGCCGAACTCTGCTCTGCCCTTAGCCCCAGGAACCTCTCCCTCTTCGAAGCGAGACCCTCAAAAAATGGTACTTCAGAACTGTCAGCTTCGATAAAGTACTCCCAAATATGCAAAGTCAGAACTGTCAGTGTCATTATATTAGGTACCCTTCCTGGCATCCTCAGTGGAAAACGCATCAGTTCAAAAGGTTGCAGATCCATCTGAAAGAGTAAAAGCAACGCCTGCAATCCACTCAGCTGCGACGAGTCCATGGTGCGCTGCAGCGCCTTTCAATTGTTTTTGTGGCGGGAGGCTTCCATTAGGTCTCGGGCTTTGGAACCGGGTTTGGGGCTGGAAGCTTGATATGGGATGTACAGTGCTGTTAAAGATTTGTAGGGTGTCGGGGGTCTGGATTTTCGGGATAAGTAGCCTAGCTGGCTTGAGCTTTTCGGGGTTCCGGCTTCAGGGCGTGCATTCGTTGCTAGGGGAATGTTCAGCCCAAACGAACCTATGGACACTTAGGCCTGAGCCTTGGTCTTTCGGGTTTAGAGCCCTAGCATGTTGGAGCAACGAGGGAGCCCGAATACGTGAGTATGGTCATTTGCAAGAAACGTTTCCTATAGCAAGAACTACATGCAGCTCCAAATGCCGACCTTTTGTAAGGAAGCACATCAAAGGCACCAGGATAAGGAACCCAAAACCAAGGTAGGCTTTTCGTGCTACGGGGTTAAACAAATATATGTATATACACACACAGACACACATAATATACAGTTGTGCATCGCTGACTGCACAACCCCGCCAGACTAGAGCTCCAGTCGCTTCATGAAGTTCATGTGTCAATCTAACTACTGGCACAGTTTGGGCTCCTGCTGCCCAATACCGTGCACTTAGAGGTTCATGGGACTTAATAAGTACAGTTACCGGAAGGTCCACGTACGCAAAACTTGGAGGGTCGGGGGACTTAGTAAGTGGGTATTTTAGGGATTTATAAGTACCATAACCATAATTAGGGTCCCTTTTAAGGTACTTATAAGTCTACTTACTACCTACTTACTAAGTCCCCCGACCCTCCAAGTAGGGTTTCAAGATCCGAAAACCAGTCATGGTATGGAATTAGGGACCTACAGCCCGACTGTTTGGATACTTGGACCCTCTGGGTTGTACTTAACTAGGACACCCAGTAACCTAAGAATAAAGAGGCCTCTCTTTTTGGTATTGGGTAACTTTATCAGGAACCTAGGCCTACAAAACGGGAATAAGGGTACTACTGGGCATCCTAGTTAAGCTTGAAGTATAGCCTTCAGCCTAAGGTCCCAAACCCACAACCCTAAACTCTCCACCTGAACATGACTGAGATCCGAGCCGGTAAAGAAACGGCGCGGCCATAGTCATGACCTGCAGCTCACAAGCTGTTCTTCCCAGACTTCCCTAAAGCTCCATGTCCCTAATCATGTAAACTTCATGCCTTCAAGTACCTATGCCTTAAGGTCTAAGTATATTCTATCTGGATACATGAATCTTAAGGGTCCACAAATACAGTGTACCGTAGATCAGTCATTCGGGTGTAGCTAGAGATGTAGGGTCTTGGGCTCATTAGGGTTTCAGGGTTTGCGGACCCCCCAACATCGCACCTGCTCAACGAAATCACCCGGTATTGCAGAACTGCCAGTTCCATCACCCGTAACCCTAAACCCAAGGCCCTATACCCTAAACCCAAAGCCGCATGCCCAAAACCCTGAACCCAAAGCCCTCAGACACAGCAGCAGCCATCTTCAGACCGGAGCGAATGCAATAGGGGCCAGTACAACACACACACACACACAGAGACAAGTCTCAAACCGGAAAGTTTGCACTCTGAGAGCTGAAAACCACGTGAAAGACATCCCCCAAAGCCGCAGATGAGGCCATGGCTGCAACGGATGATTAGGCTGTGCAGGAAATGGACCTTCTCAGAGACAGAAGACCATCAAGCTTGGCGGTGGTGCCGCGTGTGGTACTAGCAATCAAAAACTGCGGAGGTAATAGTAGCTGCACTAGTAGTAATACTGTAGTAGCAGTAGCAGTAGCAGTAGCAGTAGGATCTGCAGCAGAAGCAGCAAGAGCAAGAGCAGGAGCAGGAGGAGAGGTAGTACTGGTAGTTTCGGGTACCAGAACTTGAGGTCAGATCTTCCAAGATTCCGTGGACTCTAGATGCTCAACAAGCGTCACCCCAGAGACACAGTCGGAGTACTGCTCAACAAGCTGGTAACAGATTCTGTGTCGACACAACCCTCAGACCTAAACACAGGATATTCACCTAACCCTCCGAGAACAACACCAGCACTACTACCCTGAAGACGAGCACTCAAACATCCGGTAGTGGGTGCCTCTGAAGAAGCAACTTCAAAACCTACAAGTTCTCCTGATATACCCTTCTCATATCAGCGGGTTGAGGCTTCAAGGAGACACTGCTATCCTAGCAGGCATGGTGATGCAACATCTGTTGCATACATAACATATCCTGTGTTCTTCAACAACCAGCATAACAACCTCAGCTTCTTTCACCCAATAGCGACCGCATGAGACGTAACGGTCTCCTCGATGACCCATCAAATCCTAACTTAAGAGCCATAATAAACATGCTGATATATAATTAGGACTTTAGGGTATGTTGTAGAGCAGTTATGAAAATAAGCCCTCGGAAACAACACCAGCAACGATTCGCGTTCATATCGCTCACAAGTACTATTACTAATATTTATGCGTACACATACCTATCTATATATATATATATATACAGAGATGTATATATATATATATATATATATATATGAGTATGAACATCTACATACATATACTTAAAATATGTGTAAGACCATATGTACACACGTGTGCGCATACATGTGCATATATATATATATATATATATATATGTAAACCTCCAGCTCCAAACTAAAACCCAAAACACATCAAGTCCTTGGCTCTAAATAGGGAACGAGGGACGGGATCCCTATAATCGTTCCTACAGGTCACTCGTAGAGCCCCTATGATCAACTCCGCCATTCCCTACTATGGATGGCTTTGGGGTCTATCTAAGTTTTGGTTTTTAGGTTTATTTAGGGTCTGGGTGAAACTGCAAATCCCCGAAGGCCAAATACCGACACCTGCACCTGAAAGCCCACCGGCCAGAACTGCTAAACCGTAGACCCTGAAGTATGAACATTAGAACCCCTCCAACCAACCTAACCCTAAGAGGCCTAAGGGTCCATGTAGCCAAATAGTATATACTTTGGCCCAAAGTATATCCTATTTGGGTACATGGACCCTTCCTAAACCCTAAACCCTAAACCCTAAAACAAAGCCCTAGGCTTACTGTCGACCCTAAAGCCCTGCCTGGACCCCTAAAAGTATGTAGAACAATAGCCGGTTTGATAGGTGTTGGGCCATTATTCTCCCTAAACCCTAAACCCCCCAAGCCCTAAACCCCTAAACTTTAAACCCCCCAAACCCTAAACCCCCCAAACCCTAAACCCCTAAACTTTAAACCCCCCAAACCCTAAACCCCTAAACCCTAAACCCCCCAAACCCTCATGCCCGAGCCCGAGCGCCGGGCGAGTGGCACGTCGCCCAGGCAGCCCGAAAGAAGTGTGTTGAAGGCTGTGGAGAGCACCTCGGTTGGTTTAGGGTTGGGGCCCAGGTTCGAAGTTCAGGATGTCTTCAAAATTCCTAAAAGAACTAAAGAAGCCTCTGAAACACCGAAAAGACACCAACAACCCCAAACGACAAGGGTATCAATCATGAAATTCAACGCGACGCTCCATTTCTTACATAACATCATCATAAGGAATATTTACCGTAAATCATATTGAGGATAGCATGTATGAATTGGGACATGCCTTCACCTCGAATGACCTACATTTCGCGACATAACATACAACAAACGATGGAGGCGTTTTTCAGGGTCCAGGTCACCCTAAAACCCGAAACGGTATTCATTGTCATTGAAGGGTTTGGGGACTCTACCCCAAACCCTAAACCTAAACCCAACGCCAAACCCACAACCCTAGACCCCAAACCCAAAACCTTGAAACCCTAAACCCTAAACCCAAAAGCCTAAACCCAAACCCTAAACCCAAACCCTAAACCCTAGACCCTGCACCCTAAAACCCAAAAGCCTAAACCCTACACCCTAAACCCCAGACCCTAGACCCTAAACCCTTAACCTAGAGATCCCGTATAGAACCCTGGAGCCCTTTGAGGAACTCCCCTTATGTAGCCCCTCAGGGCTTCCTTTAAAGGAAACCCTAAAACCCCCCCGGGGAAGTCACCCAAAAGCCTAAACCTGAAATCCTAGACCCTAAACCCTAAAACCTGAACCCTAAAACCCAAAAGCCTAAACCCAAACCCTAAACCCTAGACCCTAAACCCTATACCCGTAGTCCTAAACCCTTAAACCCCGGGAGAGTCCCCGGGGTCAGCGCCTCCACACCGCCAGCGCCGAAACCCGACCAAAAGGCGAGCAACATCTCCTCGGCGAGACCGAGATCCTGCACAGCCACGGCTTTCTTTGGGTGTAGGGTCGTAAGTCCCTGTTTAGGGTTTAGGCTTTAGGGTTTTGAGTTAAGAGTCAGGGCTAGGGTTGAGGGTTAGGGTTGAGTTTAGGGTTTAGGCTTTAGGGTTTCATTAGGCTTTATTCTTTTGGGCTTCGGTCTCAGGTTTACGGGTTTAGAGTGTTTTGGGCTTAGGGTTTTGGGGTTCAGGGTTTAGAGTCAGGGTTAGGATTTAGGGTTTACGGTTGAGGGTTGCCTTTAGGGTCAGGGTTTAGGGTTAGGGTTTAGGGCTTGGGTTTAAGGTCTAGGGTTTAGGGTTGGGTTTAGGGTTTAGGGTGAGAGTTCGGGTTTCGGGTTTAGAGTTTAGGGTCAGGATTAGGGTTTAGGATTTTTGCGGGATTGTTGGAGTGTACCGACCCTCTCCCCTTGTGCCAGCAGTCGGCCTTCCCCGGTCCGGACATACACTAAGATGAAAACGCAGCGGACTCAGCCAACACACATGTCATCGACACTAACCAGGGTGTTGGGGTTTAGGGGGCCCAGGTGTTGGGGATTCATTGAAACCCTTCGTTATGTTTTATGCGATTCTCTGGGTTTTATGTGATTTTATGGCGTTGTCGATGCTTGTGGAGCTGTTTGCAAGAATCCCTTGCACATAGCTTTCCGGGCTTGAAACAGGGGCTTAGACGATAAGGATTGTAATAGGGTTTAGCATTAGAGCTTCAGGGTTTAAGGATTTCGGTTTGTAGGGTTTAGCGCCTAAGGTTTAGAGTTTCGGGCCTAATGTATAGTCTACGGGCGTGCACTCCAGGTCTCTGCTGCACCTTTATGAAGCCGTGAACCCTGTCCTTAAATCCTTAACCACAAATCCAAAGGCTCCAAGCGACCTAATGATTAGGTACTTGGGTTTAGGACAGTTAAAAGTTTCAAAGATTTGCAGGCTAGTATTCGGGAGAGTATGTGGTTATGGGGTACTTGGACCTTTAGGGGAATTACTAAATCGTCAAGGCTTAAGAGCCCCAAGACCCACCAGCTCGCCGTGCCCTTAATACCCAGGGCCTGGACCCTACAACCTATATAAATCCTCAATCAACACTGGGTTGTGAACTAAAAGCAACTAGTGAAACAAGTACAAAGGCTCATGTCGTAGATCATGGTTCCGTTAGAGGTGCACGAACCCAAAGCAAGGATTAACACAGTACTCCAGAGAGCAACGAAAGCAACTGGGCCTCTGAGGAGGCTCTGGCCAATGGTTCCAGAATCTGGCACACAATAAAAGGTTTAGGGTTGAGGGTGGCTCTTCGGGTGTTGGGGTACAAGGACTTCATGAGAATAGCGGCCCTATCACCCATGGAGCTTTGCCTACATAGCACTGTATACTTGGCTATGGATATTACATTGTGAATAGAAATTCAAACGCTACTAAACCCTAAGCCCTAACTCACCACAGCTGGGCTTCCAGAACTTGTGTGCTTCTCTTTCTTTGATGGATTAGGGCCCGCCCTTAGAGGTTTCGAAGGGTGTGGGGTGACAACTTAAGGGCTTAGGGTTTAGGGTTTAGGGTTTAGGGTTTAGGGTTTAGGGTTTAGGGTTTAGGGATTAGGACCCATGGTGACTTTGATGTTGTGTTTTTGTTATCAGGTCGCCCGCTCACGGGCTTTGTGGTCTAGCATCTAAGCGCGATAGAATCTAGGCCTCAGGGCACCAAAGCTTTAGGCTTTGGGGTTTAGGGTTTTTGGTTCTAGGGCCTTTACCCACAGAGTCCAAGTACCCAAATAATAGGGTTTTAAACCCCGAAATCCATACCCTGAGTGGTTTTTGGAGCTTGAAACCCTACTATTTGGGTACTTGGACCCTTAGGGTTAGCGCTTTGTGCTAGGACAGTCCTGAGACCTCATGGGTAGATTTGGATCATGGGGCTGCTTTCGAACACCTACATTGATGCTGACATGGAAACCCTGAGGCCTTGACCGTCAAAGCCTATTCCTCTGGGCATCAAAATTGCGCAAAAGCCCTAGATAGTATGGTCTTTGGGCCCAAAAGCCTCAATATATGAGTCCTTAGATGCCTAGGGTTCTAAAAGCCCATGAGCCTTGTCCGAGCTCCTCACAGACCATAGGTTTTCGGGAGTTTGTCGGAGTTCTGGATATGTTTTCACTTCGCAGCCGCAAGAGGTTGAGCGAGGGCTATCATAATCAGAGGACTCTGAATCAACACTAAAAATGGGACAACCTCCATCATATCACTTGCTCTCTCTCTCTCTCTCTCTCTCTCTCTCTCTCTCTCTCTCCCTCTGTCCCACTCTGCATATTTTATATCTCTCTCTGACTGCAGGATCAGTTGACTTTCCAAGCAGGTGTTTTCTACTATGACTATAACTTCAGCTAAGGTACCTAGATCCCTACTTATGCGAAGTCTCCTGCTTCCTCGAACTCCTGCAAAGGAATCCCCTCAGCCCATCTAGGGCCTGACTCCCAGATCCTACACCTCCTACTTGGACTTATATAAGTACCCTAGAGGGGACCCTAATTGGGGTTATGGTACTTATAAGTCCTTAAAGTAACCAGTTACTAAGTCCCCCGACCCTCCAAGTAGGCTCTTCAACCTCAACCCAAAACCCAAAGCAAGGATCCGTCAAGCAGGCCGCCGTGACGTCTGCTAGTGAGACTTCCACATCTGGGTAGTTTCCTTCACCTGCAGCCGAGCGTTGAATTTTAGGGTTTCGGGTTTTGGGTTAGAACGGTCTTAGGGTCTTAGGGTTTAACGGCTTAGGGTTCAAGGGTTATGGCTTAAGGGTTAGGGTTTAAGGGTTAGGGTTTAGGGTTTAAGGGTTAGGGTTTAAGGGTTTAGGGTTTAAGGGTTTAAGGGTATTAAGGTTTGGGGTTTAAGGAATATAAGGGTTCAGGGTTTCAGGGCTTGCGTTTAAGAGTCTAGAGTTCAAGGGTTTAGGGTTTAGGTTGTAAGGGTTTAGGGTTCAGGGGTTGAGGGGTTAATCCCTACCTGGACCCTATACAAACCTTTCTTTGTAGGGTTCCCTATTATGATTTCCTTATAAAAAAAGGTAGATTAAATTATTCGGTGTTAAGGTAAACCCGAGGGTAAATTGCGGATTGCTGTTTCGGTGGCCTTTCCGCTATCCCCAAAGAAATCATGATTTGGTACTTGGGCCCGACGGTGTGACTTTACACAAAAAGCAACAAAGACGTGACTGCATGAGGTGTCATCAACGCTCGTGATTCAGCCAAGGTAGCAGGAAACCAGCGAGGAGGTTCAGGGTACTGACCATATTCTCAGTGGCAAGCCCTAAAAGGAACCCTGACAAACCCCCGACCCATCAAAATCTGCTAAGGATGACATAATGCCCTCTAAACGCCTTCTGAACCTCCAAAGAAAAGCCACCAGAAAAACATGCCCTAAACCCTCACACATTAAAAGCCGCATCATATCCAAATAAGTGAAACCACCAAAACTGCCAAAACCACAAAGCCTCAACTCAAACAAGAGACAACAACCAAACAGCCTAAAAGCCTAGAATACTAAACCCAAATAAGAAAAAACGCATAGCCTGAACCCTAAACCCCATAATTAAGCCCAGCCCCCCACCCCCCCTCCAAAAAAACACACACACACACACACACACAACCAAATAGCTTAAACCTGGGAGCGGGACGGTAGCCACTGACCAAATCGACTCGATCGTCCTCGCCACCCTGGTCCGCTCTCGAGAGGCAGGTCCCAGGAATTAGGGTTTGGGGTTAAAGGGCCTTAAAAGCTTAGAGCTTAGGGGTTATAGGGTAGAGGGTTGGCTAAGAGGAGGTTGATCTTTTCGTGGGTCCAGGATTTAGGGTTGGGGTTGTTGCTGTTGTCTTCGTTGTTGCTTGGATTTGGGCTTTGAGCTTTTCCTTTCAACATCCGAGTCGTGTTTGGTGTGGCAGGCTTCGAAGCTGTGTCTATGTACAAAGAGCTTCTGATTCCTCATATCATAGTCATGAAGTCAAAGGCCCGAAAACGAGATGTAGAAATTGAATCCTGAATCTTCACTTCTCACTTGCAGCATATGCACGAAGCATCCGTGGCTGCTAAGGAAGTTCATGCTGTGCCTGGAGCACTTCTCGGGCTTACCCAGAATCCCCGAAACTGTCTTCTGATGTGGTAGACAAGCTCTATGTATTCCCTGTCACCTCTAGGACCCTGCAGTGGACTAGGATCAGCAACTAAGAAGATGGCGTAGGCTTTTCAGGGTTAAACTGTGTTGCCACAAGCTCTACATCCCAAACCCTCATCCCTTAACCCTAGCACCGTAAGGTACCAAATTCAGACCCAATGCCGCAAACCCAAAAAATCCAACCCCTGAAAGCCCAAACGATGTGCTTCTGCCGGCAAATACACTCAAACACGACCTTATGGTCTGAGAGCCGTCTTCAAACAAAAACCGAGACTGCTGCTACAGGTTGCTTTGCGGGTTGAGGAACTCTACGTTCATCGTTGGAGTTCATAACATCAAGTGTATAGACCTGTAATGCGCATGTAGCAGTGCCGGAAATGTCCAATCAACAAACACAAACCTTTAACCTGTGTCGTGGAATGTAAGCAGTCCTGCCAACTTTCAGTTAATCCTTACAAAAAACCTTATAGAGTTTGGGGTTTAGGGGTAAGGGTTAGGGTTCAGGGGCTATGGAAAACAAGACAAGTTGCTTACACAAGCTCGACCCCGTGCGCCTGTCTATCTCGGCGCTCCAAGGATTCGAGAGCTGCCTGGAAACCACTATAGGGTTAAGGTTTTATGCTTAAATATTCTCTAGGCTTTTAAAAGAGCAAAAACTTCAAGAACAAACAATTCCTAAGGATACTTTCGGTGAAACCATCAGGAAGGAATTCTGCTTTTCGTTGTTCTTACTCTACCACTTTCATTGCGTCTTATCCGGGTCTACATCGGGTTCGGGGTCTGGGAGTCTCTGGCTTGCTGAATGATGTACGGCTCTACCGGTTCGATTGTACTTTACCCTATGGGTCCATGTACATATATAGGATATACACGGGCCTTAAAGTAGTCCCAAACAGGTACTTTAGGGCCAAAGTATCTAGTATATGGGTACATGCGCCCTTAGGGCTATGGGGCGCTGCAGGGTTAGCAAAACAAGCTTGAAGATGTTTGGCGGTCTGGGGATTCTGGGATTCGGAGGGTTGAGGGTGTAAGTGGGGTTTAGCGCCTGCGGCTGTCAGGTTTAGAGCAGAGGGTTTCCAAGTATAGGTCTTAGGGTCAAGGGTAGAGATGGCTGCCAAAGGTCCATGGTACAGCTATGTATGGGGGATACTTCCCTGAATCATGAAAGTAGTTCCTAAAAAAGAAACTCTACACTCTACTATATAGGTAATTTGGACCCTTATGGGCCTAGAGTTGGACCAAAAACGCTAAACCCTATAAGCGCTATAAACCCTGAACCGGTCAAATGCGAACCCAAAGCCCTTCCCTGTGAATTGCTTGCTCAGGATCCACGGGGAACTAGAGGTTCACTTCTGGGTTCTCTAGGGATTGTACCCAAAGGCTCCATGTACCCTTATAGTAGATACTTAAGCCTTAAAGGGGTCCCTATATAGGTACTTTAAGGCCTAAGTATCTACTATAAGGGTACATGAAGCCTTAGGGGTAGTGGTTTGGCATTTAGGGCTACTTGCTCTGCCATTAGATTGAGGTTTAATTGCATCGACCAAGATCACAACCTGTTGCTACATGTACATGCCTCCTGTTGACTGCACTGGTTTGACCATCCAAGCAGCAATGCAAGCAGAGTCACAAGGATGTCGGCTTGCAGGAGTTCTTGACGGCCTCCTCTGCTTTCTCGACTTGATCAGTCGATCCTCCTTCAAAGCTTGCAAACCAGCCATGTTGGCTGTCTTCAAGCTTGTTCGGGATCCTGCGCAGCAGCCATGTTGGCCCTCTTCAAGCTTGTTAGGGATCCTCCTTCGAAGCAGCAGCCATGTTGGGCGTCTTCAAGCTTGTTCGGGATCCTCCTTGAAAGCTTGCGCAGCAGCCATGTTGGCTGGGACTGCGACTCAGAGACGCACAGGTGCGTTCCTTGAATAACTTGCAATGGACGTAGTGTGCCTCTTGTCGCCAGGCCAGAATGGCCGAAAGGGACTTTGACTCACAAGCCGTGAGGATGGTCGACAGCGCCAGTGTTGCACTTGTATTACTACAACGAGAGAGATGTGTTTCAAACGGATATTAAGTATCAAGCCACGAACATACAGACATAATTACTTACCTACCGACTTACTTACTTGCTTACTTATACTTACTTACGCACATAGAATGCCTGCACTTAAGTGCTCGCTTCCTTTAGCTGAGAGGAGGCCTTACCCCAAAATGAGGGGTTTAGGGTCCGCAGGACCCCATAATAAGGGATTTAGGGTTTAGAGTGCAAAAGACCATTAATGCGGGCGTTCCTTGAAAAGATCCTTCGAATGGGTTTGTAAGGATTCTACATTTTTTAGTTGTAATAGGATATTAAAAGGAAAAGCCTTGCGGTCCCACCGACCCAATAAATAGGTCCTCGGGCTTAGGGCTTCGGTTGATGATAAAAATCCTGCACTACCCGAAATCAGGAATATACCACAGTTCTCACAGGTTAGGGTCCTTAAGGTAATCAACATAGTTAGCTCGGTTAGTAGTGGGAGCGTGCTTGATCATAAGTCCCCGAGAGCCTGTCAGGCGTTTGGAGCAGATTCCTGCTATCCCACAGGATCCACTCCAAAGTAATTACCTACATAGCAGAATGTAGGCTCTTCTTGCTAGTATGATGTACGGAAGTCTCCCCCATAACAGTCCTTTGGGTAAAGCCTGCGGAGGCCGATTAGTACTGTCGTACTTGGAGGGTCGGGGGACTTAGTAAGTAGGTAGTAAGCAGACTTATAGGTACCCTAAAAGGGACCCTAATTGGGGTTATGGTACTTATAAGTCCCTAAAGTAACCAGTAACTAAGTCCCCTGACCCTCCAAGTACCGGACCCAGACAACCGAGCCTTAATCTTTCTAACTTAGGGGCCTGAACACATAGAACAATGCCCCAAGGGTCCAAAGGACCCAATAGTTAGGGTTCCTTTAGAGGGTTCGATAAGGTTCCTTTAAAAGGGTTACTATAAGGGTTCCATTATATGGGCCTTATAAATAATTAGGTATTCGGTTTTAGGATAGTAGTTGTGTAGGCTAGGATCGATTTTGGAGAGTATATGATTATTAGGTACTTGGACCCTTGGGGAATGTAGAAGCCTACCTAGTTGCGAATCTTACTAATAGGGTTACTTACTCGAACTATACTATCAAAGGAGCGCACAAACCCTATTCTAACTAGTGTAAGGTCCTTACATTAGGGCGGGTGGGGTGGGGTAGGTGATGATCACTACGTGAGGAGCCCTCCAGAAAACATACATATATATATATACACATATATATATATATATGTATGTAATATTGTTTATATATATATATATATATTATATGTATATGTATATATATTATATGTATATGTATACATATAGATGGAAAGATAGTACTACTAGGTTTTCAGGCTTCTACCTTGGGGATGACGGTTATAAGTATGGGCCCTATACCTCCATGCTATGAGTTTGTACTATGGTATATGGGCCTTGAGCCGTAAGCCCTTTTAGGGTTCGTGAGGTCGGTGAGGTGTATATCAAAGGGGAAAAGGAGCGACCCTTAATAATGAGGACCCCTAGGTATATACCCTTAGAATAGCCATTATATACCCATTATATACTGTAGCCCATTAAAGGGTAGGGGTCCCCATTAAGAGTCCCTCCTTTTCCCCTTTGACTAAACCCTAAACCTTAAACCCTATAGATCCCTTTAAAGGGACCCTTATAGATCCCTTTAAAGGGACCCTTATAGATCCCTTTAAAGGGACCCTTATAGATCCCTTTAAAGGAACCCTAAGAGTATAGTAAGCCCTCGTGCCGGGACCTTGGTCTCCCTCTCTTTGTAGGCAATCGCCGCCCTTCTCCCATCTGCTTCCGAGTGCCGGAGAAGACCTGTCCAGGGTTTAGGGTTTTAGTTCGGGGTTTAGGGTTCAAGTTTTGGGTTTAAGTTTGGGGTTTAGGGTTTAAGTTTGGGGTTTAAGTTGCGGGTTTAGAGTTTAAGTTTAGGGTTTAAGGTTTCAGAGTAGAGGGATCTTGTATGTACATGGTGTTGAGAAAGTACTGAGTGCTGTAAGCGCTGAACCCCCCATCCTCGCAAAACCCTCAGCCCTATACAGCCCGAACCATATGCCCTGAATCCATAAAAAAAATTCCAGCTTGAACATTCTAACATTGAAACCCTAACCTTCAGTTTAAGCCCAGCAGCTTATAAACGTGCCCTAAAGTCCTGCGCCCTAAACCCTGAAACCCCTAACCTGTAACACCATAAGCCTATAAACCCTAAACTCCTTTGCCCTAAACCCCTGAAATCACCGCCGAAACCCCTAAAACCTGAACCCGCAAGCCGCCCAAACCCCCAAAACGTGAACGCCCAGAAGCCTTGCCTGTGCCGGTTCCGGTGACAGGAATCTCTTTGCCTGGAGGGGCTTAAAATTACAATCAGAGGCTAAGGGGTTGGCGTTTAGGGTTTACGGGTTCAGGGTTTGGGGGTTTAGGGTTTTGGGTGAACGAACACAAGAGTAGGGTCTTGGGGTACATGATGCGTGATATAATATGTACTTTGAATAGGGAGCCCGACGCAAAAAGTCTGGGTAATCATTCAAGCCCCCATATTAGCGGTTCCTTTGTTTCGAGGGTGTGGGGTGTAGGGCTTCGGCCAACGATGTGAACGCTAAGACTCAAACCTTTTTTCTCTGCAATTCGATTTTGAGAAGCAGACGAGCTTATGGAATCATTAAAGGCAGGACCCAGACATCGATACATAGAAATCACCCCGTCTCAGGAGAGGCCGTGGAATTTCATGTAACTTAACATAGTTTGATGTTGAGCTTGAGATACAGTGTAGTTTCATATACAGTGTCAATGTAAATACAAGTTCAATGCATATGTCAGTGGAACGACCTGCGTAAACAGATCTTGCTGCTATGTTCAGCACGGCTTGCGATAGCAGATCAAAAGGGTTTAGGGTTTAGGGTTGGTAGATGTGAGGGCTACTAAAGGGTCTTCTAGTGTCATCTGTGCTCACCGCTACCTTCCAGCAACAGCCGCGAGGGCGTGAGCAAAGAATCAGACGTGCCAGCATCAGTGAGAAGATCCGTTGCGTGCCCTGCTGATTGCAAGATCAAAGCAGTTGTCTTCCTCACACCAAGCAGAGCATGCTGCCAAGCATGGCCTGATGTGAGCTTAGAGTGCAGCATCGAATACATCAGTGTGCGTGCTTTGTTGATGGCATTACAGATGGCATGTTGAAACAATCGCTTGTCCATGCCGACAGGGTAGTTAAGCAGAATGTCTGCTGCCACGGGCACGAACTCCATGCCTTCTTCTGACACCCCGAAGTATGCCACCGACAACGGAGCCACGACTGCTAACGCAATCTGCATCACGGCATCACCACAGCAAACCCTAAACCCTGAAGCCCTGAAAACAGTCTAGAACCCTTTGATAAATGCCAAGAAAACTCTACAGTAGAAGCTTAAAAGTTGGAAACCCTATAGCCTCAATCCTTAAGAGCAATCAATAGGGAATCCCAGCACTATTTGGCCTTAATCCGGTTTCCAACTTTATGGGGTTTACTGTATAAGCCCCCTATGGAGAGCCCCAGCGCTCATGCCATCTGCCAGCGGACTGGGGCTTCGGCTGGGAGTGCCGGAGTCTGCCTTAGCCTGGGCTGCCAGGGGGATTGGGACCTTACTTGGAAGGGCAGGGGACTTAGGAAGTAGGTTATAAGTAGGGTTATAATTGGGGTAACTCTATTTAGGGTACTTATAACTCTACTTTTAACCTACTTACTAAGTCCCCTGCCCTTCCAAGTGGACCCTAATTCATCAGGGCATTTAACCCCTCCAAACCCCAAACCCTGATCTCCGAAGCCCTTCTCCCCTGAACCCCCCCAAAACCCTAAACCTTAGAAGCTGCCACCCTGTAATAGTGAATATAAGGATTATATGAGGGCCCTACTATTATTATTATTATTATTGTTATTATTATTCTTATATTCCCATCATACCACTATTACAGGGTGGGGGCCCCTTCTAACCTAAACCCTTATCTCCTAAACTCCAAGAAACTTAGACTCACTGGCCCAAAACCCAAGGAAGCAAAAGTGGAAACTTTCCGAGTCGACTACCTTAAAAGACCCCCAAGAATTGAAAAGTTGAGTTTACAGGGCAGTAAGTAAACTCTATACTATACTGAACTTAGAACCCTAGCAAAAATTATAATTTTAGCTGTTTCTTAAGGATTATAATAACACAAAACTAAAAACTGTTTCTAAGTACCCCTAAGTCTATATATCCTTCCGAGGGGCTCCGAAGGCCGGAACTGGCGGACGCTCCTTGCGCCGGGGCGCCCGAAGTTGGTGCGGCAGGGCCTCCGGGTTAAGGGTTTAGGCTTTAGAAAATAGGGGTTTAGGGTCTAGGGTTTAGGGGTTGGGGTTTGGGGCTTATAGGGTTTGGGGATTTAAGGTGTATGGTGGTCGTAAGGGTCAAAGCGGTCAAGAGCCCTATACAAAGATCCCATAAGCGGTTTATCAGGGTATCAGAAGGAGTTTATAAGGTGCCATGAGGTTCTGGAAGGGTGTGTTTGAGGGTTTCAATGCAAGCATATCTTGGAGAGTGTCCGGTATCATTCTTGTAAGAAGCCCTAAAAGGGGCTTGCAACCTCCTACCTCCTGTCTCGTTGTTTGGGGTCGAGGGATCTAAGGATACAGCTTACGAGCCAAGGAATAGCCACAGGTGCCAGGGGCTATGTGCAAAAGCCCATGCTGAAGGACCTACCCCTCGATATAGTCAAGCCGTGCTCAGATTACAAATCACAAGGTTCAATAGGTCAATTTGTCCAGATAGCAAACCATGGGCATCAAAATAGCCCAATAGCCTTGCATGGTATGTGCTTCAGGCCCAAAAGCCTTAATATATGAGTCCTGAGATGCCTAGGGAAACACAGTACGGCTTCAGGACCAAAAACCAGTTCAGGTTTCTCGCACGTGGCTCTAAGAAACAACTCTTTGGATACTTGGAATCTCTGGGTCTCACATGGTCCAACTATAGCCGCCCTATAACCTATACTACGTCCTCCAAGACAAACCCTCAAATCCTACCTAAACCTTAAACCCAAACCTGCCCAAACCTCAAATCAAAACTTAGAACCCTGTCGCCGAAAATGTAGGCAAAATAATGGCCCAACAGCTGTAAGGGGCCATTCTTCTACATACTTTGGGGTTCCGGATAAATCCTAAACCCGACCCGAACCCAAACCCCTGACCCGGGTAACCTCAAACTTTAAAGCCTAAACCTCCCTAAACCCAGAAGCACCACACCCCTAAACTTTAAACCCTAAACCATCCTAAATCCCAAAACCCTGAACTTTAAACCCTAAACCATCCTAAACCCCTAAACTTTAAACCCTAAACCATCCTAAACCCCTAAACTTTAAACCCTAAACGATCCTAAACCCCTAAACCCCAAACTTTAAACCCTAAACCATCCTAAACCCCTAAACCCTAAACTTTAAACCCTAAACCATCTTAAACCCCTAAACTTTAAACCCTAAACCATCCTAAACCCCTAAACTTAAAAACCCTAAACGGTCCTAAACTCCTAAACCCTACACTTTAAACCCTAAACCATCCTAAACCTCTAAACCCTAAATTTTAAAAACCATCCTAAACCCCTAAACCCTAAACTTTAAACCCTAAACCATCCTAAACCCCTAAACCCTAAACTTTAAACCCTAAACCATCTTAAACCCCTAAACTTTAAACCCTAAATCATCCTAAACCCCTAAACTTTAAACCCTAAACCATCCTAAACCCCTAAACTTTAAACCCTAAACGATCCTAAACCCCTAAACCCTAAACTTCAAACCCTAAACCATCCTAAACCATCCTAAACCCCTAAACTTTAAACCCTAAACGATCCTAAACCCCTAAACCCTAAACTTTAAACCCTAAACCATCCTAAACCTCTAAACCCTAAACTTTAATCCCTAAACCATCCTAAACCCCTAAACCTAGACGATCCTAAACCCCTAAACTTTAAACCCTAAACCATCCTAAACCCCTGAAGCCTAAACTTCAAATCCAAAGCCCCAAACCCAATGGCCTCGGCAGACAGCGACGCAGGAACGGATCCGGCGGGGTCCTGGCCGCGTCCTGTGACACCAAGGCTGTGTTCAATGGGGGATGGGTTTCGGGCTGAAAGGTTTTAACGGTTTAGGGGTTTAGGGGTCTAGGGGCTTAAGGGGGTTAGGGGTGTCGGGCTTAGGGGTTTAGGGGTTTTGGGGTTCAGGGGTTTAGGCAGGTTAGGCTTTAGGGTTTAGGGTTCAGGGTTAGGGCCCTAAAGACGAAATGACCCTCAACAGTAAGGGCCCCATACCCTTATGCTATGAATCATTACGTGGTGTCTGAACATGAAACCCCTTTAGGCTTAATTTCGTCTTTTAGGTGGGGAGGGGTTTGGGGTTTGGGGGAAGAGTGGCTGGAGCATGAGGGGGGGGCCAGGGGTTTGGTTCTAGCGCATTTTAATGTGATGGAGTTCTGGGTTTAGAGTTCGAAGCTTTATAACTTAGAGACAAAAGGGCTTGGGGAGGTCCTGGAATTTACGTGTGCTATACATGCGGGGTTCCTTTTCATAAGGGGATCCTGGTATCTCACGTCTTTCTGTGTGTCCAATCTAGGGTCTCAAACCCTAAACCCCTAAACCCTAAAGCCCTAAACATCTAAACCCCTAAACCTCTAAACCCTAAACCTCTAAACCCTAAACCTTAAAGCCCTAAACCTCTAAACCCTAAACCTTAAAGCCCTAAACGCCCACACCCAGTCAGGATTCCAACAGGAGCTCTGCGGGATTTCCAGACTGGAGTAGGGTTCTGAGATTCATAGGGTTTACTCTAGGCATCTATGGACTCATATATTAAGGCCCTTGGGCCCAAAGGCCATAATTACTACATAAGGCTTTTGGGCCATCTTGATGCCCAGGGTTACTACTATTTGCTTAAGAAACCCCCAAAAATAGACATAATAATCCCTATATTACACCCATAAGAAATATATATTTTGGGGGGTTCTTAAGCACATAGTAGGTTAGGGGGGTAATTAGGAAGTTGGGTTTAAGGATTTGGGATTGGGGTTTAGGGTTTTCGGGTTGTGAAGTTGCAAGTGTTGTAGATGAGATTCCAGGCCTGGAAGGCTGTAGCCTCACGGTTTAGGGTTTAGGGTTTAGGGTTTTAGCCTCAACCCTGAATCACTAACCCTAAACCCCATGCTCCCTTTTTGGTATTGGGTAACCTTATAAGCAACCTAGGACTACAAAAGGGGAATAAGGGTACTACTGGGCATCCTAGGAAATATTCGAACGCCCAACCCTGAGCTTCGCCTAGAGGGGCCTGAACACTTGGAAGAGAGTTTGGGCATACTATCCCGAGACTCCAAGTTTTTGAAATCGTACTTACTTTAGCCTGAAAAATCCATGATTGGTACCTATGTTGTCTTGTGGAGCCACATAAAGCCTTTCCGCAGGCCCAGCTGTGCACACAAGGAGGTTTTCAGTTTGTGGGTACCTGGACCCTTGCAAGTAGGGGCACTTCATTCTCAGACTATGAACCCCTATGTGACATTTGAGCTTTGACCCTTGTGGCGTTCTGTTCGTCCTTAAGGTATGTTGACCGCTGTGACAAAGAATGATGGTGCCGATATCCTTGGACCTGAGGGATTGAGGATTGAGGGCTTAGTGTTTAGGGTGTATTGGATTAGGGGTTTCCCTAGGGGTCCAAGTACCCAATAACCATACACTCTCCAAAACCCTGACCTACATAACTACTATCCTAAAACCGAATACCTAATTATTTATAAGGCCCACATAATGGAACCCTTATAGTATCCCTTTTAAAGGAACCTTATAGAACCCTTTAAAGGAACCCTAATTATTGGGTCCTTTGGGCCCTTGGAGTTTGATTGGGGTTTAGGGAAAGCTTCCTCCTGCAGCACCTAGAGGGCGCCCCGGCAAGATCATGGTCCTCGGAGGCTTGGCGTCGTCAGCTTAAGGATTAGGGCATCTTGTACACAGTAGGAGAGAGACCTTCAGGTGTATGGGAGTATGTAAGGCTTGTAGAACAAAGATGGACCTATTAAGGATGAGCTGATCTTCATCTGGGGGCAAACATACACATAAGTCATATCAGCAACAATTCTGATGGGGATATAACATAAAAACCCCTCATAGTGAAGGCCCCATATGGTATCCCTGTTACATGCTTGTGCTTGTGTCCTGTGTGGGTCCCTGATGACTTGTGCTCCATAATCTTATAAGGGTTCACACGGCTGCTATGGCGGCTCCAAAATGCACTATATAGGTACATCGGGCCTTAGGCCCCGAGAACTCTGGGCCCACAATCTGTGACGTCGTTGCCCAGCTTGGGACCCCCGAGGTTAGGGGTTCAATTTATGGCTTAGGGTTTAGGATTTAAAACTTAGGGTTTAGGGTGGGCTCCATTTATGGGTCTTGGGATTAGGGATTCACGGATCCAAACCAACAGGATTTGGGGCGTGGGTAGGATTTGACATATGATGCTCATCCTGAGATTCGGGCTTCGGGACTACAGCCCACAGCTGCTGTTGATTGGATTGAGGATGCGGGGTGTTTGGGGTTTTGGGATGTAAACACAAGATTTCTCTCGCTGCAGGAATGCTGTGAAGAGTACAAGCTCTCTCCAAAGCTTGGAAACGAACCCCTCCCTCCCCTCTAAAACCCAGAAAAAACATCGAAAACACTGGAAAACCCTGGACAACTTCAAAATCCTACAAACCCTAAAACCCTCGAAAGCCCTCCCTCCCGAGAGCGCGGCTGGCTTTGAAGCGTACTCCGCAAGGCAGAAGCCCAAGAGGCTCCCAGCTGAAAAGTCGACGGCCTAGGCTTTGCTTGGAGGGTCGGGGGACTTAGTAAGTAGGGGGCTCCTTTAAAGGGGATTATAAGGGTTCCTTTAAAGGGCTCTATAGGGGTACTATAGGGTTTAGGGGCCTTATTTGTTTGGAAAAGGGCTTAAAAAGGGGACTTATAAGGGATCTAAAGGGGCTTCACTAATTACCTAGGCTTAGGGGCCTCTTTTTTTTGGAAAAGGGCTTAAAAAGGGGTCTTATAAGGGATCTAAAGGGGCTTCACTAATTACCTAGGCTTAGGGGCCTCGTTTTATTGGAAAAGGGCTTAAAAAGGGGTCTTATAAGGGATCTAAAGGGGCTTCACTAATTACCTAGGCTTAGGGGCCTCATTTTTTTGGAAAAGGGCTTAAAAAGGGGTCTTATAAGGGATCTAAAGGGGCTTCACTAATTACCTAGGCTTAGGGGCCTCATTTTTTTGGAAAAGGGCTTAAAAAGGGGTCTTATAAGGGATCTAAAGGGGCTTCACTAATTACCTAGGCTTAGGGGCCTTGAGAATAGGACACCCTTTGAAGGGATCTCTAAGGGGTTCTTAAGGATTCCTTTAAGGGGATCTATAACCCTAGGCATCTAAGCACTCATATATTAAGGCTTTTGGGCCCAAAGACCATACTACATAAGGCTTTCGGGCTATTTTGATGCCCAGGGCAAAGGGGTCTCGGAGCCTATAAGGGATCTATAGTAGGGTTAAAAAAGTATAGGGGCCTTAAAGGGGCTTCAATGATTACCTAGACTTAGGGGTCTTACCCTACTTAAAGGTTCATGGAACTTGTAACTAGGGTTATAAACCCCTTCACAAGTAAAACAACGATGGTTTAGCGTTTAGGGTTCAGTTTTAGACCTACTTCAGGATGCATAGATTAAATCCCCTTCCTCGATACGGAATATCGCAAGCAAAGAACCTGACTATGTAATTTTAAGATTCTAAATTGTGCGGAATCTTGGAAAATATGCCATGGTATGGCTTGAGCTGAAGCCCTAAATCCTCAACCCTGAACCCCAAACCCGAAACCGTGAACCCCAAATCCTAAAACCCTAAATCCGTAAACCCCGATATCGAAATCCAATCCCAAAAAAAACACTGGGAGTCCCCGCAGAACCGTGGTCGTCGCCCAAGACGTTGTGGCGGCAATCTATGAGCGGGGAGCCCAGTTTGGGGGAGGTTTAGGGTTAAGTGTCTAGGGTTTAGGGTTTCTTGGTTAGAGATACCAAACCAATTTGTCAAGCAATACACCGTAAACTGTGACGGGCTTATTCTTTCAATGTTCAAGGAACATGCGTTAAGTTCTAAGGGGTTCAGCATTATGTATATGTTTTAAGGAATACGTATTTTCTTGTCAGGGTGTATTGGGCTGTGTGGGAAGCTCAGACGTGTCGGATAAAAACCGTACTTGTTGGGTACTTGAACTCTGAAAATACCCTCGGCACCAAGATCCGAGCCTAAACCCCGTAAGGCCACATAGCATCGAGTATTGCTGACACGCTACCGGCCAACCGGCACAAGTCTTTGTAGCTCAAGCCAGCCATATCTAGGGCGGTTACTTCGAACCCTTGCAAGCTAAGCAGATCCTGCATCATGTCGCGACAGCAACTGCATTCACCGAGTTGAAACAAATTATACAGATTGGAACTCGTGCACGAACTGAAGACGGCATTGGCGCCTCGCCGGAGAGGTACTGCCCTGAAACGAAATCAAGCATCTTCACATGTGTGGTGATGGCTGTCAAAGAGCCATCGGCGCCGATAAGATGGCCGAGTGGCTGATCCTTGGGTATACAGTTTTTTTATATAACTGGTTCAGACTCTGCACGTTCCCAACAAAACCCGAAAGAAGCACTTCACAACCCCACAACACTCTATACGACTCGACGGGATCGGGATCCCTGTAAAACTAGAAACCCTATAGAAACCCATGAACACCGAACTACAAACCCTGAGACTCAGAGTATACAAATCGTACCTACTTAAGCCCCGAAAGTCTGTAAGTGGTACCTAAACCCTAAACCGCGAGCCATAAACACTAAACCGTAAACCCTACGCCATAAACCATGCACTAACAGCCCTTTAAAGGAGCCCTGAGGCCTTTGTAGAACCCTTATAGCCCCCTGTAACGGCGCCCCAAACCTATAGTTCTCTTAGGGATTCTTCTAAAGCAACACCTAGGGCCCTACAGCAAAGCCTTTAAGGGCCCTTTACAGAGAATAGGGTTCCAGGGTCCATTACACAATAATTATAATAAGGAACCCCAAAATAGTAGTATAGTACCCTTGTAGACCCTTATAGAACCCGTATAGCACTCTAAAGGAGCCCTAAACCCTAAATCACTAAGCCCTCTAAAGGAACCCTAAGACCCTTACAGAACCCTTTAAAGGGGCCCTAAGCCCTGGGGACTTCGAGAAAAGGCCTGCATCGGCCGGAACTCGATGTCAGAAAGCGGCTTGTTTTTGATCTGCCGGTAGTTCGCCTTGAAGGCTTAAGGGCGGTTTAGTTTTTGTGATATGAAGGTTTGTTCCTATAGGGGTTGGTTTTTGGGGGGTATAGGGTTTATAACAGTGTTATTGCTATTACTACTAGTTGCATTATTGAGTCCGCCGGTAGTTTGCCTTGAAGGTTTAAGGGTTCGTAAAGGGGTTGCTTTAAGGGTTTAGGTTTAGTGATGTTACTATTACTACTGATTGTTGAGTCTGCCGGTAGTTTGCCTTGAAGGTTTAAGGGCTCCTAAAGGGGTTTGCTATAAGGTTTTAGGTTTAATGATATTAGTACTACTACTGATTATTGAGTCTGCCGGGAGTTTGCCTGGAAGGTAGCTTCAAGGTTCCCTATAGGGGTTACTATGACGGTTAATGGATTTAGGGGCTTTTAGGCTGTAGTGTTCAGGGTTTCGAACTTCAATTATGTGGCTGGGAAGATTGTTTTGAACCACCATCGTCAACGGTGCCATCATGAAAATTGTCTACTACACGAGCGTCGTCAACATCTTCGCCATGATAATGTCCCATGTCTTCTGCGTCGGCGTCTTGAACCTGATCATAGCTACACAAGGCCACAGATTGAGGCTCCAGCCCTCTGCCCCGAGCCTGAGTGGGATCCTTCACATTCCGCAAGTCCAACTGTGTCTATGCATCAAGGAAAGGGTTTACGGTTCATGCACCACACACGGAATCATAGTATAAGGCATAGGGTCCTCACTGGTACTGGTCACTTGGCTCCCAAGGCACTTTGTTTTTGCGGCGTTGGTTGCTTGTCCCGTAAACCCGAGATCATAAACCTTGACCCCTTAAGTACTAGACCCTTAAACTTGAAATCCTGAACCCTAACACCCTTGCACCCTGAACCCCAAGCCCTAAATCCTAAAGACTTGAACCCTCAAACGGAACCCTAAACCCTAAACTTAAACCCTAAAACCTTAAACCCGAATGACCCCAAACCCAAACCCTTAGAGAGACTCGCGCTGTCCAAGGCTGGAACAGATTTCCGTGCCAGCGCCATGAGAAGCTGCCTTAGATCAGGGTTTAGGGCTTCAGGTCAGTGTCTTAGCTGCCTTAGATCAGGGTTTAGGGGCTAAGGTTCCGGGTTTTAGCTGTCTTTTATCAGCTCGGATCGGCGCGGGGCTCCTATCAATAAAGGTTTCCCGAAAGCTCAGCTCTGTTTTCATGGCTTCAAGAGCTGAGGTAATGGTCTACAAAGATAGTTGAGGGCCTTCGTAGGTTCCTTCTAGGGCAATTTGCTTTACAGGTTTAAAGGGTTCAGAGTTGCGTTTTTTTTAGTGGGTCCAGGGCTTACTATTTTTTCGAAGACTCATGGACTCGTACGTTGAGGCTTTGCCCAAAGGGTCCAAGTATCATTATATGAAATACTTAGACCCCCATAATACCCTATAAGTATGTGCCATAACGATACTTGGACCCTTCGGGTTGGGACCAACCAAGTCATGCAAAGTGCTTTCTCCTTGGTTCTGAGGTTAAGCCTGAGTTTCAGCTCAAGTGTTCGGGAGACTTTAGTTACGCGGAAGAAGGCGATGAGTAGGACTGCATCATAACATAAACCTTACATACCCAGAGGGTCCATACAAAACTAAAATACCATTATTAAATTAGGTCCCAAAAGTGACCATCCCCATTATGGTTTTTGGTGCCTACTTCCAGAATAGTAGTGTATATGGACCCTCTCGGATAGTAAGTTTACTGTGACTTCGAGTAGCTCTGGTTTCAGAGTTGGATGTGGCTTTCAACATGCTAGCCTTCAGTGTCTGCGAGTTCTATGAAGGTCAAGTTTGAGCAGGTTAGCTGTCAGTGTAGTGAAGTACCATGAGGGTCCAAGTTATCGAGCATATCATCGGGCTTTTAATCCCAGAGGCTGTACTCAAACTTGATCTTGGCACCTGCAAGACTGTTCTTGGTACATGAACTTGTTAGCCCTATGAGCGCCAGGTCGCATGTGTCATATTTGTACACATACATGCATACACTATGTTTTGCGCACATGCTCTCCTGAGCATCCTCCATCTCCTTGGGCTTCTGCTCGAGCAGATGAACCAGAAGCCTGACTCGTCTTGGAGGCTTCTCTGGGTCCCACCGCGCTCGACCCATCGCTGCATGAATCGGCGCTGGTTTTGCTTCCTGTTGATGATATAAACCCTGCATTACCTTAAGGACCCTAAACTATGGGAATTATGATATACTCCTTATTAAGGGTTATGCAGGATTTATATCATCAACCTTTCTCACACTCGGCGAGCTGCTCACTTGACGTCATCTCTAACAAGGCCTAGAACTGGGCTTCGTTCTGCCCTTTGATTCCCTCGCAAGACACTTGCAAAACCCCAAACCCTAAACCCCTTTAGAAGAGCTCTTAAATACATGGTTCCTCAGTAACCCTTGAATAACAAGGGTACCTTTCTTCCTAATATTCGGCTTTAATAAGAAGACCCCCCAAAATGGAAGGGGCAAACGGGTACTACAAGGGCTACCCTAAGCCCTAAACCCTTTTCAAGTAACTCTTACAGCGGTCCTTAAAGAGAACCCGTACAGGGACCCAAACAGTGAAGCCCCGCAGTTTACGCAGGCTCGTGAATGCCAGGGCCCTGGCAGCATGGCAGGGAGAAAGTTCCGCCTCAGAGGCTGATCTACTGAGTGTATGGCGGCAACTACATGTGTATTTCTATGCATGCATGCATGCATGCATGCATGCATACATACATACGTACATGTGATATATCTGTAGATACAGATACGTCACATGTATAAACAATAAGTATATACATATATATGTATACGACTTTTACATCCAGACATGGATACAGCAATAATGCTGTAATGTCGACGTGGACATAAAATTGGTACAATTAGGCAACCGAGTTTGCTCTCTCACTCTAGCTCTCCCTCCCAGATCTCTCTCTCTCTCTCTCTCTCTCTGTGTATATATACACACACATGTACATATATAATATACAAAGAATATACCGTTAGACTGATCGATGGTTAGACGGATAGATAGATAGACAGATGGACGGACAGCACGAGAGACATAAGGATAGAGAGTTTCACAGATCGATGGGTAGGGGTGTACTGTAGGTAGTAGGTACAGGTAACCCGTACAGATATGGGTAGATGTCAAAATTAGGGCCCCTTTTTGGGTGCCCTAAATATTAGGTGCCGTACTATAATGGCGACCCAAAAAGGACCCTAATTTTGACAACCACCCATATAGTACGTAACGGTAGAGGTACAGACATCGATAGTGAACACAGATTAATTCCAGCCTACCGCCATCGCTGCACCGGCCGACCTACTGAGGACCTACCGCAACATCCATACTCACACTTGTGAGTATGGTAGTGTAAATAGATGCCGATCTTGATATAGAAGTTTCCGAAAATTAGGGGTACCTTATTTTGGGGTCCTTATAATCAGGATCCTTCCATTTAGGTTACTATATTAGGGTCCCCTATTTTGGGAAACTCCCATATAGGTACAGGTTCAGATATCGAATGATATAGATGTTGATATAGGCTGAGCCCTGGAGGCTCAAACCCTAGACCCCAAACACATCCCAAATCCTAACCCTTTCTCAAAGGGAAAAAGGAGGGACCTTTAATGGGGACCCCTACCCTATGATGGGCTAAGTAATGGGTATATAATGAGTATATTGAGGCTATATACCTAGGGGTCCTTATTAAGGGTCCCTCCTTTTACCCTTTGACTTTCTAGACCCCTCAGCGGAGCATGCACAAGAACCCGCACTTGGAGGATCATGGGACTTAGTAACTAGGGTTTGTAAATAAGGTAACTATACTTATAACTCCAATTAGGGTACTTATAACCTTACTTACTCAGTCCCACGATCCTCCAAGCATGCCCTTCTGGCGTCTTGAGGCCCCCTCTCGTGCTCCGCCTTGCCCCCGAGACGAGCGCAAATGTCAGCCTGGGAATCGGAAAGAGTTGGTGTAGCTTTTGGAATCTGTCGTCATCTGCTATAATCAATGAAAGTATATTTATTTTAAAACATACTGTAAACTGCTATAACATAAGATCGCCAACGATGATTTAATCTAGTATAGTATACGTTAATCTACCGAGGGTATAGAGTTTCGGACTCGGGGTGTAGGGTTAACTTGCTGGTGCCGTGCTTAACTGAAGTCAACCGGGGGGAGTGGGAGAGTACACTTAACGGTCCCTGTAAACGAACCCTTAAAGGAGCCGTAGCCGAAAGCCCTACGGTTCCCAAAGGATTCCTTACAGGATCTCCGTAATGGTCCCAAGATAGTCCCGGCATTCCCTCCTCCACGCTCCCTTAAGCACACAATGCGTGTTAGGGTTTAGGGAGAAGTTTAGGTTTAGGGTCTAGGGTTCAGGGTATAGGGTACAGCGTCCAGGTAGCCAACGTTCTTGAATGTGAAGCCCACAGCATGCACAGGAAGTTTCTGAGTGTCAGGTCTGAAAGCCCGAGGTAACAATCCACCCCTAAAGACCAACACGCTAAACCCGAACACACAACCTTTAAGAGACGAAACGAACCCCAACACGGTGCAAAGTGCGTGTACCATGCAAGGAAATCTTAGTATTAGGGTACAGGGCCCTGCCTATGGTCATTCAGTCCCCAAAGACCCCTGAAGCCTTAACAGCAATTCGTGCACCCTACAAACCTGCAGCTTACTGTAGCCCCTTTCGGCTTCAGGGTGTAGGGTTGAGCTTTGGATCCTTCAGTTCGCTCCATACGTAACCCCGAAACCCCAAACAGCACATCATGAAGCCAAAACTCCGATTCTTGAGACCCGTATAGCTGCTTCACGTCAACCCATGGCGGGGTCTAGTCGACTCGTGCAGTGCTTGTGGTGACCTAGACAGGGACCCCAATCCAGAGAACCGAACGCCCGAACATTAACCCTAAGGCTCAATATGGCCCAAACGCCTTATATAATATGGTCTTTAGGCCCAAAAGCCTTAAAACATGAGTCCTTGGAGCCTTAGGGTGAGGGTCTAAGTGCCCGATCGAGGACCCCTAAACCCTTAAGCCCTAAACTTTGTAAACCCTTAAACCCTAAACCCTGAACCCGAGTACGAACCCTAGAAACCCGACTCCGAGAAATCCCTCCAAGGGTAAAAGGAGGGACCCTTAATAAGAACCCCCAAGTAAATACCCTTAATATAGCGATTATATACCCATTATGGGGTAGGGGTCCCCATTAAGGGTCCCTCCTTTTCCCATCTGAATCCCGTCTCAGCCAATGGCGACCCGGCCGGCGGCCTTGCAGGTGCAGGGCTCTACGGCGGTCATATTGTCAGAATGATGGCCCCCTTTTTGGGCTTAACGGTGCCTTTAAGGGTTCCTGTAAGGGTTTAGGGTTTAAACGTTTTCAGGGTCCATGTGGGTGGTTGTCAAAATGATGGCCCCTTTTTGGGTCCTTATTATAATACGGCACCGAATATTTAGGGTACCCAAAAAGGGACCCTAATTTTGACAATCACCCATATAGGCTGGCTGTTGGGGGGGATATTCTAGTAGAGCTGTATTTGGGAGTAGAAGGGGTAGGGTCTAATGTAATCTGACCCCTGTAATTATTCGGGATTCTAGGGCTTAGATTGTTGACGTTTGAAGGCTTTAAGGCTGCAGGCTACAGGTTTTCAGGATTCAGGGCCAGGAAATGGATGTTTCATGATTTTCACCTTTGGGGTTAGGGTTTTAGGGCTTGTAGGGTTCTATAAGGGATTGGAGGTTCAGGATTTTGGGTGTCTTGGTGCAGTGCACCTTTCAAACCTTCACCTCGTGCTTGGACTCGCCATATCTTCCAACAATCCTCTGCGGTACTCTCGCAAGCCTAAATCACCAGACCTAAAACTTCAAAACCCTAAACCTCCAAGCCCTTAACCCTATGAGCCCTAAAACCCTAGAGTCCTAAACCCCAAAGGTGTACTCCAGCAACAGGGGGGGCGATGAGCGTCTTCATTGCCGCCCAAAACCCTTCATTAAGGAATATACTACCTTAACCTATCGTAGGATCCAGAAAATGACAAATCGCAAACCCTGAGCCGAAAAGATCCTAAAACCCTAAACCCGAGGAGATTTTGGAAGGTCTGCGTTCGTCATTGCTCAGTTCCATCGGCGGTTCGGGCTTCGTTTTCACAGTTTGGGGTTTCGAAGATAGGTCTTCCTTTTGGCCTCTCCAACGGCAGGGTCTTCCTCAGCACTGTCGTGGCTTTGTCAGGTTCTTCGGGCCTTCTTGTAGTTGGAGGACCATGGGACGGGGTGTTTGGGGTTATATAAGGTAACTATACTTATAGTTAATTCGCCTCGGCCACTGCCCCCCCCCCCCCCCCCCCTTAAAAATGGAAACGTGTCACTGAGCTCCAAGGTACGGCGGTGAATTCTCGCCCCCTCCAACGGATTTTGGCTTCTGTGGGCAGTCCCACCCAATTTTCCTCGCTTCCCCTCCCCCCCCTCCCCCCCCCCCACTCCCCCTTCCCTCCCGCCCCTCCTCCGCTCGCTGACAGGTGCGAGCTTTCTGGAGTTTTCGACGACACGGGACTGCAATGTAGCATCTTTATCTGAAAAATTGGGGCTCGCCTGTAAGGCTGCAGTACCAAGGGAGTTTTCAAAGCCCGGACAACACCTGCACCCGAAAGCACGACGCCATGTTTATCTCTTGGGGCGCGCCTTTAAGGCTGCAGTACCAAGGGAGTTTCAAACCTGAACTCCTAACCCTGCACCCTAACCCCAGCCTGAAAAATTGGGGCTCGTTTGTAAGGCTGCAGTACCAAGGGAGTTTCAAACCTGAATTCCTAACCCTACAGCCTAGCCCCAGCCTGAAAAACTTTCAAAGCCCGGACAACACCTGCACCCGAAAGCACGATGCCCCCCTCCCCCGCCCCTGCCCCCCCGCCCCCCCTCCTCCCCCACCCTCCCTACAAGAGCTTGCTGCAGATAGTAGCCACTCGCCGCATGCGCGTACAGCCGGGCCGAGGCGGACGACGCGCAGTGTTTCAAATTACGTAACCCCAGCTTGGGGACTTATAACCGAACTTACTAAGCCCATGATCCTCTGAAGTAGAAGCCAGAAAGTTGGAACATCATTCTCCTCCTGCCCTTAAAGTAAAGTACAGAAGATACCAGCACTAATCATCCTAAATCCATGTTCCAACTTTCTGGTGTTTACTATAAGTAGTCCAGACTTCCACTGCCCTGACATCCCTCATACGTTGCTCCTTCTTTGCCTGCATCTCGTGTAGGCCCTTCCCACTGTGTGGGCATTTGGGCTCTTTTGAGACTTAGGAGAGATGCTACACGCCCGAACAGTCATCTAACATTGCTACAACTAACTTGAAACCTAATCCCGACCTGCAGGGTCAGACCCTATACCCCAAATTTGGGGTACCTTGTCTTATGGTGAGGATCTGACCTACAGTAAAGCAGGTACCCCCAAAAGGGGTAGTGTGTGACCCTTTCGGTACAATCCATAGCATATCCCCCAAACCAGAAACCCTAAACCCTAAAACACCTCTGAATATGATTGGTTTCCCTCTGAAAAGCCCTGAAAAGGTTTGTCTGTGTGTTTGCGTGAACGCTTAAACCCTACACCCTATAAGCTTTACTAGCTGGACATTGAGCTCCATATGGGAGTTTCCGAAAATAGGGGACCCTAACAAAGTACCCTAAATAGTAGGATCCTTATTATAAGGACCCCCAAATTAGGAACCCCCTATTTTCGGAAACTCCCATATAAACCCCAAACCGGCAAACCCCAGCGCCGCCAGAAGAGGCGCTGCCTCCGGGCTGAGTTGAGTCTCGAAGAAGCTCCGAGCCTCAAACAGGGCTTTGTGCGATTACCTGTGGATCCAAAAACCTACCGTTTTTAGGGTTAGACCCTCTAGTTAAGGGGTCATAACCTACTTTTTTGTAGGGTTTGAGGGTTCAGAGTTTAGGGTTTGAGGGTTTGAGGGTTTAGGGTGTGGGGGCTTAGGACTTAGGATTTCAGGACTTCTTCTTCTTCGACGACCACCACCACCACGACCACGACCGCGATCACGACCATGGACCACGACCACTGCCACTACCATTACGACGACGACTACTGCTACTGATGCCACTATAATGGAACTATGCCATCCCGCTTACTGTCTCTGGTTTCTAAGTTGATAGTGGTAGCTGTATCAAATTTGTGGACGCTCTGCGAAGGACAAGCCTAGGTAAGGCAGAATAGAACCAGTAGAAGCCAGACAGGTTGAACATCATTATCTGCATATCGTTAAGGTGAAGTATAATGAATCACCGCTTCAATCACTCTAAAGCCATCTTTCATGCAGTTTTCTTCGCTATCTGAGATCTGCCCTCTAGTGACTCCCCGGATTTTCGTAAATCAGATCCCCTTTGGCCGAACAAGTAGGGAAGCTAGAAACCCTCCCAAAGGCCTAATTAGGCAACAGGCATATGTCTGGGGTAGGTCCGGGGCTGGTCCCGAGTCCCACATGCCCGCAGACACCGGGGATGAAAGCCTTCAAAACTCTATGGATTCAGAATTTAGAGGTTTGTTAGGGTTTCGGACCCTAAACCCTAAACCCTAAACCCCTAGGGATTTAGGCTTCAGGTTCAGGATGTTAGGGTTTAAACGCAACGCTTCAACCTCTGAACAAGCACCCAAGAGCCTTAAGAACCCAAAGCCCCTTGAAGGACCCCTTACCCTAAGGGTCCATGTACCTATATAGTGGGCCTTAAAGTAGTCCCCATAAAGGTGTTTTAAGGCCAAAGTATCTAGTATATTAGGGTACATGGACCCTGTGGGCTACATAAGACGACAACGTGCTTAGGAGCTCTGAGGTCATAGCTGAAGACTTCGTGGTATCAGCAGTTGCCTGGAGCTCCTCTGCGACTCTCCCAAAGCGGCAAGCAGAATTTAGTGCTAGGGCTTGGGTTTGGGTTTATGCTGAGGTTTAGGGTTCAGGGTTTGGGTTTTGGGCTTCGGGCTAGGGTTTAGGGTTTAAGGTTTGGGCTTGGGCTGGGGCTTGGGATTAGGGTTCAGGGTTTGGGCTTGGCTTTCGGGCTTGGGTTTAGGGTCTCGGGCTTAGGATCCTGGGCTTGGGTTTAGGATCTGGGGCTTAGGGTTTGGGGTTGGGTTTAGGGCTTCTGATTACGATTCAGGGCCCTAAACCCTAAACCCTAATAGGGTTTGGGCTTATTTAGAAACTAGCAGGATGAGGCTACATAGACATAGTACTCAAGTATTAAAAAGAAGGGGTTCCTAATGCTGTACCCCTATAACCGAAGCTCTGGTTTCAGGGTTTATAGGGTTTTGGCTTAGTGCTTGCGTGAAACTAAAAATCTCCGAATCCCAAATACTGACACCTGAAAGCCCCACGGCCAGAACTGCTGAACCTTAGACGCCTCAGACCATGAGGCTTTATAGATACCCTTCAAACCAACCTAAAACGAAGGGCCCTGCCTGGACCTGAAAGTATGTAGAACAGTAGCCGTTTGATAGGTGTTGGGCCATTATGCTGCCGAGGTAAGCTCTAAACCCTCACGCCCGAGCCGAAAACCGTAAAAGCACTCTCTCCTTTACCCTAAATGGGAGTTTCCAAAAGTAGAGGACCCCTACCCTAAATAGTAGGATCCTTATTATAAGGACAAGGACCCCCAAACTAAGGCACCTCCCCCATTTTCGGAAACTCCCATAGGCCTGAGCCCTTAACCGCAAACCTCAAACCGAAACAGGTCTGAGGCTAAAAGCCCCAACTCTATAAGGGATCTATAAGGGTACTATAGCAATGTAGGAGCCTGATTAAGAAACCTTGGGCCTTTGTGAGTGAGTGTTCCTTATATGAATCCTACTATTTTATATGAATCCTACTATTTTGGGGTTGTAGGAGAAGGGTTTCTTAATCAGGTTCCTACATTATACAGTCTGAGGGCCTCAGGGTTTTGGCAGGGTCAGGTGCTCGGAATGAGGAAATGCACCCGAAAAGGGTTGAAGGGGTCATACACCATATACTAGACCTAAGAATAACCTAGGAATAAAAAGGGTGCCCTTTTTGGTTTAAAGGGTGTTATAAGGGAACCTAAACCCTAAAAGGGAATAAGGGCCTACTCTGGGTCCTAGTATCGGGATTCCCAAAGTATAAGGGTATAGGGCCTCTACCTATAAGGGTCATAGTCATTTGGTCTCTAAGGTTCTGACCCCCTGCGGCATAGGGAAGGCTAATCTCATCAACGGCGAGCCACAGTATGCCCAGAGACTCCAAAACCCTTAGTGTAGGAATATACCTCAATATATAGTCGGAACCCTGATATGGTGCAGCGTATGTTCCTGAATTGGGATACCGGAAAGTCAGGGTGGGCCCACTATCCGGCCTCCAAAACCGAGCATTGAGGTTTCAAAGCCCGAGGGGCGCCCAAAGTGGCAATCGGATCCTGTTCCCTAAACCCTAAACCCTAAATCCTATACCCTAAACCCTGAACCCTAAACCCTAAAAGCTGTATCTTCTTGACTCTCGGGCTCTTGAGCGAGACCCTCAGCCTCCAGCAAAAACCAATGTCCACGTGAGGCCAACACTGGGGCCGATGATTGAGCGAAACCACGGTTTCTCCGACCAATGTCTTCTTGACTCTTTGAAGAGTCCAGACCGGGTCGGCCCTTGGTCGTCCGTCTGTCCGGCTTTGGCCCTTATGGGCGAAAGCACAGCAGAAAGTAACTGAACGGGGGGCCCGCCTGCCGCAGGCGACCCGATGACACTCTCCGTGCAATGCCCCTCCAAGCATCGGCCTACTTGAAGGAGCCCTGACACAAGGGCTGGCTTAAAGCACCCCAAGTATAGGTAGAACTTCAGTTGAAATCGCTGCTCTAAGCCCCTAATTCGGCCCAGTTTGCACCCCGCAGCTTGAGAATTTGGAGCTACAGAACAACACCTTCATCAGAATCGGCAGACGTCCCGGCATAGCAACCTTGTACCTGGTAAGAAACCTTGTTAATCCTCCAAGAGTCTGTTTGTCCAGCTCGGCACGTCATGGACCCCAACTGCAGGTAGAATAGGGGCCTTAAAAAGAAGCAGAGGGTGAAGTGCAGGGTCCTTATACACCTTGCCCAAACAGGGTTTCCACAAAAACAGAACTCCGCAAACTGCGAACCTTCTAAGCCCTAAGCCTGAAACCCTGAACCCTACCTGGAGGTTCCTGGGACTTAGTAACTAAGGTTATAAGCACCCCAAATGGAGTTGTGAGCAACTATGGCAATTATTAGTATAGTTACCTTAGCCGTAACCCTAGTTACTAAGTCCGATGATCCTCCAAGTAGACCCTAAACCCTGAATCCCTATAGATCCCCCATAAAACCCTTTAAAGGAAGCCCCTTAAGGAACCCTTTAAGGAACCCTAACTCCCATGACCCTCAAAAACATGGGATCCTGTAAGCACCCTGATCTGAAGCCTTTCCCAGACATTGGACCCTGCAACCGCCCTAACAGAACCACTCCAACAGTCGTTCATCCCTAAACCCTAAACTCTAACACTTAATCCCGAAACCCTAAACCCGAACCCTTAAACGCTAAACTCTAAACCCTGAGCCCTCGCACCTGAGCTCTGGCTTCACCCAGCTTGAGAAGTAGCACCTCTACGAGATGTGGCCGGTTTGTCGTGGGTTGATGCAGGGTCAGGTTTCGTGGGGTTTAGGGCAACTCTGAACCCTAAGCCCTAGGGCTTGTGGGTTTGAGAGCTTGGACTCCATAAGCCCCTTGGACCCAAAGTATGATTTAGGCATACGACGACTCAAAAATGGAAAGTCATTCCTACCCCAAGCCATACCTGGAGCCCCCAAAACCGACCCTTTTAGGGTTCCTTAATCATTTCCTTACTTTTTTAAGTCCTCAAAAAGGGTAGGTTATTCGGGGCTAAGGTAAGCCCTATAGGCACCCAGCCTGCAGGAAACCCTAAATAGAAAGGACAAGCTGGTTGCGAAAGCTTGACTTTGCGGATCGAAGCGGAACCCCGTGCTGGAAACCCTCAAGACTCTAAGTAGAAGCCAGAAAGTTGGAACATTATTATCCTCATGCCCTTAAGGTAAAGTATGAGGGATCCTAGCACCCATCCTCCAAGCCATGTTCCAACTTTCTGGCTTCTACAAAAAGGACCCCGAAGTCCGTGCTACTTGGAGAATCACGGGACTCAGTAAGTACGGTTATAGTACCTAAACTGCCATTACAATTTGTTGTATTGTTGCCTTATTACTCAATTATTACTCTCTTCTTCAACAACCGGGCCCCAAAAAGTTCAAACTTTCTAAGATAGAGCTAATCTATAAGGCCAAAAAGTTTAAAGTTCCCCGTTCACGATCTAAGATTTTACCCCTACTTCCTGAGACCCAAGATCCTCCAAGTACTTCACAGACAGAAATGACCTTCAAGCCCTCAACAATGCAAACACTCGACAGCCCCTATGTTGAACTCATGTAGACCATGAATGATCTCAAGGGTTTAGGGACCTGAATAAACTGACCAAAAGAACACTCACCCCCTTAAAGGGTCCAGGATACGATACATCGCCACATGGAGCTGTAGGGAAACCTTTACACCCGAGCACCGAAAACCACCAAGGAACCCTTCCAGCACCCCCATAGCACCCTCATCATCGAACTTGCGAACACTTAGTCTTAATAGGCCCGAAATAGCACCATCATCATGATCTCCCTGTAGCAACCTCATAGAACCCAGGAGTGGCCTCCTTCACTCCACGCCATTCCTCGGACACGGCCAAGCGCACCAGAAAAGACAGGACGCCTCGGATTATCGGGTGCATGCGGTCGTGCAGGGTTTAGGGTTGAAAGGGTTAGGGATGCTTCCTATGCACTCTGAGCCATCGGAGTCCTACTCCACCCCGTTTCAGGGCATGGCTTGCGCTCATACGAGGCATTCCCTTCCAGGGGTCCTTGTTGCAAGAGTATCAACCGTACTACCATCTTAGGGACCCACCAGACCAAGAGGGACAATCAATCTATCAATCTATCAGCCTTCATACATATTTATTTCTATGTACGGATGTAGGTATAGATACAAGTCTAAGTATAGATACAGACGTAGATATAGCTACAGGCTGAAACAGATGTACCGAAACATATAGAACTATCTATCTATCTATATATATATATATATGTGTGTGTGTGTGCCACACATGTACGTATGTATGTATGTATATATATATATATATATATATACACATGGGGATAGATGTGGATACAGATACAGATGCAGTTCCAAGTACAGATACAGATATAGTAGACATAGATATAGGTGCATGCACATCTACATAAATAAATCAATAGATAATATATATATATATATATATATTTATATTTAGGGATCACGGAGATCCTTCTTGCTTTTTTGTGTAGGCAGTGTTGGTGTGTTGGTTTAGTTTGTTTAGGGTTGAGGGTTTAGGGTTTGCTCTGTGGTTGCTGGTTGCCTTTGTCTGTATTGCTGTGTGCTTTTTTGAGAACGAGGTGACTTGTCCAGTATCCCAGGGGAACTAATGAATATAGGTACTTCTCTAAATTAGGGTGTTCTTTCAAGGTCCATTGTTATAAGGGGTGCCGTACTTTTGGGGGGTCCTAGAAAGAGATCCTAAGCCAGAGAACTAAACACATAGGGGCTATAATGGCCGAAAAAGTTATGTGCCCTGCTACCGAGGAAGCTCCACACCCTAAACCCTTTAGCCAAAACCCTAAATCCCAGACCTTAACACCAATCCCTAAAACCTAAAGCCTAAAAACCTCAACCCCTGAACCCTTAAAGGAACGCTTATAGAACCCCGTATAGGACCTAAGCTACTAAACGGGAAAACCCAAAGTTCAAAACCTAGACCCCCCAAACCCATGGAAAGCCCCTCACAGAGCCCTTATAGATCCCTTATAGGAACTTTACTGGGCTTTTAAGTAACCGGGAAGAAAAAAGTATAAACTTTCATGTCATACTGGCTCCCTTAAGGAAAGAAATGTTACAGGATGATACTCCAAAGCTCAGTTTCTAGAACCCTTACAGGAACCCAATTTTCGGACCTACTAAACGCCCTAAACCCTAAACCCCTAATTAAACCTTAAACCCTAAACCCCAAAACCCCTAAACCCTAAATCCTAAACCTTCAACATTAAACCCTAAAACCCTAAATCCTAAACCCCTAATGTAGGACCTACTAAAAGTAGGGAAAAGAAGGAGCGCCAGGCCTTCGGCGACCTCTCCGCGCGCGACGTCCGGCCGCCGATCGCAGACGGCGATGCACAAGTCCAGCCTGGAGGGGGGGGTTTAGGGTTTAGGGTTTGGGGTTTGGGATTTAGGACTCATGGTTTAGGGTTTAGGATTTAGGGATTAAGGTTTAAAGGTTTTTAGGGTTTTGGGGGTTTGGGTTTGGGGTTACAAGCTGTAGGGCTGGGTGGGGTGTGGGGCTCAGGTGTTTTTGCTAAGTTGGGTTGACTTATTCTTTGATCGTAGGTTTTTGTTGATCGTAGGGTTTAGGGTTGAGGGTTTAGGGTTTTGGGCTTAGGGTCTGGAGAGTTTTAAGGTTTCGCGGTCGTGGGTTGTACGTTTGCGGTTTACTATTACTGGTCTTCCCACAGGGTGGGGGCCGTGTCGTCCCTCCTGTTCCCACGCCCAAACCAAGAATGTTGTCGTGGAGGATGCGGAGCCCGGGGTTCAGGAAGATCTTCTTCGCGTTGTGCCGAGGGCTTGCATCCGGATCGTTGCCATCTCCACTTCGTCCGCCGGGCTCTTGTCGGGGTGAAGCCGAATAGCGGTGCGCTTGTACGCCTCCCGGTGGGAGACCCAGAAAGTCCCAGGCGCTCCCCCACTCTTGGATCCATTCCCGGAGCTGCCGGTTTCCCATGCCAGTCGGAGGCGCGGCTTCGGCCATAAGCGTAGATTTTACAATTTTCAAGGGTTCTGAGAAGAAGGTGTGCTTTCTTAGGATCGTTCACAATACCTTCTTGTAAACGGATTTCTGCGACACATTAGGACTGTTTTGGAGTGCTCAACGGGTTCCCAAGGAGCTCATTATGCTTGAACATTAAGCAAATGCATCATAGCGCTCAATGGGGTTCTGAAGAATCAGACACATACAAGGTGTAGACCTGGTTCGGATAATGGCTACGGCTAGGGTGAACCCCTGAACATCTCACGAAGGAGCAGCATCGCAATACCAAGCGCCAGCTGACGATTGCAGAAAGTTCACACCGCTGGATACTATCCCAACATGTCCCAAGTATGGCCATCTAGTAGAAAGCAAGGTTTCCATAACAGGAGCAATTGCGTATTGTTTAGGGTCTACTTCTAGGTTCATGAGACTGAGTACGCACAGTTATAAGTACCTTAATAACATGAACCTGTCATTCGCATATTCCGGCGGTTCTGCTGTACTTGCCCGGGATTGAGATCCGATTGCCCAAGAAGGATTCAGCGCGTATCCCCCTATACCTTAAAGCTCTGAACCCTGCAATCACCATGCCTTACACCCGCAACACCTCCCGCAACACTAAAAGGCACTACACCATCAACAAACCAAGCGCTACATCCTAAGCCCCAAAACTAAACACGCAGGGGTAAATAAATACATACATATATACACCATATAAACAGATACATTTTCATGTATATGTATCTTTATCTACGTTTCCACACACATACATGCATACATACATACTTACACTTCCTACCGAAGCGTGCCACGACATTCTACACAACCTTTTCAACGGTGTGCTCAATCTACACAGCCTGAAAGAATACATATATATATATATACACCACACAACAACTCATGGCATCCCCTGTATGCACCTTGATGCACGGTATGTAGGACCCTATGAAACACAATATTAAGCACGAAGCTAGTTAACAAACCAAACAAACCTAAACCTTAAACCCTAAATCCTCAAGCCCTAACACCCCGAACCCTAAGCAACGGTAGCCTATCCAAGATACGAGCTGCGAGACAGCTTTTGTTTTAATGGACTAATCACATGAATCATGCCATGCTCGTCCCACTGACCCTCGAAGAACCTTCGGGGCTAAGGGTTATAGAAAGACGAACTCGACTAGAATAGCCTCTTGTGACTCTCTAGAATGAAGGAAGCACTCAAAAGACCCTTCCGGAAAACATTGCCCGAGCTCAAACAGTGAAGAGCAAGAGGGTTTGAGCAAAGCCCCTAAGCCCCAAACCCTAGACCCCTAAACGCACACACTCTAAAACCCTGAACCCTCAAGCCGTAAACCCAAGATGCCCAAGCCTTGAAACCCTCAAAACCTCAAATCCTAAACACCAGTAAAATAACACAGAAATGCAGCCCTCAATCCCGCCCTCGCATACATCAACAGCACGAAGCACGGGCTGAGCTCTATGCAGCTCCTTTTCAAAGGCAATGCGATGCTCCACCACATCACCCCTCGGCATACGTAGGGGTTGTAAAGGATGTTCACAAGGTATGAGCATGCATTATGAGGTTTTGGTGACTCTTTGTACCGGTTTCGCTTTTAGAAGGTTTTGAGTCCTGCAAAGTTTGTGTAAGGTCTAGTAGAAATTATGAGGGAGAAATGAAGAACGGGTCTTATTTAAGTCACGGTTTAGTGCCTGATGTTCTTTCATGCTGGATGGCACGCGTTATGCGTATGCGTGTACATATGCACATATATATGTACACATATGTGTGTACACATATATGTACATGTGAAAATAAGTAAGTATGTATGTATGTATGAACCTATTTGTGAGTGTATATATATATATATATATATATACCATATACATTTGTCAACCAGATGACTGGTTGATTCGAAAGCTATATCTGCCTGCCTAAACCACATATACATATACATAGAAACATACATACATATTTACATATAACTATACACATACATATACAAATACCTATGCGTATACATTTCGCATACCTATACATACACATACAGATACACACGCACATACACACACACACACACAAACACACACACACACACACACACACATATACACATACACAGACATACACAAACACAACACAACACACACACACGCACACAATCACACACACACACACACAACCTTACACACGTACATGCATGCATGCATATATATAATATATATATATATATATATACATATATATATATATACATATATATTTATTTACAAAATACAAAGGTACGTATATGTAAACACACACACACACGTGTATATATATATATATATATATTGTCCATGTGTTCGTTTGTTCAACTGTTTGTTTGGTGTGTTGGCTTCAACGTTTCTGCTTTGAGTCCTAGAGCCTAAAGGTTTGCAGTTCGAAGTTGGCAGTGGTGTATCCTTGCCTTACACTCTTCCTCCAAACCCTAAACCTCAAACCGTACGTAAACCTTAAACCCTAAACCAAATTGCAACCCAGGTTGAAGGGTTCCGGGTTCAGCAAGAAGCCCCCTTTGAAGGCTTGAGAGTGTTGGTGTATTATCTAAAGAGCTACCCCACTAAACTTCAAACACCAAAATGATGCTGGAAGGAATTCTAGCCCCCGAAGACCAGATTCGAGGAGTTGCACACCTTCAAGATCTAGTCATGTTTTTTGGCGAGGGTGGGTGCATGAGAGGTGGTTAGTGTTCAGGTTGGGGTGTTCTTTGTTGCTTGCTGTTGGTGTGGAGGGGTGCTTTTGAGTTTAGGGCCCACGGTCGAGGGCAGAGCCTGCATGTGCTGGGGGGAAGCTATTACGAAATGAGCCCGATTCAAACTTGACATCCTTAGTGACTTCGTCCCCAGCCTATTCAAGACCGCCGATAAGTTGAAACCAATGTCAAAACTTTAACCCTAAGGCTCAATATGGCCCAAAAGCCGTATATAATATGGTCTTTCTGCCCAAAAAGCCTGAAATATGAGTCCTTAGAGCCTTAGAGTATGATTATAGATCCCCTTAAAGGACCCTGAGGGTAAACTCCGAACCCTACTGAGGATCAGCACGAGGAGTTGTCGCGCAGTGATGCTTCGGCCTAACCAGGCGCAGTCTAGGCTCCCCAAAAACCCACACTTAGGGTTTCGCAAATAATGATATATGGGTGGTTGGTTTGGGGTTCAGGGTTTGGTGTTCAGGGTTTAGGGTTTAGGGTTTGGGGGTTTAGGGTTTGGGGGTTTAGGGATTAGGGTTTACGTGGAGGATCATGGAGGCGAGTAAGTAAGGTTGTAAGTACCCTAATTGGAGTTATAAGTATAGCTGCCTTCTTTATAACCCTAGTTACTAAGTCCCATGATCCTCCAGGTAGGGTTTGTAATATGACGAGATATGGGAGTTTCCGAAAATAGGGCTACCTTACTTTGGGGTGCTTATAATAAGGATCCTACTATTTAGGCCGACTATATTAGGGTCCCCTATTTTTGGGAAACTCCCATATACTAGAGGAAAGTTGCGGGAAGCCCCTAAACCCCAAGTTCGCCTAAACCCCAAGCCTCCACCCCAAACCAAAAGCGGGCCTAAGCCAAAAGCGGAAAACCTCGTTTTTTCTTCGTTCAGGACCGTAAAGTGATCCTAACCTGACTGAAGGCTTGAAGTTTAGTTTTTTCGGTGTGTACGGTTTACGGTGGTTTTGGGATGAGGGGAAGCAGAAGTTAGGGGTCGGTTTCGGGTTTATGCACTATACTGAGCTTGGAACCCTGGCAAAAATTACAATTTAAGCTGTTTCTTAGGGATTATAATAACCAAAAAAATGTTTTTCTAAGTACCCCTAAGCAGAGTCCTAGGAACAGCCAATAATACGGGCGGCAGATGCTACACGCTTGTTCTTCCGACTCCGCTGCTTCGCGTGGATCGGTCCCCAAGTAATCATTCGACTTTGGAGGTTCTGGATTCCTAAACCCTAGACCCTAAGCCCCTAAACCCATAAACCCTGAAACCCTAAACCTCTAAACACCAAAACCTCTAAAAGCCAAAACCCTAAACCCTAAACCTCAAACACCTAAACCCCTAAAAGCCAAAACCCTAAACCCCTAAACCCTAAGCCCCTAAGCCCCTAAACCCTGAAACCCTAAACCTCTAAACATCTAAACCCCCAAACACCAAAATGCTAAACCCCTAAACCCTAAACACCAGCTACGCCGGTCCAAATCTTCGGGTTGCAATGAGGCCTTGAATTCAACTCGGGCGCTCGATGCTTCGGAAGGGCTTCGTGCTGGTTTCAAGAGTTCCGGGTCTAGTAGGAGGTTGGGGATGCTCCAAACAAGACTAACCTTGAGGACGACATGATCTCGAAAGGGGCTTAAGAGTTTAAGGTTCATGTAACATATGCTGTTTCAACTTACCCAGAGCGTGCTAGGTACCGTAGTTGCTGAGGTCACAAGCCTGCACAAGTGTACACTTTCAGTTTTATAGTGGGTAACATTCTCGCAAAAGGTGTAAAGTGTATTCACTCAGCTGCGAAGGTACTGTTATGGGGGGGATACTTCCCAAAGATTCATGATAGTAACGCCGAATATAGAAACCCTACGATATAGGTACTTTGGACCCTTTGGGTCATGAGGCTGTACTAGGGCCCCTACTGGTAAGGGTCAGATGGAGCCCAAGGAAATTTGTAGGCAAACTGTGCGTCCATGCTGCAGGCGGTGGTACAATAATTCGATTACAAGCTCCCTGGCCATCAGCTAGTGGTATCCCAATGTTTACCGTTTAGGGTTTAGGGATTAGAAACCCAAACCAAAACCACTAAACCCTAAACCAATGCCAATAACTGAAGTACATTTAAAGCGGAGGTTCTATCAAAGAGGAGGATCCTTTCGATCCAAGATGGATAAGGCTGTTTGAATGGGTGCACCCTTTATGAACGTGCCCAGAATGGCCCCGTAGGCTTCAGGATCCACTTCGTTAGGAATACCTGAACTTTTACAAGGCACGGGGCTTCAGACAAGTGAGCCCGTGGATATTGTCCTGGAAACCCCAAAACCTTGATCAGCTGTTTCATGTACTCGCTCTTGTAGTTCTTAATGGCCTCCTGGAGAATGGCCGCCGTCTGCGACATGCCCGACGTGCCAAGGGTCCGTCGTCAGGCCGGCACACAAATGCGAATGATACCCGATTTTTTTGTTGCCTTTGGCGGCACCAGCCCAGATTACCTGGAGAGTTAACTTGTCGATGGGACTCTCCCCAAACGGCTCGAACAGCTGGCTCGCAACGGAATCCCACGGAAAGAGCTCGTGGCGGCGCTCGTCCCGAGTAAGCTCCGTGGAGGCCGAGGCAGCGCCGAAGAGTCCAAGGCTCATGCTCAGTCCCTAAGGCTCCATGTACCCTTATAATAGATACTTAGGCCTTAAAGTACCTATATAGGGACCCCTTTAAGGCCTAAGTATCTACTATAAAGATACATGGAGCCTTTGGGAGTGCTGGGAGGAGGAATGTCAGAACAGTGTCACAACAGCTTCAAGCAAGCAGACGGCTGCTTGACTACACCATACCAGACTAATGTGTAGCCGTACGCCTGAAAACCTGTTAAGGAACTGAGAGATACAGCCGAACTTCCACCGTGGACATGCGGCCTGAAGCAGAACACACAGTTCAGGGCTTTAGTTGTTAAGGGTTTAGGGAAAACACCCATGCATTGACCCAAGGACCGGAACACCTGCCTAAACCTTGAAAAGTGCCGTGTTCCTTACAAATCTGATCATGAGGGACACTGGCTACCCCTCACACCCATTCAAAGTTTAAACAACATGTCGGCGCCTAGCGCCGGGTGAGTGTTGGGCTCTTTCGGCCCAACACACTCGCCCAGAGGGTCCAAGTGCCCAAATAGTAGGGCATTAGATCCCAAAATTCATACCATGAATGGTTTTTGGACCTTGAAACCCTACCTATAGTCTCCATTGTCGTTCCTTTTTTTGGTTTAACCAATTATATAGTAAGGATCCTATAAGGTAACCCCAAAAAGGAACTACAATGGAGACTACAGGTACTATTTGGGTACTTGGACCAGTCTTGGACCCTTAGGGTCGGAATCCTGAATCCCGCCTCAAGCATCAGCCCAGTACAGGCCAGCAGTGATTCATCCTCGGCAAGCGCCACCGGAGGATTTGAGAAGCTCATGAATCCAGGGATGTTGAACAGTTTGCGGGCGTAGAGCTCTAGCGCTATATGGTCTGGGGCTTCGGGCTACAGGATTTGAAGTTCAAAGTTGTCCGTACAACTCTAGGGCTCGTGTTGCAAATTCTCTTTATACGCACTTGCTACAAACACTTAAAGCGTGAAACTCTACACTTTGGGCTTTTGGGGTGCAGAGGTTTTGAACTTTTTTTTCTGAAGGGCTAAGGCATCAACGGCTTCCCAGCTCCTCGGGCCTTCTTAACGTCTAGGAGTGCCTAAGGGGCTGGGGGGTTTAGGTATAGGGATCGGTTTAGGGTTCAGGGGTTGGGGGCTTGGGGTTCCGAGTTCCACAACGGCTTTATACAGTGTTTTCTTTATGAGGGTCCTGTAAGGGATCTGACGGTTTCCACAAGTGATGTAACACCAAAAGGCTCGGCATACGCTACTATTTCGGAGTTCGGTCCCCCAAACCATGATTTGCATGGGCTTTTGGGCCCTAAGTCTATACAAGTAGTATCTCTGGACCCTCTGGGACAAGATTCTGGGTTTCGGAGGATTTACGGACTTCGGGTTCAGGCCTCAACACGCAACACCCTCTGCCTGGACCCCATCAAAAAGCTACCATTTTAGGGATCCTTCTGTTGATGATATAAACCCTGCATTACCTTAAGGACCCTAAACTATGGGAATTATGGTATATTCCTTATTATGGGTAATGCAGGATTTATATCATTAGCCGTTCTGATGGTCTCTCCGTACAAGTCATTAAACCGGTAGATTAATTTGGGGTTGGGTAAGGTGAGTCTTGAGAATTCGCCAGCGCCAACTCTGTTACAATGCAGACTTGTAGCCACTAGATTCGGGCGTCCACCCTACCTTGCGGACCGATTGATCCTTATAAGTAGGGTCCGAATGATACCCTTATACTATGAATCCCTACTTGGTATATGAACCTTAGACCCTTCTCGGGTTCATTTCGTCATTATAAGGACCCTCAAAGCAAGAAGAAGCCCCAATCCATGTAACCACACGCACTGGACTTCTGCAATATCTCTGCTGAGTTGCTGAGCCCCGTAACATGCTGTTGTGGGGGCGGCACCCAGGGCTGAAGGGTCTTTGCGCCATTGGCGCTTTAGCTTTCGATGCTTTCGCGGTTGCAGGCTCCAGTGTGTTTCGGGCTTCGGGGTGTAGAGATGAGCAGGGCCCCATGTCCCTTCTCCTAACCTGCGAAAACATCCACACGAGTCTATCTTCAGTCCTGGGTGCGATATGCGAACATATTGACAAGGCAAGTCCCAAGGTCCCAGGGGTCCGAGTATGCAAGAAAAGCTGTTCTACCGAGAAACCCTTCAGAGAAAAGCATCTGTGACATAAAGCCCTGTATTTGGTACATGGACACTCTGGGCAGTCGAGGCGCATCAAGTCGTACGGCCACGGCCACACAAAGGCGTGCAGCAGAGAGCCTCGACACGGGGCGCTTGAGGATAGGCCTAAAGAACGCTAGGCCGCCAGGCCCTTACACCCTTAACTCTTGTAAACCCCAGATAGATTACGATTCAGGGTTCTCCGACCTAAACCATGCGACATAATAATCTCTACCCTCAAAACTTGATAAACTATACCCTATAACCCTAACCCCTACCCACTGTACGACATGGAAGTCCCTGACCGCTTTACCTTGAACAACGACGCATCTTGCGGCCCTCGCCCTGGGATTTGGATTCTAACCTCTTCTGGGGCTGAGCAGTCTCCAAGCTGGAAGAGTCCTAGGTAACCAAAATCATACTAAACTTAGAACCCTAGCAACAATTATGATTTTAGCTGTTTCATAGGGATTATAATAACCAAAGATTAAAAATTATTTCTAAGTACCCCTAAGCAAATCATACTCGGAATTCCAAAGATAGAAACCATACATTCTACTACATAGGTACCCTACATCCTAAACTGAACCTCATACAAGCCGAAGCCCTTAAAGGGACCCCTTATCGTAACCATCATGTAAGTAACCCCAGCCAGGTACTTTGGACCCGTTGGGATAGATCCTGAGCATGTCGACCGGCGCACGCGGCGGACCGGTCCCTGTTAATGGAACGCCTTGAGCCCAGAGACTCCAAAACCCCTTAATTAAGGAATATACCTTAAATTAAATCAGATTAGGGATCTTATTATAATTTAAGGTATATTCCTTAATTAAGAGGTTTTGGAGTCTCTGGGAGGGTCCAAGTACCCAATTTTCCAACCTGCAATGCTGCGAATTGCTGCTCTATGCCCAAGTACCCAGTTGAGTCCTGGGTTAGTTGGACCCTGGCTCATGGTCCTTATGAAGTAACTCATGAACCCTTAGTCCTATTCAATCCCTTATACATAGCCCCTAGAGAGCCAGTAAGTGCAGGTAAATGTACCTTACGGAGGCTATTCTTAAGCTTAAGTATAAGCATAGCTGCCTTGCTTATAACCCCTGTTACTCTAAGTCCCATGAACCTTTACCCCAAGGGTCCAAGTACCTAATAATCGTATACTCTCCGGAATCCTAACCTACATAACTATCCAAAAACAGATCGAGTACCTAATTATTGGGTCCTTTGGACCCTTAATTTGGGCTCCTAAGCTGGACTTGAAGGTTAAGTCCTCAGAACCTTGAAGAGGGACCCTAAACCCCTAAGTCCCAATGAACCCTTAAGTTGAGCACGAGGAGCTGCGTTGCCGCATCGTGGCGGCACTGGAGCCCTCGGCGCCTGCATTGGATTTAGGACTGACCCTAGGAATCTAATCTAAGGACTCAGGTTGTTGGGCCCCAAAACCATACTACATAAGGCTTTTGGGCTATCTTGATCCCTAGGGTTAGCGCTTGGTTTAGGGTTCAGGGGTTTATTGCTTTAGGGTTCAGGGCCGTTTAGTGGTTGCCAAATCTGCAACAAAGTCAAAGCTTTGCCTAGACTAGCAAGAGTACTTTAAATGAAAAGCATGATGGATATAGAGAGTTTAAGTCATATCCTTGCTTAAAGGTACATTGGCTACTCTAGGTAGGGCTCATACAAGGTTTTAGGGCTTCTTTTCCGAGGCGGTTTTCCCGCTTGAACCAACATCCGAAACCCTCGAACTTACATCCCCAAGTCCACTGAGCACTCAACAAACGTGCCTCAACCCGAAAACCTTTTGTGATCTCTTTACATAGCTACTTGCGCCACTGCAAGGCCGCAGACCAGAAATCCCGAAGCATTCCCAAATATCTACCTGAAGGACGAAGTGAACCCTAAAAAGGTTTAAGCATTGTACAACATACAGGGGTTCATAGTATGAGGGTATAGGGCCGTTCCTTGCTTGTAAGGGGTCTCTTGGTCTATACCAAAGGGGAAAAGGAGGGACCCTTAATGGGGACCCCTACCCTATAATGGGCTCTACAATGGCTGTATAATAGCCATATTTAGCGTATCTACTTATGGTTCCTTATTAAGGGCCCCTCCTTTTACCCTTGGACTATAAGGTAGTCGACTGAGGGCTAAAGGACTGTTTTAGCGTTCAGTAGACTAGATATTTGGGGCTTTTTATGCTTAATCCGTATAGTCGTCGAGACCCTATAAAGATAACGTGGTAAACCACTGAATAACACACCTACCCTTAAGAGCCCTCATATGAAGATACCGAGTAAACATGTATAGAAGGTTCATTCATGAGGGTCCAGATTGCATCAGACCCTACGATAAACCCTAAACACCCCACCCCGCCCCCCCGCCCTTCTGCCCCTCCCCGCCAGATGTCCCCGGCGCGAAGGGCGAGGAGGACTTCCTCGAGGCGGGCGCGGCCTGAGCTTGTGATTCGGATCTACTTTAGGGTTCCTTTGAAGGGCGCTATAAGGGTTCTTTTGAAGGGATCTATAAGGGTTCTATAAAAGGTTTAGGCTTTATCGGAGTATATTCGGGTCAAAAGGTCCTAAAATACCTACATCGTATGATGTTGAGTTTCCGGCTTAGGAACTTTCAGTTTGATTTGCGTACATAAGAGTTTAACTTATATGCAGGAGCATATGGCCCTTTGGGTCTTGCTCTTGTTTCTGTTCGATGCGCGTGGGCCTGGAAGCATGCAGCATGGTTGCACACTAGGTATGCGCGGACCGAAGCGCACAGTCCCTTTGAGATTATCACCGGCAGACCATACCTTGGGAAGCTAGTGAATTTCTGTGAAGTTGTGTATGCCAGGGTGAAGTCTTCAGTAAAGGGAAAGGCCCTAGATGGCATTGTGTACTTCCAGGGAGACTTGGATGTGCAGTTTTAGGCTATACCCCGAATCGCAGAAATATCCCAAGTGCACCATCTAGCATACTCCCCTATTCGTGCGATTCTTCAAGCAGACCTGCATACCCAACTCTAAGATGCCATGAACCCTCACTGAACTCAGAACCCCACAAGCCGGAATGCTGGAAAACCCTGAAAGCCTAAACTCCTAGAACCCCAAACTCTGCAGGCCCTTGAGCATTATCCCAGAGGGTCCAAGTACCCAAATAATCTAGACCCAAGAGTAACCCAGGCATAAAAAGGATGCCCTTTTTGGTTTAAAGGGGCTTATAAGGGAACCTGAACCCTAAAAAAGGGAATAAGGGCCTACTCTGGGTCCTAGTAATAGGGTTTTAGATCCCAAAATCCATACCCTGAGTGGTTTTGGGAGCTTGAAACCCTACTATCTGGGCACTTGGACCCTTTGGGTACATAAACACTAGTCGCTAGTACAGGGGCCTTAGTCATCAGATTACGCTTGTTGGCAAATGGTTATTCCCTACATTCGGGTCCCGCTCAGGTCTCCGAAATAGTATGCACGGCATCCTTACGCAAAGAACCCGCAAATGGACGCTGATTTGGAGAACTACTCATAATGGGAGACCAGTTACACCGCTAAACCCTAAACCCTCAACATCCCTAAACCCCAAACATCCCTTAGCCCTAAAGCCTAAACATCCCTAAACCCTACACATCCCTAAACCCCCCAAAATAGTATTGTAAGTATTCAGGCTCCTCTATTTTAATCTTTGGGCTTCGTTATCAGGGTTCAGGCTCGTTTGGTTCACATCTGTTTTAGAGATGCTCTGAGAACCCTGCACATCCCTAAACTTGTGACGCGGTGATCCCAGCTAGGGTCCTGAATCCTTGATTTATTTTTTGTTGGCGTCACATCCCTAAACCCTAAACCCCCAGGCGGCTCCCTAAGACCCTGGCGCGTCTTACGCAGCTCATCCCCAGTGGGGCGGATCGGCTGACGCCTCTCAAGGTCTCTACGAGTGTGTCTTTTCCCCAAGGGTCCAGAAAATCCAAAAATATGGGCTTTAATAATTAGGTACTCGGGTTTAGGATAGTAGCTGTGTAGGTTAGATTTCTCTAGAGTATACGATTATTAGGTACTTGGACCCTTGGGCTTAGGGCTTACATGGACCCTACAGAACCTACCTTTTTAGGGATCCTTATTGTGGTTTCCTGACAAGTCCTGATAAAGGTAGGCGATGTAGGGTCCAGCTAGGGCTTGGGGTCTAGGGTTTGGGGTTTAGGATTTCGGGGGTTCAGGGTCTTCGGAAATCCGTGCATGATTGGGGTAGTTGCCTCAACTGTTGATTGCTACAAAAAACAAAGTCTCTCACGACTGCGACGCTTACCTTAGAGACCAAGTCACCCTTACAAGTAGTGGCCCTATACCGTTTTACTAACTATCAACCCATTATGGTGCATAAACCGTTAAGCCCTTGCACGGCTCATTTCACCGCAAGCTTCTCCTTAACTCTCCGCCCGAGAATCCATAACGTGTGCCTCCCTTGTGCGTCCAATACGCCGGCTGCTGTCGCAGGTTCATCGAGTTGAACGCAGTCACGGCCTGGAGGGCTTCTGCCGGATTCTGAGATTCAGGACTTTTGAAAGCTTCTGGTTTAGATTAGTTATTAGTTGTTTAAGCTGTCTTTGGATCCTGAAGTTCTTAAATTACTAAAGCAAGGGGATCTAATCTTCAATCCTACGCTACATCTAAGTGATGTAAGGATCAGCTGCCGCAAACGAGGTAGAAGGCTTTATAGGTCCCAGAAACTCCACACGGCACGGTTCTAGGTATATGTACTCGGACCCCTACCCTAGGGGTCCATGTAATCGCATGGCATATACCTGGGAGGTGATGTAGTCTTGCAGCAAGCCTTAAAGGAACCCTCAAAAGAACCCGGGATAAGACCCCTACGGTTGATGATATAAATCCTGCATTACACATAAATATACCACAATTCCCATAGTTTAGAGTCGTTAAAGTAATGCAGGATTTAGATCATCAAAAGAAGGAAACAACACCGCCCTCCTCCTTCTCTCCGAAAGTCCCTTTCTGCTTGCCCGAATGCTCCATGTACCACTTTGTATATACTTAGGCCTTAGAGTACCTATAGAGGAACCCCTTTACGGCCACAGTGTATACAGTATGGGTACATTGAGCCTGAAATCCTGAACCCGTTTGGTGATATCTCTTGTAGAACCTTTAAAGAGCACATGGAGCCTTCGGGTTGCTACCAAAACAACGAAACTTCCGATAGCGACTCATTAGGGCGCTACGAGTTCTGTATGCTACAGATCCCCAAGTAAGTGGCAAACTCATACGGCTTTGGGTTCAGGACTTAACGTTTAGGGTATGGGGTGTTAAGAAAATTTTGCAGGTTTTTGACGCGAGTCTTAACTTAAACCAAACCCGGACAATGCCGTTGACTCTTGGTCCCCCACAAAGTTCCAACAGTCCAGAAAGCAGAGCCCGCAGGGCCTGAGAGCAACGGCGCTTCGGGTGTAGCAGGCTGTGGTGCAAAATCCTAATCCTAATCTCAGTTTCAGCAACAACCCAGACTCCCGGGAGGATCCAAAAAGTAGATCCCTCAATGGGGGTTCCTATCTTCCGTTCAAGGAACCCCTAGGGGGTTCTATGAGGAATCTACAGGGTTTTAGGGTGTTAGGGCTTTAGGGTTTGGTAATTTGGGGGTCTGTTTGGTGTCTAGGGGCTTAGGGTGCTGAGGTTTTAGGGATTCGGGTTCTTAGGGTCTAGCGTCTGCTGTCTTTTTGGGAGTTTAAGGTGTTACGGCTCGGGCTTTAGGCTATTAGGGTCTATAGTGTTTTTGCGAGGTTAGGGATCAGGGTTTTAGGGCTTACTTGGAGGGTCGGGGGACTTAGTAAGTAGGTAGTAAGTAGAGTTATAAGTACGGGGCTTTAGGGTTGAGGTTTAGGGTCTTTGGGTTTAGTAATTTGGGGTTTAGCATTTCCATGCAGGTCCGTGTAAGATTCCCTTCTAATAAGGGTTCTACAAGGGATCTACAATCATCACAATCAGTTGGGGATCGGGCTGGTTAGCCAGAACATCCCCCTTGTTGTCCCCAATGTATGTATCCCACAGGCTCCATTTAGACTACCATTATGCAATTGAGCCTCAAAAGACCATCCAAATCAGGGTTTGGGGTCCGAAATGCAGAATTGCAATATATGTATATATATATAGAGAGAGAGAGAGAGAGAGAGAGAGAGAGAGAGAGAAAGAGAAAGAGAAAGAGAAGCAGAAAGACAGAGAGAGAGAGCCTTTAAGTAGCGTATAGCACAAACAACCATACCCCAAAGTCCTATTTTGTCTGGCCCCGTAAATTGTTTGGTATAGGGTTCGCGATCGAAACATAGGGTTCCTTTAAAGGAACCCCTAAACCCCTAAGCCCCCCTTAGGGGCTCCTTTAAAGGATCCCCTAAAACCCCAAGCCCTGAAACCCTACCCTTGCGGCCTTGAGATTCGAGCTTGGGAGGCGCTGGAGGATGCGGGTAAAAAGCTTTCTCCTGCACTCTAAGGGTTTTGGGTCCACAGATAGTCGGGTCTACTAGGGTTCTTATAAGGTCGCTGAAAGGGTTTAGGGTCCACTGCACCCTTAGCGTAAGGGTCCTAGGATTGTGCTAGTGTGCTTACAATTGCAAAGGTCACAGCAATCTTTAGACTCACAGAGGGTATGGGGTTTGGGGTTTTGGGGTTTAGAGGATTAGGATTTAGGGTTCTAGGGCTTAGAGTCTTGGGCACCGCCCCCATACACAAACGGTCTATAATTGGGAAACTATTACGGGCCTCATATAGCCATAATTATTTTAAACAGTATTCAACTGTTACGAAGTCGGGGGCAGTGGGGGCAGTATCCAAGCCACAAGAGTCAGATAGCGTGCTCAAAAGGTTGCTAACGGCATCTCCAAGGGTTCACATACGCTCAGGCACTCCAAAACCCTCAACTATGGAATATATATTGAATCATAACGGGATCCCTCATATGACTTAAGGTCTATTCATCAATTATGGGGTTATGGGGTTGTTGGAGGCTCTGGGTATATATATATATATATATATGTATTCATTCCAATGATTTTTGTTGCAAAGCTTCTTCAATGCCACCAGAGAAACTGCATCCCTAGACGGTCTAGGACTCAGAGCTGAGATCTCTCAGGGCTTTGGGCCTGCTTGCAACATCCTCACAGAAGCACCCAACCACTAAACAAGAAACTCCAGTCGACTTGGGCTGTGCACAGTGATTTCAAGCAGCTTTCCCTCCAACATCAGTTGCGGCTCTCTAAATTCCATTAGGCACGTTGCTTACCAAAGCACTTTGGCCCTTAGCCTTACAGTCCCACACTCGATGACTTACATGTCTTAGCTTGATGTGTAGTGCTTTCTGCTGCGCTGCAACGGCTTTCGCTTTGGACCATGGGTTTGAGGCAACGCTAAATTGTCTGACCCTTATAAGGGTCCATGTACCCAAATAGTATAGACTTCGGGCCCAATTTATTTGTATATGGACTACTTTAAGGCCAATGTACGTATATACTATTTGAGCACATGGACCCTTAGGGTGAGTTCAAGTCGATCACCTCTCTTTGTATGTACGCCTGCATATATATATATATGCATATGTATGTACACGTATGCGTAAGGCACTTAAACATACATGTGCGTGCCCACACCGACATAAAGCCACGCAAGCAACAAACAAACAAAATACGCAACTACCCTACATACATATACATATACATATACATATACATATACATATACATATACATATACATATACATATACATATACATATACATATACATATACATATACATACACATACACATACACATACACATACACATACACATATACCTATACATATACATATACATATACATATACATATGCATATACATATATACATATATACATATATACATATACGTACGTACATACACATCGACATGGAAGATATGCACATATACAGTTACATATTAGACATATACAGGTACATAAACATATACATATACTGCGCATGCACATATACCTTCACGCATACATACATGCATACATGCATGCGTACATACACCCGTATGCATGCATGCATGCATGCAGACACACATGAACGATGCATTCACTTATGCCAGTAAATGTACTACACCCATGCATCCTAAATGAGTCCTAACAGGGTTATATTAAGGCGTCCTTTTAAGGTCTATCAGGGCACTGTAACGGTATCATACTTGGGCATTATAACAGGATTCGCTTTAGGATTATACGGGGTCTATCAGAATCAGATGTAGGGTGTACTTGGAGGGTCGGGGGACTTAGTAAGTACGTGGTAAGTAGACTTATAAGTACCCCAAAAGGGACCCTAATTGCTGTTATCGTACTTGTAAGTCCTTAAATAACCCGTTACTAAGTCCCCCGACCCTCCAAGTAGGGCCTAAGGACTAAATGAGCCCTACAAGGGCCTAAGGCACCCTAAACCCTGAACCCCTAAACCCTAAACCCAAACCCTAGGGCCTAAGGTTGATATTGCCACATAGGGATTCATCATACAAGGACCCCGGAAAGGCTGTCTGCTTCTTAGCAGGGAATGGGCTTAAGAAATGATTATTATAATTATCAAGGGACTACAAAAGGGATCCATTGCCCCCATTCCCTACCAAGAACCAGACAGAAGGATCCCCAAATAAACCCTAAACCCTGAACCCGAAACCCCAAACCCCAAATTCATCATACAAGGACCCCCTCAGGCTCCATGTACCCTTATAGTAGATACTTAGGCCTTAAAGTACCTATATAGGGACCCCTTTAAGGCCTAAGTATCTACTATAAGAGATACATGGAGCCTTTGGGACCCCGAAAGCATCCGCTGTTCTGCTCCTGGGAGTTCCTTGCTCGCCTCCGTCCTTCCAGAAAACTTGAAGTCTAGCAATAAGACCCCAAGGGTCCAAAGGACCCTATAATTTGGGTACGGCCCCCATACAGTAACAGTCTATAATAGGGCTGTTATTAAGGGCCTTATATATCTATATTATGAATATTATCCAACTGTTACTGAGTGGGGGCCGTACCTGAAGTCTAGCAATGAGACCCCAAGGGTCCAAAGGACCCAATAATTAGGATCCCTTTAAAGGCTTCTATAAGGTTCCTTTAAAACGGCTACTATAAGGGTTCCACTATATGGGCCTTAATAATTAGGTACTCGGTTTTAGGATAGTAGTTATGTAGGTTAGGCTTTTGTAGAGTACACGATCGTTAGGTACTTGGACCCTTAGGGAGAATCCAAGGTACTTGTAGAAAAGGGATATGACCCTAAGCAATGGTACATTTGCCTTGATTGAGGTACCTTGGAAACTCCAGACACGGCTTGAGAGTTTGGGATTGGAGGTCATGGTGTAGGAGATAGGTTCATTTAGGGCTTGGGTTGTAGAGTTTAGGCTTCAAGGGTTTTGCAAACCCTAGACCCTAAACCCTAAAAGGTAGGGGACAATGGTCGCCTTAGCTCAGCGCCCAAAAGCCCCAATAATTAGCATGGTTGGAAGGGTGCTTGGAAGGAACTAATATGGGTGCTGTCAAGTTTCTACTAGAGCTAAACTGCCCAAATTGTTCTAGGTACTTCAAACCATTCGGAGCAGAGAGTTCGGAACCTAAAACCTCGCCATTTGGGTGCTTGGGCACGCGACAATGATTTGCAATACTTCTAACATCCCGGGAAGAACTTTACGACTCTAAGTATGACAGCGATGCTCACCTTTGGGTCTAAGGTATGTGCGTCGCACTGTCTTGGGGGAAAGCCACAATTTACGTGGTTTTTCGGTTTCTGGAACAAGATTTCGCTTTTAGTTGGTTCCGGACTTCCCAGCCCACTAAAATGTGTAAAACGACGCTCCGCGCACTGCCTACAGACTTGCATTGGCCTAGAATGCCTCAACTCTCAACGTCGTCGGAGGCTCCCCATTCATTGCTGAACTGAGTTGTCCGATAAGCCCATTGAAAATTATTTACTGCTATGGTTCTCTACAAAATAGTGAGGAAATTCAACAAAATCCCAAAGGACAACCGAGTGAAAGGCCTCAAATTTGAAGGCTTTTGGGCCTAGAGGCCCTACCACATTATGTTGCAAAGGCAAATCCCTGAGGGTCCATGTACCCATATAGAGATACATGAGCTCCAAAGTCCCGGGTTTAGGGTTTAGGGTTTAGGGTTTAGGGTTTAGGGTTTAGGGTTTAGGGTTTAGGGTTTAGGATTTTATATAGGGACTACATTAAGGCCAATGTATATACTATACGAGTACATGGACCCTTAGGGAATCGTAAAGAACCAGGATGGCCCAAACGTCCTCCAGTTAAGCTATATACCTTACCCCAAGGGTCCAGACGACCCAATAATTTAGGGTTCCTTTAAACTGTTCTGTAAGGGGTTACTATAAGGGTTCCATTATATGTGCCTTAATAATTACGTGCTCGGCTTTAGGATAGTAGCTACCCGTAGCCGTAGCCCCTAAGCCCTACACAATAATTAGTGGGTTATGACCCAAATATGGGCAGAAAGCCAAGAACACTTGACAATAGGTTTCCGAATCCCCAGCCCTAAGGCGGCTCCATGTACCCTTATAGTAGATACTTAGGCCTTAAAGTACCTATATAGGGACCCCTATAAGGCCTAAGTATCTACTGTAAAGATACATGGAGCCTTTGGGCAGGTACTTTCTGCAAGGATCGGACTCAGGCGCGCGCAATGTCGTCTGGGACGTCCGACAGGGCCCAGGGGCACATCCTCATATGGCTACATATCGGGTCATATCCTACGCCTTTTTAAAGTACTATACTTTTCTATATGGCAGATACTAACCATAAAAATTGGGCACCTCAAATAAAGGGTACAGGGTAGGACCGTCTGGGTAGGTTTCCGGGTCTTGGGGAAGGCCGATGCATAGAGCTTGGGGTTGTTTATTGATAGCTCCCTCTCCCTCTCTCTTCCCCTCGCTCCCTCCCCCTCTCTCCCCCCCTCTTTCTCTTTCTCTCTCTCGCTCGCTCTCGCTCTCTCTCTCTCTCTCCCTCCCCCTCCCGCTCTCTCCCTCTCTCTCCCTCTCTCTCCCTCTCTCTCCCTCTCTCTCCCTCTCTCTCCCTCTCTCTCCCTCTCTCTCCCTCTCTCCCTCTCTCTCCCCTCTCTCTCCCTCCCTCTCTCTCTCTCTCTCTCTCTCTCTCTCTGTGTCTCCCCCCTCTATCCCTCCCACCCTGAGCTGCAATGCTCGGCCGGGTGGAGCAATTGATTCCGGAATTGCCCTTTTCAGCGCTTGCCTCCAGCAAATAGACTGGACCTAAGAGTAACCTAGGAATAAAGAGGGTGCCCTTTTTGGTTTAAAGGGGGTTAAAAGGGAACCTAAACCCAAAAAAAGGGAATAAGGGCTTACTCTGGGTCCTAGTAAACACTTGACGTCCATGTGCCCGCATGCGCAGCAAACAATTGTCCGTGCAAACTGCAAAACGCACATTTCAAGGAGTGCTGCGAAGTTCGGGCCCTGTTTTCGTCTGCCACGTCGTGCTCCACCTTTCACTCCGACAAAAGGCGTGCAACCTGCAAATGCCCTTTTCGAGATGCGATGGCCAAAGGGGTGCAGCCACCATGCTTGGCCTTATCCTTGTCTGCATTGGCCTCCAGCAAAAGGCGTGCAAGCTCCAAGTGTCCATGCTGAGCTGCGATGAACAAAGGGGTGGTGCCATCATGCCTGGCATTGTCATGGTCGGCACTGGACTGCAGCAAAAAGCGTGCAACCTCTAACTGTCCTTTTTCAGCTGCGATGAACAAGGGGGTGGCGCCATCATGCGCGGCCATGTCCCTGTCCGCATTGGCCTCCAGCAAAAAGCGTGCAACCTCTAACTGTCCTTTTTCAGCTGCGATGAACAAGGGGGTGGCGCCGCCATGCTTGGCCGTATCCTTGTCTGCATTGGCCTCCAGCAAAAGGCGTGCAAGCTCCAAGTGTCCATGCTGAGCTGCGATGAACAAAGGGGTGGTGCCATCATGCCTGGCATTGTCATGGTCCGCACTGGACTGCAGCAAAAGGCGTGCAACCTCTAACTGTCCTTTCTCAGCTGCGATGAACAACGGGGTGGCGCCATCATGCTTGGCCACGTCCTTGTCCGCATTGGACTCCAGCAGAAGGCGCGCAACCTCCAACTGTCCATACTGAACTGCGATAAACACAGGGGTGGTGCCATCATGCCTGGCATTGTCCTGGTCAGCCTTGGCCTGCAGCAAGAGGCATGCAACCTCCAACTGTCCACACTCAGCTGCGATGAACAACGGCGTGGCACCATCATGCTGGACCTTGTCCTTGTCCGCATTGGACTCCAGCAAAAGACGTGCAACGTCCGCATGCCCTCTATGAGCTGCAGCAAACAAAGGGGTGGTGCCGAAATTGTTCACCTTGTTCTGGTCAGCCTGGGCTTCCAGCAAGAGGCGTGCAACCTCCACATGACCATGCCTGCAAGCCCCTAACAGCGGCGTCGGATCACCCAAATCTGGGTCTTGAGGCTTTTGCAGTATTGTCTCCACGACCGATGTCAAGCCACCTTCCTGGACTTTGAAGTAACCAGGGAGACAAGTATACACGTTTATTTCATAATGGCTCCTTTATAGAAGAGGTACCCAAAAAAGTAAATTCAAGTATGTTACTCAGTTACCAAGGTTTCTGCGGCACGCAGAAGCTCTTCTGTTTGCGCTGCAGATGCTGAGCTGAAGCCCACAAGTACGAGCTGAACGTCGACCGGTTTCAAGACGTGCTCGTCGTCGCTGTCATTCAGCACGACACCGTCATCCAAGGACACCAGCCGTTGCCTGAATCTTGGCTGCCCGCAGACGCTGCGCAGTTGTTGCTTCAGTGCCTGGACGGGATAGCTGCCTTCCGAGAGCGAGTCCAGAAAGCTCGCCAACTCAATGCTAACAAGGACCTCCCCCGACGCTGAACAAATCCGTAACATCTGCGGCTCCGGGGGTGTAAAGCAACAACTTTAAGTTTAGAAGTACGGGCTCCAAATATGGACCCTTAGGCCTTTTTGAGAGAGTTCTGGGACCCTTAAGAGTCTGTATAGTAGGGTATATAGTAGGTATATGGTTGGTTGTCAAAATTATGGTCCCTTTTTGGGGGTCCCTAGTATAATAAGGCACCTACTATTTGGGGTAGCCCAAAACGGACCCTTAATTTTCACAACCACCCATATAAGAGTTCCAGGGTTAAGGGCCCATGCTAGGTTGGCCCTTTGAAGCCTCTAAAAAATATTCGTAAATGGGGTCCTACGGTTGATGATATAAATCCTGCATTACCTTAAGGACCCTAAACTATGGGAATTATGGTATATTCCTTATTATGGGTCATGCAGGATTTATATCATCAACAGTATCAAGCCCAATAAGGGAAAATATAAAATGTCCCAAAGGCCTACCTAGGTAGGTAGATAGATAAGGGCTCCAGCGTTAAGGGTCCATGCTAGGAGCCGATGGTTTCAACCGTTGATCAGTACTTGGCGGGTCGGGGGACTTAGTAATACCATGGGTTCCTTAAGGGCCCCTTTAAAGGGATCTATAGGGATTCTATAAGGGTATGGGGTTTAGGGTTTAGGGGGACTTAGTAAGTAGTTTACTTTAGGGACTTATACGTACCATAACCCCAAAGACGGTCCCTTTTATATAGGGTACTTATAAGTCTACTTACTACCTACTTACTAAGTCCCCCGACCCTCCAAGTACTTGCCACCTTCTCTGTGAGGCTTGAGCCTGGGGATAGCATGCGCCTCAAGACATGGACGACAACGTCCTAACACACTAAAACACCCAAAAAGCCCCCAAGACCAAAAATTCTGCAGCACCCCGAGATACTATATAAGCCCTACAAAGCTAAGCCTGCCAGGGACCCCCGAAACCACTAAACAAAAACCATAAGGTCGGGATATCCCATTATCACCGATTTAAACAGAACAAAAAGTAGGGATATCCCAACTAACAGTTGAATTATGTTGGGGTCCTTGTCCTTGTTTGGTTGCCGAGTGACATGGAATGTCCCTAACCCCAAACCCTAAACCCCTTCAACGGGCATTGAACTGGGGTTCTTCCAAAAGCAAGTACACTACAGCTAATGTAAGGGCTTTCATAATTGGGTGGTTGTCAAAATTAGGGTCCCTTTCTGGGTACCGTAAATAATTGGTGCCGTACTATATTCGGGATCAGTTAAGGGACCATACATAGCTTTGACAACCACCCAATTAGAATAGGGTCTTGGGGTATATCATCGTATCATTATACCACGGACCCCCCAACAAAATATTGATACTTATTTGTGCCCCTATAGTACTCGGTATATGGTGTGTGTTTACAGCTTAGGGAAGTTGTGGCTTACCTGGGGATACGAAGACCTTCTGCTTTGGGGGGTTATATATCCTCCAAACCCTCTATTGATTTGCAAACCCTGAAACAAGATGGCCCGATCCCAAAAGCCCCAAACCTGAACCCTCAAACCTCACGCCCTACAGCACCCTTTTGCAGTAACCGTTACAGAGACTGCTTATAAGCCCTTACACCAGACAAACCTCACGCCCTACAGCACCCTTATACAGTAACCGTTACAGAGACTGCTTATAAGCCCTTACACCAGACAAACCTCACGCCCTACAGCACCCTTATATACAGTAACCGTTACAGAGACTGCTTATAATCCCGAATAAAAAACCACTATACCATAGCAACCTTTCTAAACCCTTGACCCGACGCCGGAAGTCCTGTATCCTGAAGCCGAAACCCGAAACCCTAAAACCCTAAACACACAGACTCAAGACGGAGAACCTCAACTCTTGAACCGTTCTAGCACTGCACCACAATGCAGGGGTCTAGTCAAAACAGAGTATTGGGGTTATAGTTTCAACACAGAGCCCTATGTGAAACATCTTGGTAGTCTTATAAACCCTCGAGCCAAGATACAACCAACACCGATATTCTCAGCTCCTGGCACAAGCAGCTGTTCAGCGCACTGTGCCAGGCGCAGGCCATCGTTCTTGTCAAGGAGCCGAGCCTGCACCCATGGTTGGAGTTTGAGTTGAGCGTTCAAGATTCAGGGTGAAGTAACACCAAAACAACCTACCCTTAACATGACTTCCCTCTACGAGTCCCGAACTTTTCCTTGTCAGGGCTCAGTCAAGTATGACATGAGTATAGGGATTTGGAGCTTCGAGCGGTTCCGCAACTGGGAATATCCTACCAGTAGCTATCCCTCTACTTGCCACCTTCGTCCCCTGAACTCTAAACCCTAAACCCAAAATCCTAAACCCTAAAACCCCTAAACCCCTAAGCCCTAAACCCCTAAACCCCTAAACCCTAAACCCTCAAACCCCTAACCCCCAAACCCTGGACTGATCCTGAACCCTAAAACTTGCGCTCGAAAGCCCGAACCAAGGGGTTGAGGCCAAGACTTCAGGATAGGGTTTAGTTTAGGGATGTTCAACAACCAGGTGCACAAGTTCGTTAAACAGTTATGTCTCCAAGAACTAACACGGAAACCTGCAAGCTTTCCTTAAGGGTCCATCTAACTATCTATCCAGCCATGTAGTCTGAACATAATATATATATATATATATATATGTATATATATATATATTCATTTACTTATGTGTGTGTACATGTATATATACATATATATATATATATAGACATATAGACACATTGCCATTATGGAATTAAAGACAATCCTTAGAATGGTTTTGGGGACCTGATTCTAGAGTCGAATGATCTGTGGACCCTCTGGGCTTTCAAGTTCTCCCACCCAAAGGGTCCAAGTACCAATACCTACTTGTCGAGTATCCTGGGGAACTCAAGGTTAACATTTGCAAGTATATATGGATTTCTTAGGGTTCATAGTGTCATAGTACGCAAGAAGGGACGGCTAAAGGTTACCTACGATACTCTACTACCAGGACTCTAGTAAGCTCTTCGCGGATATATGGTCCGTCAAAGATGCTACGCTGTTGCCAGGGCCACCGGCTACGTCCGGCTAGGTAAGCAACGTAGTTTCTGTGATTGCTGACGCTTGTCATTTGTAACACCAAGATACACCACAACGATGGAGCCGTAAACCCTAAAACCCATAAACCCGAAACCCCTAAACCCTAAAACCTAACACCAATACCCAAACCCCAAACCGAAACGCCGAACCCTACCGAAACCCTAAACCCGAAACCCTAAGCCGCGGGTTGAGGGCCTGTGGAGGTCCGCCCCACAACACAAATGATGCATGCTGAACGTGGGATCTCATAGAACATAGGGTTCCTTCTTGTAGGGGTCCTTGCAACAAGGATGCTACCATGCAAGGCTCTTTATCAGGGTCTATGTGTTGAAACTAGGCGTGCAGGTTCATCATAGGGACCGGGAATCAGCAAACTTGAATGCTTAGTCCGAAACCAGACTTCATACTATAGGGGCCTTAATAATTAGATTAGGGTTTGGCGCGTCTCTAAACCCTAAACCGTATAGACGGTACTCAAAGCACGTGCGTAAACACTAAATTTCACTAAACCTCAAGACCACCTTTAAAAGGAGTGTTAGGAACCCTAGGATAAGTATTCATTCAAAGCACGTTCAAAGTGCACCTGGATGGCCGGAGACTCGACCATCCCGCAGCACTCGTCCAAAATGGCACGGCCTTGTACATTCTACCTAGAGGCAAGGGTCCATGTACCCAAAGACTCTCTCTCTCTCTCTCTCTCTCTGTCTCTCTCTCTCTCTCTCTCTCTCTCTCTCTCTCTCTCTCTATATATATATATACATATATACTTTGGCCTTAAAGTAGCCATTATATAGGTACTTTGGGGTCAAAGTATATACTATTTGTTTACATGGACCCTTACTTGGAGGCTCCTACCCTACCCCATTGTTAGGATACCACTTTTCTATATAACAGATACTAACTAAAGAACTAGGTACCCTAAAAAAGGGTAGGTCCGGTATGAGCCTATAGGTAGTGGCTAACCCTCAACCCTAAACCCTTGAACCCTTAAACTCCTAATCCCCGCCCCCCAACCCGAAAGCTTGAAACCTAGTGCTGAAAGTTCCTGCGAGTCAGTGCACAAGGAAATGGGTAGTTATTTAAGGTTCAGTTTAGAGTGCCGTACTAGTTGGGGGACACAAAATTCGAAAGGAATCCCAGTTTGAAGAACCACCTCTAAGAGGCCCTGATTTTCGAAAACTACCTATATTCCCTACCGTAAAAGCTGAAAAATGCCGTAGTTTGGAGAACTACACACTTGTAAAAGGGAAGGATGGCCTGGCTTTAAGAGTGGTCGCAAGCACTTCCCTGAACCGGATGACCTACCTGGAAGGGCAGGGGACTTAGTAAGTAGGTTATAAGTAGGGTTATAATTGGGGTAACTCCATTTAGGGTACTTATAACTCTACTTATAAACAACTTACTAAGTCCCCTGCCCTTCCAAGTATGGCATGTGCTATAACCCCTGACCTATCAGGTTCCTTTAGAGGGTTCCTTTGAGCGTACTATGGGGGCACCCGGATTTATGGTATAAGGCTCCGTGTACCTGCATAGGATATACCTAAACCTGAGAGGGGTTCCCATGTAGGTACTTGAGAGCCCCAGTATGTACTATATATAGGTAGGTAGTAGGTACATAGAGCTTTAGGTTGGCATGTGCAAAAACCTAACCAGAGCCTCCCAAACCCCGTAATTAAGGAATGTACCCTAAATCATATTGGGGATCCAATTATAATTTAAGGTAAATTCCTGAATGGAGGATTTTGGAGTCTCTGGGTAACCTCGATGCAAGGTCCCACGGATGTCCTGCAAAAGCTCCACACACAAAACTCCGGTTTACGAACTCTAGCACATGCAGTCGTTGCAGTTTCTTAACCAGACCTAACCATCAGTAGCAGTCCCTCCTAGCGGGCGATTGAGGGTGTAGGGTGAAGGGTTTAGGGCTGTGTAGTCTTTGGAGTTTATGGAGCTACAGTCGGGTTACGAGGCTCACAGATGCTGTCCTCCGACAAGTTTTCTTCTACAATGTAGGATTATGTAGTGAAAACCTTAAACCCCTAAAGCCAAAAGGCTACCTGACCAGCCCCGAAGCGAACTCGCTACCCCGTAAACCCTGAAGCAAGTAGAGAACCCAGGACTGATCCGCTTTAGTTTATGCTTCACGTTTAGGGTTAAATTGATAGATAGATAGATAGATAGCTATAGATAGATAGGAGTGTTCAGGGTCGACAACTGAGGGTTTTTTTACTGCCTAAACGGCCCCAGCCCGGCAGTGAAGCCTGAATTGTCATCATCCTAGCCAGTACAAAGAACGCGAAAAAAACACTTCGGCCTGTCGACGGATGCCACTTCGCCAGCAGAGCCACAGCCTCAGATAATATGACCGGCCTTCATAACCTGAACGGGATTTCGGGGAATCATATACTGAACGTGTAACAAGGAACCGCAACGGAATATGAGATGCTCAGACTGAGCCCTGTTGAAGATCGATGTAATTAATAACAGGGTTTCAAAGGACCGCATAATTAGGCACCTGGGTTTCGGATAGTAGTTACGTAGGTTAGTATTCGGGAGAGTACATGGGTCTGAACCAACAGCTTTATGCGATGGACATCCTTGTGCCTCCTTGGGAACCAAATGGCCCTATAGGAAGTAGGCCACCTATAGGAAGAAGGGGGCACTGCACCCTTGCACTATGAGCCTCGACATGGTGTATGAACCTAAACCTTTTCTACGGTTCATGTCATCCTGCCTGAGGCTGGTGATAATTTTGGTAGAAACGGTCGACGTCGTCATTGTGCAAGCACCGGTCGTACGGACGATGAAAAAATTGAGAGAAACCTCGGACCTCTAATCCAACATGACACAGCAAGCTGAACCCCAGCTGAAGCCGACATCGACTGTGGCGACCTGAACCCAAGTCGCGAAGCTCTAAACCCCAAGCGTCGCTCAAACTCTAAACAGTAACAGAGCCTTTATAGGACCCTTGCGTATAAGAGCATTAATTATATCTCCTCATAATAACCCTTATCTTGGACCTGAAACAACCCGTATAGAATCCCTACAGAACCCATAAAAGCAGCCCTTTAAGGGAACCCCTCAGAAACCTCATCCCTGCAAGACGTCCGAGCCGGCGGACACCGCATGCATAGGCCGCCAGCTGCGCATCTTTCGCAGAGATGCAATTAAGCAGCGCTTCCTGGCGGAGGCTCCATTAAGGGCAAGGGGTACATTTTCGGGTTGAGGTGTAGTGCTTAAGTACGACATGAACCCGAAAAGGGTTTAAGGATGTTTAAGGCTCAGACACCATACAGGATTCATAGTATAAGGGCATAGAGCCCTTACTTTTAAGGGTCATTTCGTCTTTAAGGTGCAGCTAGCTTTATCGTTTGGGGGCTTTGGGGTTCAGGGCTGTAAGTTAGTGCTTAGGCTTTTGGCGGTAGGGTTTTATTTTGTCAAAAGCATAGGGCTGTAGGATGGGGCTGTAGGGCTTAGGGCTTCGGAGCTTTGAGCTTCGGGCCAAAAGGCCAAAAAGGAGCTCCTACTGCATTCATCATCCCAGGTTTAGGGTTTCGGGGCTTTAGGGCTTTCGCGATTAAGGGTTTAGGGGTTTAGGGGTTTAGAGTTTAAATTTTAGGGTTTAGTATACCTTCTTCTGCGGCCTGGGCACAGCGTGCTTCAGCAAACTCATCGCGTGTTAGTTGTGTACCAAGCCAGCACTGCAACAAAGATGGGATGATCCCACAATTCCCTATTCCTACCAGCCTTTTCTCCACGAGTCTGGCTATTCGGGGTTGCAGGCTTCTGGTTTGGATTTTAGGATCTCGATCTAAGAGTCCAAGTGCCTAGTTACTACAGCAGTTCTCATATACTCTATACTCTGCCAAATACATAACCTCTAGACCCGATACCGTCAAGCTACACTTCACTACATAACTACTATGCTGAACCCGGGTAACTAATTACTTCGTCCTTTGGCTCGGGACCTCTTCCGCGAACACGGAACCACCACTACGTGTCACATTCCATTTAGTAATACAGTAGAAGCCAGAAAGTTGGAACATCATTGGCCTCATGCTCTTAAAGCAAAGTATAGGGAATCCTAGCACGGATCCTCCTAAATCCATGTTCCAACTTTCTGAGGTTCACTATAGCTCGTGCGACATTGTTAGACGCAGAACTTCCTTCCCCAACCGGTCCCTCTGCTGGGGTTGAAATCCCAAACATGCAGGGTTTTATGAGGAAGTAGTCTCCGTACTTTGCGGCCAAAGTGTATACTCTTCGGGAGCATGGACCCAAATCCTACCTACACTGACTACAGGAACGCTTAAAGGAACCCGTAATCAGATACAGGAACCCTTAAACGAGCCCTTATAAGGAACCCCTTGGAGGCCTATCCTTCTACTGTGTGGGAACAGGGACCGTTAGAGTTACACTGGCTTAGGATTTCGAACACAGTTACATAGCGACTACCCCTAAACTCTGACCCTTAACCCTAAACCCCTGAACTCTGAACCCTAGAGACTAAATACCCTATAAAACCTTCTTTTCTAGGGTTCCCCATTATGATTTCCTTATATGAGTTATAAGTCCTCAAAAAACTAGATATTTGGGGTCCAGGTAAGCCTTGTTTTGACAACCACTGTCAGGGACCACTGGGGGTTCAGGCTCTGAAACGCCCAGGCCCCAAAGCAAAGTGCCGAGGTCACACGAAGTCCCCAGGACTTCTCTTGCCGTTGGGGCTTAGGGTTTCGGGCTTAGGGTATAGTAGCCTTTACAGTCTAGGGTTAGGGTTTCGGGTTTTGTAGCCTTTACAGTTTAGGGTTTCAGGTTTAGTAGCAGGGTTTAGGGCTTGGAGTTTAGGTTTTAGACGCCTAAACCGAAAGGAAGCAGCACGACACACGGCGCCCACCTTCCACTGCATGTGCGCCGGCGTTGCACCTGCTGGCCCAAGAAAGGATATTGACATGAATGAATGTTTTTGTGCATGTAAGTAAATATCAGGACTGCGCTTGTTGTACTTCGTAAAACTTGCAGGTTACCATCGTACAACTGTTGGAGTAGTCATTGACACTCTTCTCGTCGCTGGGTTTAACCATACTGGAACTCGTGCTCCCATGCTCCCAACATTTCTGACGGGGGAACCCAGCCCTAAAGACACTGCGGTGGCAACACAGCACAGCAACATGCAATCCAACAATACACAACAACGCATGGCATGGCATGGCATGACCAGGCAAAACATGAAGTGGCTTGAATTGACATCACATGACACACAGCACGACATAACATAACACTGCATACATAAGATGCATCGCAGCGAATACATGCTACCCTGATCTGTTCTTGTAGCTGAAGTGTAGAGTTGCTCCTGCCCTGCTGATTCCAGTGCGAGGCTTGTCATGATCACGATATCTCTTTCGGAATTCATCGACTGCGCTTCTACGCACGGGTCTCGTCCTCAGCATCGTTGCCGGCATCATCATGTTCTGCCTCGTGAACAACACCGATATGGCGACTGCAGTCTGCATCATTACCTTTATCAACTGCATCATTTGGTCATGCTCACAGCTTCTAGCCCGTCCCACCGATAAGAGCTGCCCGCATTTCTTTGTGGTACTTCTCCTGTCCACACAACGGTCAACCACACCTGCTAGCTGACCACTGCTTTTTGCATCCACTTGCCAGGGCCCTTCCTGAATCCTAGACACATCCAGTCTCCAGTGAAACCTCGTTACAATCTCCGTCTGAAGCACTGAGAGACCGCAACATGAGAAGCCTCCGTTTCCCTGATGGGAATCCAGACTTTACAAGCAACTTCTGGTCTGTTGTGCTGAAATAAGACTAGGACTAGAACTCTGATGAAAAGGAGCAACCCCCGAAATCCCTGCCAGCCCTACGTGCTTTGGGCATCAAAGTACAAGGTTTAGAGTCTGGAGCTCGCGCGGCTGGTGCCTCTGCCGTAAAGCCTGAACCCTAAACTTTAGGCCCGAAGCCCTAACCCCGAAACCCTAATCCTCTAAACCCTCAGCCCTAAACCGGAAACATCTAGACTCCCACCTCGAAACCCCCCGAGACCCTAAACCCATGCCTTCCAATCCTCCAGATGCGATTGGGTCGAAGGCAGCGTACCTGCACTGGGCTTTAAGTAACCGGGGAGAAAAAAGTATATGTTTTTATGTCATCACGGTTCCTTTAAAAAAATGTTAAAGTATGCTACTCCAAAGCCTAGTGCACCATGCCAGATGCTGCCGGAGTGTTCAAGTTGCGGGCTAGTTTTTCCTTAGGGTCTCCAAGGCGCTATGGATCCTACCATTCATCATGTTCTTAAACTTGTGAAGCTTGAATGATTCGGGGCTTGCCCCCGCAGGGATCAAGCCTGCTGAACTTTCAGATTGGTGAAATAGGAAATGACTGTGGCTTCTGAGGCAACCATGACGGTAAGTCGCCCTGTCTCACTAAATCCTGACATGGCAGTCAAATCTTTCCAGCTTCTTGGAAGAGCAAGCGATTCAGCACACTGACGGCTCGCCAATACAATACCATTTTGCTGTCCAGCTGCTACTATCATGCTTTATATAACTCTAGGGCTCGAAGTAGATTAAGGCTTTTCGGCCACAAGACCATAATATCCAAGGATTTTGGGCTATTTTGAGTCCCAGAGTAAGCACTCCCCAATGAATACTCACGATCCTACGAGGCCGAATATGTTAGGATCCATGGCAATGGCTAACTCGCAGCGACAGGCCTCCAGCGCAAGGGACCCTGGTTTAGGGTTTAGAATTTATCTTTACCATAAACAACCGATTGTCTGCGTGCCATATAATCGTATATAGCCTTAACCGTAAAGGACACATATAGGAAGTTTAAGGCCCAGGTGTGCCACTACTATGTGGCTGCATGGACCCGCCAGGTTTACCCTCTCTTTGAACCCTTAAAGCCGAGTATGTTGATGGGAGGCCAAGCGGGGGGTTTAAGATTCTTGGGGTAGGGATTCCTCAATATGAACCCTATTATGGGAACCCCAATCCCTACTAAACCCCATAGGCAAAAACCCCTTTTGGCCTCCTATGATATGCTACTTCGATTTTTCCGATGCTCCCCGTCTGATAAAGGTCGTCGTCGCGATATCGCGGGGCGGGGTTTAGGGTTTAGGGTTTAGGTTTAGGGTTTAGGGTTTAGGGGTAGGCGGCGGCGTCCTTTTAAGATGTTTCTGGCACGGCGTCTCTACCCCAAACACTTGACATGCACCACGAATGCATATCATCTCATAAAGTCTGTACGGGGTAGGCCTGTAATAGAACCCTTATACAGCCCTTCCCCTACGGGTCCATGTACTCAGGCAGTATGGACTTTAGCCTTGAAGTCTTCCCCATACAAGTACTAGCACCGAAGTATATAATGCTATGTATGGACCCTTCTGCCCTAAGCACCCTAACTTGAATCCGAATGGAAGAACATTTAAGGAACCCCTTTAAAAGGAACCCTTGGAGGAAGCTAGCAAAGAACCCCGGTACGGTACCCTTACCCTGAGGCTCTGAGGGCTCTTATCTTCAGGCTTTTGGGGCCGAAAGACCAAACTAAATGAGGGTTTTGGGTTGTTTTGAGCCTTATGGCCTTATGGTTTTAAACAAACAGAGAACCTAAACCCGTAAACCCTAAACCCTTAAAGGAACAGACCCGAAGCACACGAAGGAAGCTCCCAGAGTCTCCGACACCGCTGCTTTAAGGAATATACTTTGAATAATAATTGGCTCCCTAATATGATTCAAGGTAAATTCCTTATAGAGCCCTTATAGATCCCTTTAAAGATCCCTTTAAGGAACCCTAAATCTGTGTGGATATTGATATAAGGTATATTCCTTAGTTAAGGGGTGTTGCAGTCTCCGGGCTGCTAAGCACCGGACTCCAGGAAGATCACCAGCTGCCGCAGTCCGCCTGAAGGCAGAGACGCCAAAGCCTTACACATGGAATGTACCCCAAATCATATTAGGGATCCTATGATAACTTAAGATATACTCTTTAATTAAAGGGCTCCTTAAAGGAATCTATAAGGGTTCGAAAAGGGATGTAAGGAATGTACCTCAAACCCAGGATTCCCTAAAGGGCTCCTTAAAGGGATCTATAAGGGTTCCACAAGGGGATTACGGAATATGCTTGAAATGATAATAGGATCCCCAAAATGATTTCAGGTATATTCCGTGATTAAGCGATTTTGGAGCTGCGGGGGGGGAGAGGGGAGGTGGGTTGAGGGCGGCTTGAGGGTAATGAGAATTTGCAGCTCTTGGGCTTCTTTCAACGGTCTAGGGATGTCTAAAGTTAAAACAGCGAAATGGCACCCTTTCTGCACAAGAAGATGTCTAGGGTGTTAGGTCGAGGCTCTAGGGTTGAAGGTTGAGGCTGCAACATGGCGGCCTAAGACAATGCACGATTAACAACGACAACGACTACTCCTACACCTACTCCTACTCCTACTCCTACTCCTACTCCCACTCCCACTCCCACTCCCACTCCCACTCCCACTCCCACTCCGACTCCGACTCCGACTCCGACTCCGACTCCTACTCCTACTCCTCCTCCTCCTCCTCCTGCTGCTGCTGCCTGGGTAAATTGCATGTTCTGTTCTCTGCCACAGATTCTTATGCTGAGGCTCGAGCGTTGGAAGTTGGAGAAAAGCTGCTTCTGCACAAGCTGAAGGTACAGGTATAGTGTAGAGCAGACTCTGTGCTGCAACCCGATAGAGAGATATGCCATCATAATGTCCTGCAGGATGTCCTTGTATGTAATTAGGGTCTAGATTAAGGGATTCGGATACCATAGCGGCCCAAACCCATACCGAGCACCGAGCTCTGCTGCAACACGATCGCAATCTCCTTGTTCTTGGCTGTGAGCTGCCGCAGCAACACCTGGAACGGTCTTTGGGTTGCGATTCCCCGGGTCCCAACTTACCCGAAATCACCTAACAGCCCAAACACAAATCTCTACAACACTTGAAACCCAGGATCTTCAAATCCAAGACAAGACACCCACCTCCGACTCAGTTGATTTCAACTCTTTTGGTTCTATCGAAGCCCGGAAGCCCGGAGACTCGAAACTCTTTATTTAGTGTTCCTGAAGACGTCTATGGACCCGAACAAGCACCTAAACAAAAACCAACAAGTTTGCAATCCCATAATACCCTCTTTAGGTAAGCCAATAAGGTAAGGATATCCCGCCCGCAAGTTTTTGTGCTGTGCTTTTTGGCTTCTGAGAGTCAACCTCAATTCAGGATCACCCCTTTGGTTCAACTCTTGCCTTATCAAAGGGGCGTTGATAATTAGAAAAGGGGTTGGGGATTTTCGGTGAACATTATTGTCATAGTAATTACCCAGGCGTGCTGAGGAAGTGTTGGAGGTTTCTGAACGGACCTCAGGCTGCAGGCACTTCGACATTGCCGATGCCAAGCCCTAACACCCTAAACAGCTCACCCTAAACCATCCCTAAGCCTAACACCCTAAACCCTACATCCAAGACCCTTTAAACCCTTCCAGCCCTACACCCTAAACATCGTAAGCCCTGCTCCAAAACAACCAAAGCTGGGCTTCGGGGATGTTGCTCTTGGCATTTATAGGCTCAGTTATGGAAAACCCCAGAAGTTGTAGACCGGATTAAGGAGAATCAGTGCTGCGACTGGGATTCCCACATTACTCTTAAGGCTTGAGGATATTGGGTTTGCAACTTTTAGGCTTCTACTTTGTACTGTCGCCACCAAAGGTCCTACTTGCTGCTAAGTTAGAGCGTGGAGCACAATAGATTAGAATGCTGCTGTTTAGGGTGGGATGAAGGAACTGGAATCGTTTTTATGTGGCATGGCAGTGCAATCCCTAAACTCCTAACCCTAAACCCTGAACGCTAGACCCTGAACCCTAAACTCCGAAACCCCAAACCCTAACCCACAAACCGTCACAAACCCTGAACCCCAAACTCCTGAACCCCAAACTCCTAAACCCCAACCCCTAAACCCCAAACGCCTACACCCCCACCCCAAAACGCCAAACCCTCAACCCCAAACTCCTAAACCACAAACCCAAAACCCAAAACCCAAAACCCTAAACCCCAAACCCTCAGCCCTCAACTCCTACCCCTATAAATAAACCCTGAAATGCTAAACCCTAAACCCCAATCCCCAAACGCCTAAACCCCAACCCCTCAGCCCTAAACTCCTTTTTTTCTGAGGAGTGAGCTCGGGCATCCGGCCGGATGGACACGCCCGGCCTCCGCCATTGATGCCCCCAGGCATCGGGCTTCGGGGGGCTTAGGGGTTTAGGGTTCAGAGTTTAGGGGTTTAGGGGCTTAGGGGTTTAGGGTTTAGAGTTTAGAGGTTTAGGGGCTTAGGGGCTTAGAGTTTAAGGTTGGAGCAGCACCCCCCAAGTACCCATTACCTTCTGGTCCCTAATAGGGGACAGGCAAGTTGCTACTCAGCCGGCGGCTATCATCTCGAAGCGAATCTCCGAGCCTGATGCCCGCCCCAAAACAAACGAAATCCATCAAAGCCCGGGAAAATCCAAAAAGTTTAATGGGGGGTTCCTATAAAGTACCCTAAGTAGTATAGGGCCCCAAATTAGGGCCGGATCTACTTTCTACATCCTCCAACCCTCAAACATGAAATGAACCCCATAAGCCCGAAGGCCTGAGGCTCTGACTCTCTACACCCCTCCGACCATGGCAGCTTGCAGAAAAAGGGCGCGGAAAACCAATCGAGACAATCACCACATCCTACCACCCCCCCAAGTAACCTAAACTCCCAAAAATAACCAACATAATAGCCCAACACCTTTTAAAAGGCTATTATTCTACATACTTTTTGAGGGTCTAGGATGGGAGGAGAGATGCTCAGCACAGCGCGGTGAGAATTCCTCTTTGAGTCACAGACTAGAGCCTCCAAAACCCCTTATTTAAGGAATACACCTTAAACTAAAACTGGATCCCTAGCATGATTTAAGGTCTATTCCTTCATTAAGAGGTCTTGGAGGCTCTGGGAGACAGAGTATCTACGGCTCTGGGCTGACATAGCTCATTTTCTGTCTTATAGGGGTTGAGTACCCTAGCGCAAGAAAGGCTAACCTTCTCATTTTGGTAGGGTTATATAGACTCCCAAAAGGTTAAAGGTTACCTACTCGGCTACTAGGCTTTTGTTGTCCTGTGAAGTCAACAACTCAATCGGTGCTCTTGCAGGCTTTTGCTAAACACTTTCGAACAAGCTGCATAAAGGCCCCCGAACAGTCGGAGCCCTGAAAGCCATAAAAGTAGACCCCTCAAAGGAGTGCGCTGAATGAAAGCCATAATATCTAAATGGATATTGTATTATGTATACCCCTCAAGGAAGTTCACTGAATGAACTCCTCACACCAAGCTCGCCTGAGGTAGTGGGACGCAAAAAGGCGAAGGATGGCGAGGTGCGCGCGCTGCCAGTAGGTCATCTTGTGCGGACATGTGACCTGCAGGAGGGCATGTGCTTTTTTCATGGTAGTATACCCTACTTTCCAAAGGACCCAATAATTAGGTAGTCGGTTTCAGGATAGTGGTTATGTAGGTGAGGATTTCGGCGAGTGTATGAGTATCAGGTACTTGGTACCATGGGGTATACATGCATGCAAGTATTCATGCACATGTGTATGTACATGTGCATAGGAATGCGTATGTGCATGCAGAAGTATATTCATATCTGGGTGGTGCGGGAGAAAAGCAGAGAGACTGGCTTTGCAGGGTATGTTTGTGGACACCTCGGTGTATTCGCCTGAGGCTTACATGTTAAGTGCACAAAAAGTCGCGTTCTAGATGCACATCCCAACACCATTGAGAGACTGGCATCCTGGGACATAAAGCCCTACTACGTGCATGATGCTTAGACCCAATCCGTAAACTCAATCAACACAGAAACCCGGTCCGAGCTCAAACCGGCGCGTCCGAATCTCAACGGGTTCCACAGGTGGGATGAGAGTGGGTGGGGAATTCCAAATCAAAGGATCCCTGTCTGTATCTACATGCGTATGTGTATGTATCTATATATATATATACACACACATAACATATAAACCTATTATAAATAAAAGATAAATAATTCATGTGCATATATATATATATATATACACATACACATACGAGATACAGAATCCTACCTACTTTCATCATGTGGTCCCCGACAATCAGACCCAAATACTCCAAGGACCCAGAATACAAAACATACTCCGTTACACCTATCCTGAGACCCACCTACCCAATTACATAGCTCCCGTGGCCCTGTGGGAAAGCCCTGGCCGTTACATGTTCGACCCATACAGTCTGATATCAACGAAAGGGTGCAACATTGCCGTAAGGACGACATGACGGTCCAAGGTTCAGACGCCATGTAGGAATTCATAGTATAAGGGTTAGGGCGGTTAGGGTCATTTTGTCTTAAAGGTGCAAGGTTCATAGGGACCGGGGGTACGCGCAGGGGGGCAGGGGACTATACTTCCTTGCCTTATGAAGTTCGTATTATAGGCATTAGGGCCCCCTACCCCCTGACCCCTACCCCTCTAAAGATCCGTATGATATCACAAGCCTTAATAGAAATCATCTTATACAGGGGCCTTACAATAATTACCTGTGCCATTAAGGCCCCCTACCCCCCTAGGGGTCCTTGTGAAGGGTCTTGGCCAGGCGCCTGGCCTGAAGCTGATGAAGCAAGCGCTCTGCGTCCACCACGCAGTCCCGTGGTAGCTGGGGCCCCTGGAAGGGTTTAGCGTTAAGGGTATTTTGGGTTTAGGGTTTAGGTTATAGGGTTTTAGGGTATGGGGCTCGAGGGTTGAGGGTTTTAGGGTTTAGGGTTTTAGGGTTTTGCTGCGACACTTCAGGACTTTGATGGCCTTTCCAGGTATCAAGGGAAGTCTGAACGGGCTCTTTGAGGGTTTCAATAAGGTTTGCTATACGGGATATCTGGGGGTCCTTTCTAGATTCTAGAATCTCGAGCGTAACCGCGACCAGGAATCATGAAAACAAATCCTTGAAGGGACCCATATACACAGGGAATAACCTAAGACCCGAAACCCTCATACAAAGCCCCTTCACGGGACCCTAACACCAGAAAAGCCCTGTAGAAGCCCCCAGCAACCATAAAAAAGAAAAACATAAAACCCTAGAAAGCCCCATGGTTTAGAAGCTGCCCCCACCCTGTAATAGTGACTGTAAGGATTATATTAGGGCCCTATTATATATTCGATTATACCACTAGGGGTCCCTTCTAACCCATAGTACTAGAAACCTCCCCAAAGGTCCAAGTACCTAATAATCATACACTCTCCGAAATCCTACCTACATAACTACTATCCGAAAACTGAGTACCTAGTTATTGGGTCCTTTGGACCCTTGGGGCCTCAGTTGTGGTGCAGAGCTCTCAAATCTGGACTCTACGCAGGGAGGAACATCATCAAGATCCTCCAAAACCGTTTAGAACCCGTTCAGAGAACCCAGAGAGCCCAATACCTCTTAATTAAGGAATGTAGCTTAAACCATAATATGAATCCCCTGATTATTTGAGGTAAACTCCTTAATTAAGGGGGATTGGGCTCTCTGAGAACAAAGCACCTCTAGCATCCATTGGGGTTCCCTGTTTGGGCTTTGCCAATTTCATATAAAGGACCTCAAAGGGTGGCCCAATCAAAGGGGAAAAGGGGGGACCCTTAATGGGGACCCCTACCCTGTAAGCCCTATCATGGGGCTGTATAAGGGGAATATAATGGCCATATTAAAGGTATATACCTAGGGGTCCTTTTTAAGGCTCCCTCCTTTTCCCCTTTGACCCAAAAACAGAAACAACAATGGAGACTATAGGCAGAAGTGAACCCCTGCGAGCCTCTGTCTCCTCCTGGCCGAGCTTGGGCACCAGAAGTGTCGACACCTTATTTTCTCAAGGACCCAACGGGTTGAGGGTTTAGGTTTATGGATTTAGGGCCGATCTTGGGGTTCCAGAACCCAATAAATAGCTACTCACCTCTAGAGGTGCTTAGGGCTCTAGAACGCGATCAGTAGAGGTTCTTAGGATTCTCCAACGGTTCGACGAGGGTTCTATGAAGGTTCTAAAAGGGCCCGTAGTTGCTGAGTTCATAAGCCCCCAAAAAGTGTACACTTTCAGTTTTATAGTGGGTAATATTGTCCCAAAAAGTGTAAAGTGTATCCACTCAGCTACGAAGCCCTAAACCCTAAATCCGAAACCCTAAGCTCTAAGCCCCAAACGCTACAGTAAACCCCATAAAGTTGGAAACCGGACTAAGGCCAAATAGTGCTGGGATTCCTTATAAATCACTGTTAAGGATTGAGGCTATTGGGTTTCCAAATTTTTGGCTTCTACTGTAAGGTTCTATAGAGGCCACCCTTCCGGGCTGAAGGCTTAGGGTTTGCGGAGAGCTTAGGAGCTATCGAAAGGCCCAAATACTTCGGCTGGGGTTTTGGGGATCCACAGGAGCCCAAAGGGTGAGGCTCTAAGGACTTCTAAGGACTCATTTAAAGGGGGATCTTAGAGGGATCTATAAGGGGTTCTTAAGGATTCCGGTAAGGGGATCTATAACCCTAGGCATCTAAGGACTTCTAGTTTAAGGCTTTTGGGCTTAAAGACCTTGTTAGAAAGGGCTTTCGGGCCATTTTGAGCCTTAGAGTTTAGGGTGAGTTGATGATGAATGCTAGGGCTTGGAGTTTACGGTACGGTTTTAGGGTGTTGCGAGCAGAGCAGCGTTCTTTGTTGTTTAATAACTTTGGAGGGTTAGGTCTGGAGTTTAGGTGTGTAGTGCCGAGCTTCAACGGTGTTTCATGTCTTTTGCTTCCCAAATGTAAAGCAGCCCGATAAAGACCCTGATATCAAGAGAAAACGATGTATCACATGCGGTATTAAGCCTCTGATAACATCCAACGAAACCCATCCATAAAGTGCTTCTGCCTTACGGTATGCTCAAACTAGACCAGTCTATATCCTGTGAAAACCAACTAAAACCCTCCGGTAACAGCCCTCTGCAAAAGAAACCTCCAAAAAACTCTGAACCCTTCAAACATCTGAAAGCAAAAGATGAAACACCCTCAACAAGTGCTTGCAAGGTTTGCACCGGTATGAAGTATGACCCTAGGGATCTAAGGACTCATTTAATTTATTAAGGCTTTTGGGCCCAGAGACCATACTGTACAAGGCTGTTGGGCTATTTTGATCCCCAAGGTTAGGGAGAAGGAACCCTGAACCCGAAATGCCCAAACCCCAAACCCCTCCGGTATGAAGTATAAAGCCAGGACCCCGGCAGCATCGCGGGCCAGGTAGTGAAAGCGCTTCTCGGCGCAGAACCGTGGATCGAGGAGCATGGAGACAACGAAGCGGAAGACCTGAACAGGTACTATCAGGTAGGGGGCCGTAATAATTAGAATAGGGTTCCTTTAAAGGGGTCTATATAACTATAAGGGATCTGTCAGGGTTCTACAATATAGGGGCCTTAATAATTAAGCCTTATTAATAGCCTGAATACAATTAGAATAGGTTTTTTGGGGCCCATTATACTATAATTGTAGTGCGGAGCCCTGGATATAGCATTGGGTCCCCCATATTAGCCTGGAATCCCAGCAAGGTGGGAAGAAAAAGGGCTCCCTTTTTGGTCTTGGGTAGTGTTCTGAGGAACCCAGACCACAAAAAGGGAAAAAATGGCCCACTGTGAAACTTAGCAGCGCGTCTGAGCTTCAAATTTTCTCTGCGTAGAGCTAATTGTTTATGCGATCGTGTACCCTAAGGCTCCATGTACCCTTATAGTAGATACTTAGGCCTTAAAGTACCTGTATAGGGACCCCTTTAAGGCTTAAGTATCTACCATAAGGGTACATGGAGGCCTTTGGGTAAGGGTAGGGTCGTTTACGATGTGGTTCTATACAGGTTGTTCAAGGACGTCTTTACGGGATGCTATAATGTAAACCCCATAAAGTTGGAAACCGGATTAAGGCCAAATAGTGCTGGGATTCCCTATAGATGACTCTTAGGGATTGAGGCTATCGGGTTTCCAACTTTTGGGCTTCTACTGCAGGGTTCTGTTGGCTTCTGTGGGTTTTGAAGTACAGTAGAAGCCAGAAAGTTGGAATAGAATTATCGTAACCCCCTTTAAGGTAAACTATAGGGGATCCTACCATCAATCCATATTCCAACTTTCTGGAGCTCCCTTTACAGTAACTCTTATAGACCCCTTTAAAGGGAACCCTACAATAGATCCCTTTTTAAGGCTTTCCTTTATGGGGGGCTCCCTTTAGGGTTGAAGCCTCCAGGTTTGCCTGGACCCTACAGACCCTGCGTATGCAGGTTTCTATGGCCCAGGTTTCGGGATACCGTGCAGCAACCCCAAAGTAGCCTACCTTTTTCATACCTCTTCATATGGATTCCTAAAAACAGGTCGTTCAAGTTGGGGTTAAGGCAGAGTTTATAGCTAAGAAGCTTAGATTTTGGCGGATCCAGGGTTTACTTGCCGGATCATGGGACTGAGTAAGTAAGGTTATAAGTACCCTAATCGGAGTTATAAGTATAGCTACCTTGTTTATAACCATAGTTACTAAGTCCCATGATCCTCCAAGTACGGTTGAGTCTAGGGTCCCAGCGTCTGCAGCTTCGGGAGTTTAAGGCTAAAAATGTTTCCCAAACTCGAAACCCTAAACAGCATAGCCCTGAACCCCCAAACCCTGAACCATAAACCCTAGGGTTTATGGCTTAGAGTGCTTACCCTCTTGACCCAGAGGCACCTCCACGTTTTTTCCCATGAGCACCGGCTGTAGCAGCTCTGCCCTGTGAACCTGGCTTGCGCGGGTTTTTAGGGGTTTTAAGGTTTAGGGTGTATGGTTTGGGTTTACGTTTTAGGGTCTTATAAGGGTTTAAGGCTTCCGATTGGTTCTCGGAGTTTGACAACGTATTGCAGGGTTACAGATTCACAAATGCTTGAAGCCGAAACCTTCTATACTCAGTAGGCAGAACTGTTCTGTTTAACAGGGTTTGGGAAGTGGCTTTACAGTTGAGGCCGCAAGGAGAAGGGATCCTCCACATTTACTCAGAACGATTTAAGATCCAAGACTACACACCACATGAGTCATCAGCTTGAAAGCATAATTAAGGTTGATCAAGTCAGTCGCCACCCTGCCGGGGAAGATGTACATATGTATATATATATACACATAAATAAATATGTATATATATATATATATATATATGTATGTATGTTCGAACACCCACTCATCTACATATTATACATTCAGTACATTCACATACGCAATATAGAGAAATAGAGGCACACTGCGCAACATATTAAGTTCATGCCACTTCAATACACCGAGTTGCCAGTACTCTGAGCACCAGCAGCCGCAGTCGGAAGTCAGCGGATGCGCGGTCGACGATGCTCAGCAAAGGATAAAGCCAGCTCATCCCTGCCAGAGAAACCCTATAGGCATCTAAGGACTCATAAAATAAGGCTTTTGGGCCCAAACACAACACTATATAAGGCTTTTTGGGCTATTTTGATGCCCAGGGAAACAAGCCGTTTAGGATTAGGGTTCAGGGTGATGCTGTGTAGTGGCTAGTATGGTTTCCTCCAACAGTCCATATGAACATGTGGAAAATTTTGCCCCCCCCCCAAAGCAACTTGAAAGGAGGAACCTAGAGCTTCCAAAACCCCTTAATCAAGGAATGTACCTTAAATCATAATAAGGTTCCTATTAAACTTTAAGGGATATTCCCTAAATCAGGGGTTTTGGAGGCTCTGTGAAGTCTGTTGAGACAGCCTTTACCTTGGCTTGGCTGCCAGTGTTTGGTTTTTGTCCCTGATTGATCGACGTAGGGTTTAGGGCAGACACTCAATCCAGGCATCGCATTGCGCATAAGGCTCAGGACCGAATGACACTCACTCACAGCACGAAGAGTTTAAGCGAGCTAAAACGCTCCAAGATCCTTCTCACATAACTTACCTAACCGAAGGGCTCTTCTGAAGTTGACGTGCTGCCTGCCTCTCTGGCTGAAACGCTCGCTGAGGACATCCACGGTGCGAAGCAAGATGAGGAAGAGCGTCCTTACAGCAGCGGCTCTGTATCGTGATGTCCCTGCATACAGCCCGTCCGAGGTGAATAGCTATAACCTCTCAAAGCTGTATAAAACAACGAAATACATAGATGGAACAAGCACGAGCAAGCCGCGAGGCGTGCTGGCATTATTAGTACATGGGACTGGTTAATCTAAGAACCGACAGGATGCATGGAATAGTATTTCCTCGGCCTCCCTTTCACTCCCATAGTGGTGTGCTCGCTGTTGTTCGCTGTTGATCATGTACGATCCAATGCAATAGACTTCTTTAGTCTACCAGTGTCTAGTTCAGTCTACCCGGAGCTTTCGTCCCCCGAGACAGCGCATCTAGTTTCTGCTGTGTCAGGGTTCGTATCTTCGGCATCATTTGCAGGAGTCGGGTTTCACTTTAGCGCTCAAGGTGATATCATTAAAGCAACCCCAGACTCGTCCTAACCCTAATATAATCCCTAACTGAGCCTTGAACCTTAGAACCAACATGTACTGTAAGGGGCGGCAAAGTGGAACAAGTGTTAAGGGACAGCTGTTTATGCCATAACAATACGTACCAGCAGCCGTGATCCCTGAAACCTTATAAGGACAAGTACTACTGCGGGTCATGCAAACCACTAGATTATTCTCCCCACGATGACGATATAGTTGGGAAACCCAAGGCAGAGTATGACTAGTTATTCAGGCCCCTACATTCATCCCTAAACTCAGACAACAGGGCTCAGGAGGCTACATTATTGTATGGAATCAGGTTACGAATTATTCCGACCGGTGTATACAAGCCCCTTAAAGGAGCCCTCATAGGATCCTTATAAGGCATGCTGGGAAGATGCTTCCTGAAAAGCCCGTAGCTTCCATCACAGGGAGCAAGCACCGAGGGTTTGGGGGTTTAGGATTTAAGCCGTTTTCGAGCCTCCTGTATCCAGATGAGGTTTAAAACCTGAACCCTATAAACCCTAAACCTAAACCCTACCTGAACTCAATAGAACCTACCTCCTTGGGTTTCCCATTATAATCTAAGTCCGCAAGAGGGCAGCTTGTTTGGGGTCCGGGTACAGCATGAAGACTGCCAGACCAAAAAATGCTTATGGTCAGGGCTGGCAATGTGGATTGTAACGGCTCGCGACTCAACCCTGAACCCTAAACCCTTGGCCTGAGAAAGAAGCATAAGCGTGGTCCAAGTGTCAGAGATGTGCTTTCGGAAGGCCCCTCCAAGAAGAGCTTATCGTCATGCTCCATCCACTCCTGAGGACGCAGAAGCCACCACAGTTCTAGCTGCTCTAAACCTGAACCCTGAACCCCTATACCCTAAAATGCAGATTTTGAAACCCTATAATCCTGAAGTCCTCCGACCCGAAACTCGGAATCCTGCGTATATGGGATCATATACTGTACAGGTAACCAGCAATGAAACAACAGGAAACCCTAAACCCTAAACCCTGTAACTAAGCCCTAGACCCTAGAACCTAAACTCCAAACCTAATGGAGACCACAGGATCTGCAACCTCGACATTCCCAACATTCGGGTTGGAGGGGTTTACAGTCGTTGTTCTGAGCGGTCCTTTTAGAGTTCCATAGGGTATAGGGTGTAGGGTTTTAGGGCCCGAGATCTTTCATCTGAAGCTCTGAAGGACAACGCACATGGGATATGAATATTGCACTGCATGTTTCAAATATACGCAAAAGCCGCTAAATATCCTAGACCACAAAGCGGCCGCAATTCGGGTTGAGAGCCATCTCACAAATACGTAATTACTGGTATCATACTGTAGGGACCCTGAAACAACTGCCGGTATCCCTTGTGGTTTTAAATCTCTCCCCAGCTCTCCCACATCGTGAAACACTGAGTATGAGCCTTGCCGCAACTGCGCGAACTGATCCCGCAAACCTAAAATCCCAAATCCTGAAGCCCCGAACCCCCAAAGCCCAAAACCCTCAACCCTAAGCCCTGAACTCTAAACCCGAGGCCCTGAACCCTGAAGCCGAAACCCTAAGCCCTAAACTCCTAAAAGCTTAAAATCCGATGTAATGAAATTCCAGCGGCCGTTTGCCAGGTACCCCCTTGGCCATCCGGATGCTCGCTTTGCCTCAGCTTCCAAAGCCTTCTTGCACGCAGGGTTAGGGTTTAGAGCTTAGGGTGCTGAAGGTGTCCTACTGTAGGGGCCTTGACAATTAGAATAGGGCTTCGGGGCCATATACTATAATTGTAAAACGGAACCCCCAAAATAGTCTTGGAAACTAGTCAGGCGGCTATTTTACATGCTTTTTGGTGATTGGCGTAATATCCTCTAGAGCTTTGAGCTTGGCAGGGGCACCTGCGAGGATTGAAAGACTTCTATTGCCAGACTTGCTATGATTTTGGGAACCTAATTCCATCTTGGTAGTATATGTGGAGCCTCTGAGATTGCTTTCGTTTACAGGAGTTTGTGTGGTGCCTCTCTAGGGTTTTGCATGCTTTCTGCAGACCTTCACTGAATTCTTAGGATTGAAAATCTTACGAGTGCAGAAACCTGGGAAATCACCTAAAACCGGAAACCCTAAGGTCCCTTCCAAGCCCAGGTGTAGGGCCCCCCAAAAGCACACAAGCAAAACTGAGGACAGGATATCCCGAAAAACACCCCTTGTAATGAAGCCCTTTAGGGTACGGATATCCCTATGAAATGCTCATGCTTGTGTCCGTTTTTGGGTCCCGAATTCAAGCCCAGGTGAGTTGCAGTCGACGCCCGGCCAGAACGGCCTGCAACCGCAAAGCCTCGCCCTCCTCGTCAGCTGCTGGGATGCTCTAAAGACGCCTCTCAACGGGCTCAGGGCTTTAGGGTTAGGGTTTAGGGCTTACCTGGACCCCAGGGGATGCTCTAAAGACGCTGACAAGGGGTTTGGGGTTTAGGGCTTTACCCAAAGGCCCAAAGTGGTTCCTTTTTGGGTTCATATTTAGAATTCCGTAAGGTAATCCCCAAAAGGAACTACGATGGGGCATATGGGTAGGGTTTAGGGCTTATCTGGACCCCGAAAGTATAGTGGAATATCAGCCGTTATTGGTGTTGGGCCATTCTTTTACCTACTTTTGGTTGGGGGGGTTCAGGGCTGAGGGCTGGATGCTGTAAAGGGTATCAAAACCTGCACAATTGCCATCACCGGGAGACAGATAGACCTTAAACCCTCAGCCCTAAAGCTTATGGGTCTATATGCCCTACACTTAAACCCTGAACCTCTAAGCCAGAAACCCCAAACCTTAACTTTCAAACCCTGTAGGCCCGAAACTCGAAACCTAAACCTTTCCTAGAACCCTGGCCTTCTAACCCTGAACTGTATGCCCGAAACTCGACACCTAAACTTTGCCTAGAACCCCAAAACCCTAAACCCCTAAAGCCTAAACCCCTAATCCCTAAATCCCTAAACCAAAAAAACCTAAACCATAGACTCGCGGGTCCTCTCCAGGAGGTAGCGGAACACCTTCTCCAAGAGTCAATCCGTCGGAGGACCCGGTGATAGCGATGCTCATGACCTTGGGGTTAAAAAAAAGAAGCGTGTTCCGGCTTTCCGGGCTTTGAAAGCTTATTCGTGCTTTCGATACGGTCTAGGCCGGGTTCAGGGGCTAAGGGTGTCTGTTGTTTGTCAGGCTGTTCTGCGCAAAGCTTTTCTCTTTGGATGAGATACGGGTTTAGGTTATAGGTTTTCTGGTTTAGAGGGTTTCAGAACTGCTTCAGGATATGTGGACTATCCCAAACCTCAGGCACTGCTTTAAGGCTTATGAAGCAGGGCTCTAAGAGCGTAGGGTGTCAATAAGGGCTGCTTGAGTCCATGTATACTATAATTAACTACAGTAAAAGCCAGAAAGTTGGAATATGATTATCCTGAGCCCTTTATGGTAAATCATAAGGTATCCTACCCTGAAACCATATTCCAACTTTCTGGAGTTCCCTGTACTTGATGGAGAGGTTACTGAAGATTTGGAAGTTTGAAGCGTACCCTAAACCCTAAACCCATAATGGCCGTACGTCTGTGGCTTCATGTGCCCAAACGGTGCCTTTAAGGTTTGCTCTAAGGGGTCTGTAAGGTTTTGTAAGGAATTATCATCGTAAGGGTCCATGCGCTCATGTGCTGTTTCCCTTGGCCTCAAAAAGGTCAGTATACATGTACTGGTATTTGACGGGGGGGCGAATCATACAATATACGCGCACACGGACCCTGTAAGTCAGGCAAACCGCCCTTACAGCAACAGTAACTACAGTTAAAGTCCTATCCGTTTCTCATCATCAAGCAGTTACTGCGAGGGAGATGAACCACACCTATCAAGTTGAACAGAATGTCCGTGGATAGAAATTTGTCGTTACTGTTGCTTTGTGCTTTACAGGTTCGAGCATATGGGATTGAGCTCACCAAAACTCATGCCTTGCACTGTTTTCGTGCAACTTCCGCAAGAACCTCTGAAACCTTATAGTAAAAACTTCATGGAGTCAGTGTCGAAACAGAACAACCGAGCCCTAAACCCTGCAACACCCGCAAGACCTGAAATTTAAAGCTTAAGAAACCCTGAAACCACGAAACCCTCAACCCTAGGAACCTAGAGCCCTAAAATCCCTAACCTCAACCCTAAACCCTACAGTAAAAGCTCAAAAGTTGGAAACCCAATAGCCTCAATCCTTAAGAGTAATTAATGTAGAGGGTCCAACTTTATGGGGTTTACTGTAAACTTTCCAAACCTAAAGCCCTTCAGCCTCGAACCACAGACCAGGTCCCCGCGGCCTGCGACGTGGAAGCGGCAGTGCCTCGGGCCCGGCTTGCCGTGGCTGCAGCGAGCTTCCGGCGCTGCCTCTTCTTCGTTTACGGTTTTAGGGCTTAGGGTTAGCGTTTAGAGGTTTAGGGTTTAGGGTTTAGGGTTTAGGGGTTTAGGGTTTAGGGTTTAGAGGTTTAGAGGTTTAGGGTTTAGGGTTTAGGGTTTAGGGTTAGGGTTTAGAGGTTTAGGGTTTAGGGGTTTTAGGGGTTTAGGGTTTAGGGGTTTAGGGTTTAGGGCTTGGGGCCTTTAGGGTTTAGAGCTTAGGGTGTTGGATTGAGGTTGGCCTTTAAACACCCTGAACAAATGTTTGTATATGGGGTCCCTTATAAACCCAAATAGAAATAGGGAAAAAGAAAAAATGACCCAAAATCCAACCTAGTCTTCTTCGTTTCGGGTTTAGGGTTTGGAGCCTTTAGGGTTTAGAGCTTAGGGTTTCAGATTGAGGTTTTGGGTTCATGGTTAAGGATTAAGGCATGTTGCTGAGTTTAAAAGCAACCAAAAGTGTACACTTTCAGATTTACAGTGGGTAATATTATCCCAGAAAGAGAAAGTATATCCACTCATCTACTAAGTCTTAAGGCTTGATACACTAAGCCCTAGACTCTCAGCCAAACCCCAAACCCTAAAGCCTAAACCCTAAACCTTAAAGCCTAAATCCTAAACCCTAAATCTTAACCCTCCATGTACGCATGTAGACAGTATGGGCACATGGTTAACTGTCAAGCTCGTGAAAGGTTCTATAGGGCCTTGATAAGGATTCTTCAAGGAGTTTAGGTTCTTCAAGGAGTTTAGCGATGGTTTCTGGAATGGCTTTAAAGCCGTTGAGGGTTCGCTTTTCTGCAAGTTTGATGTTTCGGCCTCAATGTAGTCCCTATGTGGGTACTTTTAAGGCGAGTGCATATACAATATGAGCACATGGACCCTTCGGGCCAATTCTTAGGATCATCTTCGGGCTGACAGTGCAACGTATGGACACCCAGGTTCGGGAGTCTATGGTTTTTCAACTGACTCAGAGGATCCGTATATAGTCGCCACTATGGAATTAGTTCCTAAAACACCATCCCCTAAACCCTAAACCCCTGAACCCACAAGCAATGTTTTCGAAGCCCACTGCGTAGGGTAGTTGTTTCCATGATACCCCTACTGGTTCTTATCCACGACCTATTTGCTAAGTCCTCTGCACCTTCATGTAGGGCATGAGCTTTAGGGATTCCCACTGTCAGGGATTGCTTCCTTAGCCCAAACCTCCGGAACCTTGTATTCCCAACCTCCTCAACCACAAACCCTAATCCTACCCCAAAGGTCCAAGTGCCCAATAATCATACACGCTCCAAAATCCTAACCAACTTAACTACTATCGTAAAACCGTGTACGTAATTGTTGCGTCCTTTGGGCTATAAGCATCAACCCTGCTCAGAATCCTCTCGGCCTTTCCGGCAGCAGCGTTGTCAGCTCCTGGCGATCTGAGCCAGCTACCCTACCATGTACGAGTTAGTGCAGATCCCTGATAACCTTTTAGGACCCTTGATATGGAATTGGGGAAGAAAGGAACTACAACGGAGACGATATCTCTAGGCCATCCCTGAACCCCAACACCCAAACCCTGCCCAAACCCCATCTCAACGGACATTTAGGGTATCCAAACATCAGCCTTTGAGGGTCCATAACGAAGCCTACCCAAACACCATCTTCACGGACCCTTGGGGTATCCCTAAACCCCAAGGTTGAAACCCGAAACCCCTAAACTCTAAACCCTAAACGGCCCTAAACCCTGATCCCTAAACCCGAAACTCTAAACTCTAAACCCCTAAACCATAAACCCATGAACCCTAAACCCCTAAACCCTAAACCCCTAAACCCCTCAACCCCTAAACCCGAAACACCCTAAAGAGCCCTAGGCAGGCTCCTGGCTGGCTTTGCTTGCTGCGGCCCGGCCCAAGGCACCCACGCCGCCACCAAAGCCCCCAGGGCCACGCAGAGAGGCCTCGTGGCTTGGGGCTTAGAGGGCTTAGGCCTTTAGGGGGTTCGAGCTTGTAGGGCTTAGGACCTCTAGGGTTTAGGGGCTATAGGGTTTAGGGTTATGTAGGGTTTAGGGCTTTATAGGTTTTGGGATTACAGGGTTTAGGGATTGCAGGGTTTTGGGGTTCTCATTTGGGGTGTGGGTCTTGACTTAAAGTAGAAGCCAGGGAGTTGGAACATCATTCTGCTCTTGGCGTAAAGTAGAAGTAGAAGGAATCCCAGCACGAATCATCATTAATCGATGCTCCAGCTTGCTGAGTTCCGTATAGGGATTATAGCTTATAGGGTTTAGGGGCTTATAGGGTGTAGGGTTTAGGCTTGCGGCTTATAGGGTTTAGGGTGGCTTAGGTTCGGGGCCTATACTTGAGGGTTTGGGTTTAGGGCTTAGGTTGCAGGGTCTATGGCTTACGTTCAGTACTGGGGGGGGGGTTTGACTGGGGCAGCTCTTTTGCGCAAGCCTTACTTGGAGGGGGGACTTAGTAAGTAGGTAGTAAGTAGACTTATAATAAGTACCCAAAAGGGACCCTAATTGGGGTGATGGTACTTATTAGTCCCTAAAATACCCAGTTACTAAGTCCCCCGACCCTCCAAGTACAAAAAACTTGAACCCTAAGAAGGTCTAAACCCCTAAACCACTGGACCCTAAACCCTGCAAAAAGAAGACTACACCCTGAGAGGCACACAAGCCCTTAATACCAGAGCCCATGCCCCAACATGCAAACTCTTACGGAACCTATCAAGTGTAAACCCTAAACCCTACACTAGAAACCTAAATCCTGACCAGCCGAAACCTGGAACCTTGAACCCTAAACCCCAAACCGCCTAAACCCCAAACTCAAAATCCTAAACCCCAAACCCTAAACCCTAAACTCTAAACTTCAAGCCCTGAGCCCTAAACCTCTAACCCTAAACCCTAAGCTTCAAGCCCTAAGCCCTAAGCCCTAAACCCGAAACCCTAAACCCTAAAACCCCCAAACCCACAGAAGACCTCGGGAGCCCTCATAGGAGTCCTTACTTGGAGGGTCGAGGGACTTAGTAAGTAGGGGGGCTCCTTTAAAGGGGATGATAAGGGTTCAGTTAAAGGGCTCTATAAGTGTACTATGGGGTCTAGGGGTTTAGGGACTTAGCAAGTAGGTAGTAGGTAGACTTATAATAAGTACTCTAAAAGGGATCCTAATTGGGGTAATGGTACTTATAAGTCCTTAAAATACCTAGTTACTAAGTCCCCCGACGATCCAAGTAAAGGATCCCTTAAAGGAACCCCTTTCAAGCGAAGGCCTCGGGAGCCAGTGTGGCCGCCTGCGTCAGCGCCGGGGTGGCGGCCCAGAGGCCGGCTCCCAGCAACGTAGCTTCCTGCGATATGCAGTTTAAGGTTTAAGGCGTTTAAGGTTTGGGGGTTTAGGGTTTGGGGGTTTAGGGTTTAGGGTTGAGGGTTTAGCCTTTAGGGTTTATAGGGAGCTTCCGAAAATATGGGACCCCAATATAATACCCTAAATAGTAGGATCCTTATTATAAGAACTCCCAGAAAAGGGTACCGCTAATTCTCGGAAACTCCCTTAGGCTTCCTTTAAGGGCTCATGTTTGAGGGATCTTAAAGGGCTCCTAAGGATTCCTTTAAGGGGATCTAGAGCTCTAAGTGGCTTCCTGCGATATGCGCGCCCCTCATACGTCGATAAGGGTGGCTTTTTTTGGATATCGAAAACCATACTAGACCCAAGAGTAACCTAGGAATAAAAAGGGTGCCCTTTTTGGTTTAAAGGGGCTTATAAGGGAACCTGAACCCTCAAAAAAGGGAATATGGGCCGACTCTGGGTCCTAGCATACTAGCCGGTTTAGGGTTTAGCCTTCATGGTCCGAAGATCCTGGCTGCCCGACAGTGCCGCCCGGCGCGCCGCGAGGCCCCGGCGTCCCGGAAGTGCCGCCGAGAGGTAAGCGAAGGAGTAGCCTGGGGTTTATGAGGCTGGGCCTGTGAAAAGGCTTCAGTATGGCTTCAAAAGAACTCGAAACAACAACTTCTAAGCTGGATATTCGTAGAGAACCTGGGTTCTTTCGAGTACCTTTTCCAGGGTTATAGTGAACCCAAGAAGAAATTTGGGATATGGATTCAAGATGATTCGTGCTAGGGTTCCCCATGCAATTTACCTTCCGGGCATCAAGTCAAATTGACCGGCTTCAAACTTTCTGGCTTCTGCTCCCAAAGGGTCCTAGAAAGGAGGGGTTTCCAAAGTAGGAAATACCACTGTGGTTGGGGTAGTTGCATCCCCCGTTGAAGTACTTAGGAACTGTAAGGGTTGGTTTAGGGCTTAGGGTTTGCTGCTAGTGTTTGACGCCCCAGGACTTCTGAGATTTTTCTACAAGCTTGCTAGGATGTAGGCCACAATAAATATTACAGGTGTTCTTTGGCTATACATGTACAGGGACTGTATGGGAATGTATTACTACTAATTCTTCCGACCTCAATACCCGAAGGCACCATGTACGAAAAAAGCATACACTTGGGCGGGTCCCGATATAGGTGCTTTAAGGCCTATAAGTATACTATATAAGTATATGGAGCCTTACAGTAGATTCTTAGAGTGTTCTGGGATTTCGGTTTTCAGAAACTCTGCGCCAGGCTCTAAGACCTAAGAGGGCATCATGCGCGCTGCCCTCAGGGGAACCCGGAGAGGAAAACTTTCAGGGACCCCTTAAGGGACCCTTAAAGCAAGCCGTAATTACACGAAACTGTTTCAGGAATCCTTGAACCCTACGCCATACCCTTCAATCACCTCTTTTATTGGGCTATTGGGCACTCTGGGTAAGGTTTCTGGGGTTACTCCAAGGAGCCAGGTCGGGGGAATGAGTGGTAGCTCGTGTCCGGCGTCAAGGACGACAGGTCCTGGGCATCCGTGGTTGTGGGGCTACCCTAAACCGCACCCGGACTCCAAATGTAGCTAGAATATCAGCCTTTTTACAGGTGTTGGGCCCTTATTTCTACCTACTTTTGGAGGTTCAGGGAAACCCGACGGTACAAACCCTGAAGTCTTCGGGCGCCGTGCAGCTAAAGACAATGCAAGAAGCTGTACAGAACCCTGAGGCTCTAAGGACTCATAGTTGAAGGCTCTTGGGCCTAAGGACCCTATTATTATAATGGTTTTGGGCCGTGTTGAGCCTTGGGGTAACACGATACAGACAAACTGGAGTCCCGGGCCACAGGGGCTGGCGAAATCGTTGAGGAACCCTTAGGTGCGCCCCGAGGGTATAGGCCTTAGGGCCTTGGGGTTTAGGGTATAGGAACCCTCAAAGGAACCCGCTTGAAGGAACTGCAAGACAACGCTGCACACCTAAACCCTAGACTCCAATCCCCTCCACCCTGAACTTAAACCCCACACCCCTAAACTCCTAAACACCTACAGTAGAAGCCAGAAAGTTGGAACATGGGTTTAGGAGGATTAGTGCTAGGATCCCTTATACTTTAAAAGGGCATGAGGAGTCTAATGTTCCAACTTTCTGGCTTCTACCATAAACCCCAAACTCCCTAAACTCCCTAAACCCTAAACACCTTCAAGCTCCCTCCGAACTGGAAGGCCGAGGGTCCGGTTTGCGGAGGTCCCAAGGCTCCACCATGGCGTCGTCCCAGGTCACTTTCTCGAAGAGCCATCCGGAATACATCTCCTGTTGGGACTTTTCTTTTAAGGTTTAGAGTTTGGGGTTTCCTTACGATTTACAGATTTGGAGTTAAGGGTTTGATTACCGTTTGCGATGGGAGATATTCATGGTCAGTGCTGTTTTAAGATTGGAGGAGGCCTGTGACGGTTTTTGGAGGTCAGGGTTCAAATTGAAACAATATTGTCTAGCTCGCAAGCACTACACAAGTCAAGAAGAAAATGTAACTGCTCAGGTCGCGGCATTAAACTGTAGATACTGAGCCCCATTTACAGTCAAAACCTCTAAACCCCTAAACCTGAACGCTGAACCCAGTACCCTGCGCTGACCAAGAAGAACTCGTGCGGCTTTCAAGAGCTCTGTCCTGTGGGCGAGAGTACCATATTCTCATCTACTCCACGAAGAACTGGCCCACACCGCCATACTACCATCAAAACATCCACAATGTATCTTACTATTGGGTAATTTCCTCAATCCCTCAAATATGTGGGGCTGAGACAAAACATACTGTGCCCGAATGGTTGCTGGTAACATCTAAAGCTCTATTCTTTGGGATGTGAACCCTATACCGACCCCCACTAAAACCCTATACTAGCTGGGCACCTGAGCGCTGAGGATTCGCAGGTTCACTCTCCAAAAACTTCTGCAAAGGTTTCTCAACATCTTCAGCCACTCAAACCTTAAACTCTGTACAGTCGTCTCAAACTCTATACCCGAACGGAAAGCCCAATGCAATCAAAGACACCTGTATAAACACTAGCCCTAGCAATCCCGCATAGGACCCTGGTGGACTTATACAGCCATAGATGCATGCGACAAGAACTGTGAAGCCCTGTCTCACGTCGTCTCACCCGTCCTGCTTGGTCTGTGTTGCACAAACGGCCGCAGAGAGCGCTGCATAGATTCGCAGTTGGCAGCGGCGCAAGAACATCATCTCCACCTTTAAGCTTGAGGGCTTTGGATCTACAGGGCTCGGGTTGAGGGTTTGGGGCATACAGGGGTTCGGGGTTTTCGGGGTTTACGGCTGAGGGTCTGTAGATCGAGGCTGTGTGCAGGGCCTGGCATTTACAGGGTTTAGGAATTGGTGCGGGGATTTAAAGCTTGCGCTTAGAGGTTGGCTTCGAGGTTGAAGGCTGCATAAGCTTAGATTAGATGCAGCTGCAAAACGAGTTTCCATGTGGCACCTGTACGAAACGTTGAGCAAAGCGAGAAATAGACAAGTAGATATATAGCAAGGTGCTTTAACGCAAAATCCGAAGCCCTACCTGCGGATCGGAAACCCTGTAGTTTGAAGGGCTGAACCCTATGATCGTGGGTCATGACCCGCCTTCTTATGAGGTTTGGGGATGCATACACATCTGACCCTGACCCTGAGGGTCCATGTACTGTATGTACTGTACCTTGGCCGACTTCTGAACCCCTCCTAAAAGTTAAACTTTTAGCCTCCTGAGTATAGTTCATATAGCAACCCAACAAGTTAAAGTCTAAAGAGCCAACCAGAAGAACGCCAGGTACTATATGGGCACATGAACCCTTAGTGTCAGACAACCCTGGACCAAATTGAACCAAAAGACTCGTTCCCATCCGGTGGGCTTCTTCAGCGCTCGCTTGGCGATCAAGATGATGTCCTGCTCAACTGGCTTCACGCAAAAGCTAAACTACAAACTCTTGCTGTTTGGTGCACCCAGCACTTCCCCAAAGCCTAAAGTGTAAACCCTAAGCAGCAGAGGCTAAACCCTAAACCCCAAAGCCGAACTAAACACCAGAGGCTAAACCTTAAACCCTGAACACCAAAGCCTAAACCTTAGCCTTAAACCCTGAACGCCAGAGGCTAGAGACATTTGTGAGGCCTCTCAAAGTTCAAAAAACGATTTCGGGACCAACCCTAAACCTCGAATAGCTTTAAATACTCAAACCAAAAAGCTGAAAATCTGCCTGAACTGCAAACAATCATATAGTCGTATTCAGCCATATTCCTCGCTTGAGGATTTACACAAGAAAATCAAACAACAACAACTCCGAAAAAGGTATGTTCTTTAGGCGCACACAAACTGAAACACGTACACACATCTTCCTATAACTTTCGAGTACGGACACAGACGCCAACACCTCCCAAACCCCGTAGTCGGGTCCCTGGACGGACTGGCGCCGCCCAGTGCAGGGACGATCTGTTCTTTCAGCACGTCCGGCGGAGTGCGCACGAAGAGAATCTCAGGGGTTTGTTTGTTTAGGGGTGTTTAAGGCCTTCGAATTTTAGCGCAGTGAGCTTATTTGTCTGCAGGCTCGCTTGCATTGCTGCATCTCTGGCTCATAAGGACCACAACATTACCAGTGGTTGTCTTTTCAAGACCCCCAACATCTGCGAGCCCTATCTACTGGGAACGGCCCTCATACAAACACATTCGGCTACCCGCGTTAGCCACTCAACTCCTTGGTTGGCTACACCCAATCCTAAGTGTCCCAGGACGCCATGTTTTAGGCCAGCTCGCTGGGGAGCATATATGGGGGTTTCCGGAAATAGGGGACCCTAATATAGTACCCTAAATAGTAGGATCCTTATTATAAGGACCCCAAAATAAGGTACACCTAATTTTCGGAAACTCCCATATGAGTGTTGTCTACTTTGGACCCTTAGTGCTTTGTAACGCTTTGACCCGGAGTCTCAGACTGTCTATAGTATCCATTGGAGGTACTTTTTGCACACCTTATACACCACTTAAAACCAAATACACTTGAAACTTCGTTAAACCAAAGAAAGACCTGCTACTACAATGGGGACTGTAGCATCTGGCTTTCACGACAATTTTTTGGACACGGTGGCAGCCTCGATAACGCCATAGATGCACGCCATTTCCTGGTGGCCACACAGCTTGCAGATTAGAGGGTTCGGATTCCCGAGGGCTCTTGAATCATCGGACGGCTGTTGCCACTGACAGAAGAACGCAATTGAAACGTGTCTCAGCAGAAATCGAAACAAGCAAGCCTCACCCCTTGCAAGCCTGAAGCCCTGAATCAGATCTTGGACCTGGAACCCTGAAAGCCGAAGCCCCGAACCTGACCATACTTCCCAAAACCCCGAAACGATAAGGGTTTAGGGGTTTAGGGGTTTACGGTTTAGGAATTAGGGTTTAGGGGATTCGGGAATTGGGGTTTAGGGTCTAATCCTCAAACCCTGAAACCCCAGAGGCATGCTGAACCCTCCTGGATCTTCAAGTTCAGCGCATGCACATCCTTCCTTGGCTGCCCCAAGTTCCCGGAAAGTTTACAGGGCTGCAGGTTTGTAATGAAGAAAAGTGCAATCCTAAGGGTCCATGTGCTCATTTAACACATAAAAGAAAACAAATAAGCAAGTAGTTATAAACATATATAGACGATACTGTGTATATGTATACCTATATGTACACATAGAAGTACACAGATGCTTTGATCCTGAAGTTCCTATGCAGGAGCACATGGAAACTTAGGGAAAAAGGTCGCACTGAGAGACCTAGGCTCATGCGGAGGTTGGCGAAGCTGATATCCGGGTCCGCATATTGAAGCAGCTTGTGCCAGTGTGAGATCCAGCACTCCTTCAGGGGGGTTCTGCTTGGGGTGCAGCAGCTAAAGCACATAATCAACGAGGTACCATAATAGGGAGAGCGAGGGAGATTGAGGAAAACGGAAATCTTGATCCTGATGGATTTTACATCGACTGGATTTGAGAGATATATCTGCCATGCAGCTTGAGTTTCCAAAATCCTGCGATCGTTCATCCGAAAGCCTGAGCCCGAAACCCTTCATCAGGGATACTGAAGTGTTAGGGCAGGGCACCCTAAGCCACTAAACCCTTAACCCCTAAACCCTAAACCCAGATTGCAAGTCCTGACAGAGAAGGGATGCTGGAGTCACCAAAACAGCAGATAAGCAAAACACGGGATCGGGATGTCCCATATACACCCCCTTACAATGAAGCCCGATACGGTAGGTATGTCCCTGTAAGATGCTTATGCTTATATCCGTTTCCCATAAACCCTAAGTCCAAAACCCCTAAACCTAAAACCCCGAAACCCTAAAACCCTGGTTTCGCGCTGCCTTGCAGTTCGACGGCGATGCCGCGTACTCCCACAGCAGCGGCAGGGCCAACTTCTCCTTGCTGGGAGAACTTTAATCCAATACGCTAGAAGGCTCCATGTACAGGGTGTCTTTAAAGCGCTCGATCCTTAGGGTTTCTTTAATGGGTCCCTTGTAGGGTTTCCCTAAACGGCTCCTTAGGGCTTCTTTAAAGGGCTCCTTGGTTTCTGTAAAAAGCTCCTTGAAGTACGTGTATAGTGGAAACAACAGGCTTCTATAGTAGGAATTTCCATCATGGTCCATGTAGGTACTCTTGGGTTAGTCTAGGGGTTCAAGGAACCCTGAACCCTGAATCCTGTGGGAGCCGTGGGTGCTGGGAGAACTTGGGTGTAAGGGCTCAAGTGTTAGGCTTAGGGTTTGGAATTCTATAAGGGGTCCGTAAGGGTTTAGGATTTCGTGTTTGGGGCTCTATAACCCCGCAGGCTCGACACAAACATTACAGTATGAGGCTTTTGGGCGATTTTGAGTCTTAGGGTAGCGGTTCATGCAGCTACAGAATCACGAGGGATTTACAAGGCCTTGCTTTTGGGGTTTTGTTCAGTTTGTAAGGTTGAAGCCTATGCAAGCCCCAAGGCCATAAGTCGAACATAGCCGAAGCTGCAAAGTAGCTTCAGGGCTTCAGGTTCGATACCTAATTCCAGAAGCAGCTCCTTAAGAAAAAGGACTCCGTTTGCCTGTTGCTCGGTCTGAAAACCCCACGAGGGGAGGCCCTGCTGCAGAACAAACAACCCTGAACCCTCTAACGGCTCTTCTAAGAGCCCCTTTAAGGCCTCCTATAAGGGCTCCCAAAACAGGGCATCACAAGCCGAGTAGCTATAATGGCAAAGCGCGTGTTATCTGTCAACCTGGCTGGCATTCATGTGTGCTACGCTGTACGCTGCCGTGAACGGCAAACCCTAAACTCTACCTGTAGGCTCATGCCCTACCCATGTTTCAGGTACGTAGTTCTTAATTAAGATCTGTTGTTTAGAGAAGTAGTTCACCCAAAAAAGGGGCAGGGTAAGAGCCTCTAAGTACTCTACGACATTCGGGTTTAGGCTAAGCCATGGCTTAGGATTATGGCTGCTTAGGCTTTTTCCATCAGCTTTCGCAGTTTAGAAGCGCAGGGGCGGTTCCACAACGAAGGCTCACTGAAGCAGTGAACCTGAACCCTGAGCTCGTATCGTATGTAGACCCAACTCTCCCTCGCAAGAACCCCACAAACTAAACCCTGAACCCAAGCCCATAAACCCTGAAGGCATGGAAAAACATGGTAAGGCACAGAAGTTTGGGCGTTCCTGTGGCTCTTAATTCTCACATCCCAGATGATATAGCCCTTTCACTGAAAAGGTGGGTTTTTAGGTGAAGGGTTTGCGGTCTTGCATGTTTTTGTTCTACAGGGTTTAGGAGCTTAGGGTGTGGGGAATGAATGGGTTTAAAGTTTAGAGTCTTAGGTGTCTTAGGGGTTTAGGATGTTGATTGACTTCAGGGTTGAGTGTCAGTTCAGGGGCCTTAAGTTAAAGGTTTACACCTAACCCGAAACCCGAAACCCTGAAACCCGAACACCCTTACCCTAAGGCCCCATAGTAGTTCCTTTTTGGGGTTCATATTTCGAATCTTATGAGGTAATCCCAAAACAGAGAACTATTATGGGGCCTCTGGGTGAAGCACCAATCTAGGCCGCACTCTGGGGCCTGTCATCCAGAGACTCGTCCAGGAACAGCTGAAACAGCGCATTGAACCTTGAGAACTTGGCTTTACAAAAACAATCACATGCCCCATAAAGCGTGCGAGGTGGCAATACAAGTACATTATTTCACTTCGGGATCCATGACTCAGGGCTTGGGGGTTTGCAAACCTTCAACCTTCAAAAACGCCTAAAACTACACAGCCTTCCAGAATCTCTTGGCAAAATACCCTATGCCTCCAAGGACCTTATAGTTAGGGCCCTAGACCCCTTAAGGACCCAATAATAAGGTCCCTGGAAGCCTTGGGATAATCTTGACAGAACGGGAAGGAACATCCTGGAAGGAAGGCGCTTTCCAGTCTCTGACCCCAAATCCTAAACCCCTAAACCCTGAACCCCTCAAACCCCAAGCCCTAGCAACCCTAAAAAACCAAAACCTTTAAACCCCTAAAACCCTAAATTAAAACCCTAAACCCCTAAACCCTAAACCCTTCAACCCTAAACCCTTCTACTTTTCGAGCAAAGTAGCATCTCCAGTGCTGTACTTTTGGACGTCGCTGAAGGGCTCTCCGCACCGGACTGCAACACGTGGCGTACCTCGGGGATTTACGATTTAAGTCAGGCGACAAGACTCCCGAAAAGTTTAATCTAGGGGCCTTCACAATTAGAATAAGGATTTGGGGCCCATTCTACTATGATTATTTTAAGGAAACCCCACAAAATAGTGTAGGTAATTACTACCGCAGGACGAGAGTTCGCCACACTGCCTTGAGCTCAACATATGTAGTAATGCCACCCCTTTTCCCCCCTAGACTCCTCCACAAGATCCCCAAGGCTCTCCGCCGAGAACATTTAGTAGTATATTTTATTCCAGGGAATTAACTACTCCGCCACGCTGGCCACGTAAAACGCACTTCTGGCCTCTCCGCTTCTCCGCGGCACATGTACATGGTACCTTGAGACAATCCTCCGTATGTCGAAACTTTTGTCCCGGTGATGTGTTAAGGATAGGATTTCTATATTAGTTTTCTGGCCGCAGGTAACCCAACTGCCTTCAAGCAAAACTCTCCGGAGGACTCCTCACCCTACATCTTATAAACCTGAATTATTAGAACACTATGCCATGCACTGAAACCCGAAACCCTGAAGCCCTAAACACTATTCCAATTATTATGTCCCCGATACTACGTATGCTAAAACAATTTACTATACGATACTATACACTTATAGTAACCCCTATAATAAGCCCTTGAACCTCGAGCCCCGACGAGCGGCGAATCGTCGGACGAACTCCCGCAAGCGCATTGCCTCTCGATGGTCGGATACCCGCCTGCTGCGCAACTTCTTTAGAGTTCAGAGTCTAGGGTTTAGGGTTCAAGATTTAGCATTCCGGAGTTTATAGTTGACCTTAACCCCAAATAACCTGCCTTTTCAAGGACTTATATAAGGAAACCATATTAAGGAACCCTAAAAAGGTAGGTTACTTAGGGTCCAGGGAAAGGTTAGGGTCATAAGGCTCGGGGTTGAAGGTTTTAGGGATCGGGGGTTTGGATTCACGGCCCCGTTGCTAAGCCAGTATGTACCTTAATTAAATGCCCATCTTAGGGATGTTACGGCTTACTCTCACTACATGTCCCTAAAAGAACTGCTGATTTCCTCAACAGGCTTCGGGCCTCGGGGCGAAGATTGATAGCATCCATTGTAAATCCTTGTTTTTGGCATCTTATTTTTAGGGTTCGATAAGGTAACCCAAGCAAGGACCTACAGTGGAGAGCAAAGGTAGGGCTTAGGAATTCATGAGGCTCCCCCCTAAAGATTCAACCCTATTCCCAGCAGCTTCGATACCCGAAGACTATAGGTAGGCTTCACCTGTAGCCGAAAAGACCTACCTTTTTAAGGAATATAAATAGAAACCATAATAAGGAACCCTAATTTTTTCAGGGCCAGGACTTCGGACTTGGATTTCGCGTGAAGGCACGTATCAAAACTCAAAGACACCTTGTTCATATGCTAACAGGCCTTTACTCATAATGAACTCATACCAAGCAACCCGAACAAGGCAGGCTTTACATGGTTCGGGTAAGCAGGCTTTTCGTGTGTGTGGCTCTTTAGCGCTCAAAGAAACCGATCCCACATGCCTCAACCTCTAAAGTCCTAAATCCGAAATGCTAGGGGCCTGAATAATTGGAATAGGGTGTGGGGGTAGATTGCAGCACACAAATATTCAGGAACCTTAAAAAATAGCAGCGGTATGCAATAATTCAAGCCTCTACGTTTTACCCTTGATGCGCTGGCTGCCGCCCCGGAACAGAGTGCTGTACAGAGCAGGAAGCAGACGAATCGAGGGCGAGCTCCTCTCCTTGGATTCAGGAGCAAACGCTTAGCCCTGTACTTCCATATAAGTAGTTGTCAAAATTAAATTCCCTTCTTCTGTTGCAATGAGGACCCCCAAAAGGGACCATAAGTGTGACAACCACCCATATGGGGTTTCGGATGTATTTGGAGCATCATGGGACTCAGCAGGTACACTTATCCGTACCTTAACTGGGGCTATGACACATTATCGGTATAGCTACCTTCTTGATAACCCTTGCTGCTAAGTTCCATGACCCTGCAAGTACGATTTTCCCTGCATGGGACCTACAAAATTACACTCCCACACTTTACAACCTCAAGCATCATGGAGATGAGAGCTGAAAATGCTTAATCTTTGAATTACTCAACCCATGCCCCCTGAAAACCTTCTATGTAAAACTCGACAAAATCTAAGTGCACTCCTGAAGCAAAAGTTGCCGAACTGCGCGCAAGGTTCCAGGGCGCGGAAAAGGCCTTCCAGAAGGAGAAGATAGGTGGAATACTCCTTGGTCTTGGATTTCGGATTGTGTAGGGTTCAGAGGGTCTCGTATCACGGACTCTGGTGCGTAATTAGTCCTCGCACATGTCCTGAAACGAGTACCCTAAGGGTGTACCCAAACGTAAGGTTTTAGTTACCTCAAACCCTGAACCCTCAACCCTAAACCACAAACCAGTCAGAGGATGATATTTCAATCCTGAAACCCTGCTGCTTGGGTACCTGGACCGTCTAGGTAGGTTTCCTACTACTTGTCGGGTATCATGGGTAACTAAAGGTTAACCTTTCCTTCTTTGTTATATAGGGATTATATAGGGACTATACTACCCCAAAAAAGGTTAAAGGTTACCTACTCGACTAGGTTTTGAAACCTTGAGATAGGGTTTGGGTGTAAAGTTGCTGGCTGGGACGACTTCAGGCAACGCACCAAAACTCGACCAACCCGCAGCATTAGCTACACCAGATAGCATACCCAGCGGCTCCACATATACCGACTTTATGGAATGAGGTTCCTAGAACCATGAATTATATAGGTTCCTAAAACCATAATAAGGATGGTCTTTGGGATCTGATTCCCTCCGGGATAGGCGCGAATGATTGGGATGCGGTGTTGGGACGTAGGATGGTGCAAGGCTGCTAGTACAATACCACAGGTAATTACGGGGAGATCCCATGAGATCTGGGTAACTGAGCCCACAACATGACCTTTGATTCTGGTGTTCAATGATGAAAAGGGAGCCCCTAAACCAACAGGAAAACGGTATAGTACTAGGGAGCCCAGGTTCCGATTGCTTTTTTGATTTGGGGTTGTCTAGGATTCCGCCGAATCTCGATCATATGCTTGAAAAGTGTTCCGGAATTTTAGCGGGATTGCAGGTTCAGGATTTAAGGCTTTTACCCTAAATGCTAAACCCGAAACCCCGCAAAACAGGAAGCGAAAAGCCCTAAACTCTACTGCCTTGTAAAGTATAAATCATAGTCTATTTGGGGTCAAGTAAATCCTACATGGACAGGGTCCTACCCGAAGCCCTAAACCCTCCAAAATAGTTGTGAGCCCCTGGTCACCCCAAGTACTCCCAAAGTGGACACGGCTGCGGGCAGGGCGGGATTCCCGGAAGCTCCATGGACACTAAATCTTAAGCTCTATAAACCCTCAACGCTACCCCAACGGTCCAAGTACCAAATAATCAAATATTCTCCGAAATCCTAACCTACATAACTACTATCCCAAAACAGAGTACCTAATTATGGTGTCCTTTGGACCCTTAGGGCTAGATCCTAAACTTTAAACCCCAAACCGTGGCTCCATGGACCGAGGCTCATCCGTGTTCCTCTGATACTCACGCGAGTTCAGTGGAAAGTAAGAAGTCCTTGGCCGCAATCGGGGGGCGTGCTTTGAGGCTTTAAGGAACTCCTTTCCAGGTACTATCCCTCCTTTAAAGGATTCTAGGGTACTAGAAGAGGGTTTGGGGCTTAGGAATTTCGGGTGCTGTAAGGATTACAAGCCTGTCCAGCCTCATCATATGCAGACGGCTTAAAGCCGTGAAGTACTCAAAACATGGGAGTTGCCGAAAGTAGGGGATCCCAGTATAGTACCCTAAATAATAGGGTCCTTATTATATAATAGGACCCCCAAAAAAGGTACCCAAAAATAAGGTAACCACAATTTTCGGAAACTCCGACATGAACTCATCGAAAACAACAAGCCTGTCCAAAGAGGCAGACTGGCCGAGATTCATGGGGTTTAGGATGTAGGGACCTTTGTTTTCCCTAGGCATCTGGGGACGCATATAGGCTTTCGGGCCCAAAGACCATACTGTACTATCTGAGGCTCTTGCGCTATTTTGATGCCCAGGGTTTGTTGAGCAAAGCGGAGTACTGAGTAGAGTTACAAGTACTCCAACAAGTCCGTGGCCCCAAACCCGTGTAACCCTAAATCCAAAACCCCAAATTGTTTGTGTGAGCCGGGCTTCACCAGGTCCCGCACGGTGGCCTCTGCCGCGGAGGCTGCACCCAGAAGTGGCCCTGGACTGGCTCCGCTGGAGCCAGTCGGGGAGGACTGTACCTGACAACTCTAAGCCCTTAACCCTAAAACCCTAAACCCCAAATCCCAAACCCGAAGCCCTAAACCTCTAAACCCTAAAAAAACTTAGACCCCAAGCCCTAAGCCCTAAACCCTAAGCCTTAAAGACCTAAGCCCTAAAGCCCTGAACCCGAAGCCCTGGAGAAGTATCGAGCCCAACAGCCCAAAGGCTGCATGTACCCGCTGGGTATATATTTAAGCCTCAAAGGGGTTCTTATATACCCAGCCCCTAAGCCTGTTAGGAGCCTTAGGGTAAACCCTAAAACCCTAAACTCTCAAGCATCCCACATTTTCGCGCGCCTCCGCCCTGAGGATCAGTGGCGGAATGGCTTCCAAGAAGAGGCCCTGCCAGGCTCCGAACCGTCGGAATGAACCCCAATAAGCCACAGAAATGAAATGTTAAACTTTCCGATTCCTACTAAGCTATAAGAACCCGAAAAGTTTAAAGGTTAGATATTGGGGATCGAAGGAAAGCTCCTAGGGTGGATGCTCGGCCAGCTGAGAGCTGTAGACCGTTGCAGTCATTAACGGGCATGATAAAATGATCCACGAGGGTTGCAAAGAAGAATAGATGAGATATATGAAGACCTGACGACCGAAACCTTCACCACATGGCTTATTCAAAGGCCTAGTGGAACGTGGAATGAACACGAACCCTAAGACTCAAACTGGCCTGAAAGCCGTTTATCGAAGGGTCTTGGGGCCCAAAAGCCTTAAAATCTATATAAGTTCTTGGATCCTTAGGGGAAACCGAAGATGGAGTTGAGTTGAGCTTTTGTCTGATGCAGGTAAGCCCAGGTTTTAAAGTTTGGGGCTAAACCCTGGGGATTTGTAATTATCCCTATAAGGATCCATGTGCACATATAGTATATATACTTCGGCTCAAGTATATACTACATGGGTACTTGATCCTCTGCATTTTGCCTGTTGTCACCGAAGAGCGTGGGTTTTTGGGTGTACGGGTTTGGGTTCAGGGCATTAGGGTTTCGGGGCTAGGGTTTAGGGTTCTCAAAGGGTCCAAGGTACCAATTTAGTAGGATGTAGGGTTTCTATGTTAGGAGTTCTTATTGTGATTCGGGAAAGTATCCACCATGACACAGTTGATGACATAAATCCTGCATTACCCAGAATAAGGAATATACCATAATTCCCATAGTTTAGGGTCCTTAAGGTAATGCAGGATTTGTATCATCATCAGCAGTACTGAAGACTCTTTGGGTTGCGAGGGCTCAGGTTGATCACTTGGGCTCCTAGTAGACTTACACTACAGCTCTACCCAGAGACTCCAAAACCCCTTAAATAAGGACTATATCTTAAACAATAATCGGATCCCCAATATGATTTAAGGTATCTGATGGAATTAAGGGGTCTTAAAGGCTCTGGGTAAATCCCAGATACCCTAAACCCCAAACCCACCAAACCCCACCCCTAATTCAAGATACCCAAGGAATGCTATTATACACCCACCTTCGTCCTGGGAGGAGTATGCTCGCTGCCTCCGACGGTTGGACGCTCAGGAGGGGGTTTAGGGTTTGGGGTTAGGGGGCTCAATTAAATTGAATTACCATAATTGGGATATGTAAGGGTTCCCTTAGTTCCCTTGAGGGAACTATACGGGGTCGTTTAAAGAATTAAAACCTTAGGAAATTTCGGGTTCAGGGAGTTGCAGGCATTTCCGGGAGATTCAGTTGAGTTCATGCGGACGTCTGTCTGGGTTTGATATGGGAGTTTCCGGAAATTTTGGGGAATAAAATATAGCACCCTAAATAATAGTAAGACCCTTACTATAAGGACCTCAACATAAGGTACCCCTATTTCCGGAAATCCCCATATTGATCGGGGCTTAATAAAGGTAGGGGTTCGGAGGCATTTTGCAGGAGGTTTGGCCCCGAGTTATCAGATGCGGTCCTCACGATTTGTGATGTTGATGAGAGGACGATGAGGGAAGGGTGTGCGAGCTATATTGACGTCAAGTTCGCAAGGCAGCTGGAGCATATTTCTGATCCTCAGGTTGCAGGACGCAAAAGACCTTAAGACAGGCTACATTATGCCCAAACAAAGTGTGGAAAACCCATAGCCCCATTGCGCAGGGCCTTCCAACAACACCCCTTGTCCGTCCACTGAGTGCGCGACACAAGGCCGCACGCAGTAAGTCCGAAAGGAAGGCACAAAGCCTTGCTGAGGGTTTAAGGTCTAGGGTTTGCAATAGTTTTGCGAGCTCTGTGTGGTAAGATACCGTGGGGTTGAGCTAACGTCCAGACAAAGCGCTGGACCCGGATTTGGGATTGGACCCAGGAGAGAGGCAACTACGTGTGCAAAGAAACACACAAATAAGTAGAGGACCAAGTAAGTGCTCACACATATCTATACGTAGACAGCTTAACATACAATGAATAAATAACTAAACACATGTGCATATATATATATAGGGAGAGAGAGATGTGTGTGTGTGTGTGTGCATATATATATATATACATATGTATATATATATATATATATATATAGGTATGTATGTATGTGTAAGATGTACGTATATATGCATATACATGTACATACATGCAGTTTACATATGTGTACATGTATGTGTATGTATAATACACAAACCATTTGGGGCGGTTTGCTATCGAGCCTAAAGCTCAAATCAAAGCCCTAGGGCCCCAAACCCTCCAAGGAACCATATTCTAAGCTTGGAGAACCTCTGGCCAACTCAGCCTGCGACGCTGCGTGCCCAGACTTCAGCGTCGCAAGGACTGCATCCACCTGAGACATCCTTAATGCTACACCCTAACCTAAACCATACGGTAGCGGTTAGGGTTCAAAAAGGCTCTGGGTCCCAAAAACTTAAGTCAAACTCTTTCCAACAACGCAGTACTGCAGAACTCGGCAGCTCTCCGATAGTGCATCTAGCCCCACCCAGAAATTCAACGAGGCCGAAATGAAGAACTAAAGCCTCAAACTGAACGCAAAGAAAGAAAAGCTACGGAAACGCAAGATTACAGCGCACGTTTAGAGGAATCCCGAGCGCTGTCATCAGGGTCGGTCTTCCGTTCTGCATCTGTTCCTTACACGTTCCCTAAACCCTAAACCCTAAACCTTAACCGTGTAAGGATCATGGCTTGCTTTCATGTAAGGACTTTTGTACAGGTTTGCCTAAACCGTCCAAACAGATTCCGCTGTTTCTTTAAGCTGCGGCTCCTGGGACAAGGAAAACGACACGGCAAAAGGTAAACCTGGAACCCTAAACCCCCCAACTACCGTCTAATATGCCCCAAATACCCTCTATTAAGGACCATGGACCATGAGGGCTCCATTAGAGGGTACTTGGGGGGTCATGGTAAACCCCAGTCGAGGGCCCAGCGTGTACCCCACTTTACAACCAGAATCCCTTCTTTACAACCAGAATCCCCACTTCACAATCCACAAGCTTTTCCAGAATCCCTACTTTGCAACCGGTTTCCAATGCTTCTTAACAAACCTATTAACTGACAACGTCAAAGTCTGGAATCTCCAGCATCATGCTTTACAGCAACCATGTTTAAGGTTGGAAAGTAATGCTGGTTGCAATGTGGGCGTTCTTAAGCCGAAATGTATGTATATGTATATATATATATATATATGTATATATATGTATATACATATCAGTCTCTACGATCGCACAGCTTGGTACCATCGCTGAACAGCCAGAGGTGGCGGTCCCTTTTTGTGCGACCGCAACGTGGGAGTCGGCCACAAGTCGGATCATCTTGATAGCATATAATGCAGAACTGGTTCTTCAAACAAAACCAATCCACCAACCCACCACAGGCAAGGCTGGGACTGCGAAGCACATTCAACTATCACCAACTCCAAATGATACTATTTACTACAATTGATGTCGTATTTATGCCATACAAGTACTTTCAAAAATTGAATTTGTGTTGTTTATGTGTTTGTGCTTGGGAAAACACAATGCAAAACTAATTTGTTGAAAAACAACCCCAAGAACCCGCCACGGGCAAGGCTAGGAGTGTGAAGCACGTTAACGTATGATCAGCACCTCGCTTCATGGACGGACTCTTTTCTCACCAGAATGGGCATCGTTTGATAAGTTTTAATTCAAACATAGATAGATATGCCATCCAAGTAAGTTCAAAACTAGAATTTCCATTTTTGCGCGTTTGTACTTGGGAAATATAATGCAATACTGGTTCTTAAAACAAAACCAACCCACCAACCCACCACAGGCAAGGCTGGGAGTGAGAAGCACATTAAACTATCACCAACTCCAAATGATACTACACTTGATGCTGTATTTATGCCATACAAGTATACTTTCAAAAATTGATTTTTTGTTTTTGTGTGTTTGTGTTCGGGAAAACAACATGCAAAACTGATTTGTTGAATTACAAATCCACCAACCCACCGCGGGCAAGGCTAGGAGTGCGAAGCACTCTGCAGGGATTGCTTACTTAAAGGATCATGGGACTTAGTAATTGGGTTATAAGTAAGGAAACTGCAGTTATATTTACTTATAGCCCCAACTGAGGTACTTATAACCCTACTTACTCAGTCCCATGATCCTCCAAGTAAGACTCTACTCCTGACAAGGGTTTAGGGCTTAGGGGTTGAGGGGCTTCGAGTTCAGGCTGCATATAATCCTCAGCAGCCCTCAACTACTGCTCTTTCAGCCAGGAGCATTCGGGGCGACGCTCGGGTTAACGTCCCATAAGACACTATTCCAAGGGCCTCGAAAAGCTACCCAACAATTAAGAAGCTAGTAGAAATTCCAGCAGGCCTGAATCATAGCATCAAAGACAGGCTGACCGACACACAAACACACACAGGCAGACGGGTTGCAAAGTGGGCGTTGTCAGGATCGGCAGTTGTAAAGTGGGGATTCTCGCACCGAAAACAATATCTGTAGTTGTAAAGTGGGGGTTCTGGTTGTAAAGTAGTGATCTGCAAAGCGGGTTAATCTCGCCCAGGTGGACCCATCAAACCTCCAGCGCCAGTCCAGCAAATTCTTCTTGACGCTAGAGCCGTTAATCCTATACTGCCACGCCCGATAGGTTTCAGGGTTTAGGGTTTCATGTTGAGGGCTTTGGGGTATATGTTCAGCATTTGGAGTTTAGGGTGAGCCGCACAGTCTCATGCATAGATGTAGAAAAGTGCCCACCCTGTTAGCAGATTCATGGCTTCACGTACACTCCCAAAGGGTCCATGTGCTCATATCCTACATACTTGGGCTCTCAAGAACCTGTTTAGGGACTAAGTTGAGGCTTATGTGTATACACTTCGGTGGAACCCCTGAGCCCTTACGCCGGACTCGCCTAGACTCCAACCGCTACCAATCTGACATTACCGCTCACAGCAGTACGACAGCTCATCGCAGTATGACGAAGCTTACTCTAAATGGCTAAACCCATCCCTTATGGCTCGAATCTGCAAAAAAAAACGTACGTGGCAGTAGAAACATGCGAGTCCTCAAGGTAGCTGACATTCAAGGTTCAGAATTTGGGGTGCTTGTAGCTTATGGCCCGAAGATCTAAGGACTCACATGTTAAGGCTTCTTGGCCCGAACACCATACCATAACCCAAAAGGCTCAAAATGGCCCAAAAGCCTTAAATAAGGCCCAAATGCCTTGACATATATGAGTCCTTAGAGCCTTGGGGTAAGAAGTTGCTTGGTATTTCCTCGGCCTCAGGATGAAGGTGCCAAGATGTGCTACCACTTCGTATAAACGTCTCTGCAGATGTAGTGGGACGTGGATATCGAGAAGGGTTTTGGGTTTTGGGACAATCGCGTCATGCAAGATCTCTAAGGACCCCCCGAATCCCTAAACCTTAAAAATCGAAAACCTCTAAACTTCTATCCCGAATGCCCAAACTGGCCCAACACCCTTATATAATATGGTTTTTAGGCCCAAAAGCCTTAAACATATAAGTTCTTAGAGGCTTAAGGTTATAGATCGCCTCATAGGAACCCTTAAGAAAACCGGTATAGATCCCTTTAAGATCCCTTTCAAGGAGTCCTTAGAGCCTTAGAGATAAGACCTCCTAGGGCCCGGGCCGCAGAACAGCTCCTCAAGAGCAGCGCCAGCTGGTACAGTCCTGGATCGTTAACCGCAGGGATCAAGTTGGATGCCCAGGTTCAGGGGTTTCGGGTTTAGGGTTTAGGTGATTTAGGGTTTAGGGTTTGGGTGGTTTCGGCTTTAGGGTTCAGTTGTACTGATACATGATGGGGAGATTTTCCACAGCATCTTGTACCAAAATAGTTGGGTTTTAGGCCCGAAGCACTGACGTCGGAATGGTTGTTAGAATCTAAATCGGGTACTTGCACTCGCAATCCCATCGAACTCCTCTAGGACCCTACCAGTACTATAAGAACCCCAATCAACACTACCACTATTTGGGCACTTGCACTGGGTACAACCCAGACTCGTTTCCTGCTGAGATTATTCGACCCACGTTGGCCCTCAAATTTATTAAACGACTGTTTAAGAGCACTTTCTTAGAAAGTTCAATGTTAGGGTGCAGGGAGCATTGAGCGTGTCAAAGGAAGGCTAAAAGCTTTACATTTACGTACTTACAATATGAGAATATATGTTTGTGGAACGTTCACATGTCAGGAGGGGCTTATGCCAGGCCTATGTAGGTGTGGGCGGGTTCAAGAAACGGCGCAGGGGGCGAATGTCTTTATGCACAACCTTCCTGGGTTCAAGAAGATAACGCCCAAAGCCGTAACATTGAACATTATCACTATAACCCGTGGGCCGTATGGGTTACATAGACCCGTATGCCCTAAACTCATATGGTACACCCCTAAAGGAACCCCTGAAAGTCACCTGGAACATGAGGGCAACAAACCTTATAATTCTCTGACCAAGACCTCATGTCTCCGAAAGCCAAAAAGAGCTGATGACCACTAGATCTTGGGCCAAATCGAAAAAGCAAGGGAAGTTGCGCACTTCACTGGCAGCGGCAAAGCTCTGCATGGAATCGCGCTCCTGTTGATCTTCCGAACGTCACTCAAAGTCTTTGCGATGGCCCGCGACATGCTCAGCAACCATCACTTCGGTGAAAGCTCCACCTGCAAAATACTTTTCTGAAGAAACTCACTGACAGAGTCTTGACACTAGCCCTCCAAAAGCTGGGTCACTACGCTGCGGCTCAGATCCTGCAAATATCACTCGCTTCACTTGGCTTCACACACAGCCAAGTCAGAAAGGCTCTGCGCCCGCAAACAAGGAGCTAAGTCGTTGCTTGCGGTGCACGAGAAGCCTCATGGCTCAGAACACGTCTAGAAGACGCGTCATGTCCCGCAGGAACTGTACTGCATGGATTTTTGGCGCGAGCGGCTCCAGCTTCTGCAGATTAAGAAAGCAAGTATGCCACAACTCTTTCAAGCGAACCAGAACTGATATCATGTCCCCGCGAGCGAGACAAAACAACTCGGGGCCCAAACGTGGCTGCCCTAGCAGCACCACAAAACGGTCAAAACCAACGAAGTCGTTCTCAGAGATGTCCGGTTCGTAGAGCCACCCACAATGCGAGTAGTGAGACCAGTAACGCGTGCGGTTCACCCACGACACTTTCTGAGCCAACTCGTCTGGTTTACAACGCCCACCAGGGAATTCTAAAAAGTTTCTCTTGTCCATGTGCCAAAACTGCAAGGTATGAGGAGTTGATCTCCAATAAGCATAGAGAGAGGCAAGCAGTTCGTCTTGTCGCAACAGCTTCTGAAACTGCTCCGTGGCGTTGTCAAGATCAGCAACATCCTCTGCAAGACCATGGACACCATCTTCGGCCAAACCCACGTCCTGCCCATCACCGATGATCCACACAGATCTGTGGGTGTTGTTGACGATGGCCCTGACATCGTCCCTGTTAGGGTCGACGCAAATGCGAACGACGTAGTCCGCTCGATCTTTTTTGTCTGCTCCTCTCTTGCCAACAAAGCCGCCATCCTGGTCATAGTTGTTCATAAGCACCTCATAGAAAGGCGTCTTGGGTGGGAGCGACGTGCAGTACACACCCTTACCGTAGCAGGCATCGCCACGGGTGACGACAGACGGGCGGATGGCGCCGCTCCTCACAATGCCATCGTAGCCCTCCTTGTTGGTGTAGTGGTAGAGTGGCACCAGTGTGGAGCACGGGTCTGATGGGAAAATACGTGGCGCCACCATCGCTAGCACGGTGGCGACCACCGTGACCCGAGCCCTCGAGCGACGCCCACACGCCATTGGCGAAAGGATGTTGAGGCGCCTCGAACTCTTGACGTCAACTTGACATCTGGGGCCGGGATGCAAGCAGGCTCTTCGCGTCACGAAGAACTCCCAAGGAGGCTGCTGTTTCGAAGGACTTTCAGGTTTAGTTTCGCATTACTTCTAGGGGAAGACCCCGTTTGCCCCGTAGTTCATGGGGCCACAGGCAAGAAGGACAACGGAATGATGTGCTCAAGGCTTAGGGCTAGGAAGTGACGAGGGGGCCCGATGGGGATGGTTGGCAGCTTTGGCGATATTGCAAAAACCGCTCTAAAGCTCTATGGGCAGCACGCAGAACATGCACACAGTGCAGCTCCGAAGACCTCTCTGAACTCGGGGCCTGTTCGGTCGGCCCGCGCACGCTTCACCCTCGCCAGGGCTTGGTTCAGCTGGCGATCCTTGCCTCGAATGCTCATTCTCTTCTGGGTGTAGTGTAGTTAAAAAGCTGGTTTTCAGAGCGTGGTTTTCTTTAGTGTAATTATCTACATAAGTGCCTGAATGTATATCGTACATACAGAAGAACTTTACATACATGTATGTGTGCGTGTGGGTGTGTGTGTGTGTGTGCATGCACTCATATTTTGTCTGCGGGTGTCCGCACGGTCCAATTCCCTTATGTTAATGTCGCTGTTTGCTGTGTTGATTTTCGTTTATTGTTTCGTCGAGCTAAGATTTTCGGTTTAGAGTCTGAAGGATTTCAAGGGATAGCCGTAAACTAGGAGCTATCATAGGCAGTTATTGTAGAGATTTCCGGATAACCACTGTGGGTTTAAGGAGTTTAAGGCCGATGCGGCTTCAGCTGGCAGTGTATGAAACGTTTTGGGATTCCAGCCGGAGTTCCGAACACATCTGCCCCTTGAGTCACCTCCAGAACTACTATTTGCTTAAGAACCCCCAAAACATTAAAAATATATTCCTTATGGGGGTAATATAGGGATTATTATTTTTATTTTTGGGGGGTTTCTTAAGCAAATAGTAGAGAACGTTTTACGGTTTCGAACACGACAAGAGTTTTCTCCCGAGAATCGTTCTGAAGCTCACTGCAACTACTGTTTGCCATCGGGCTTGATCATGAGAGTCCCCTACAAATAAGCGGAACCTAGTTTGGGACAGGTCTTGTATGCGACGTTTGTGTTGCATTTACGGACGACGGGAAGGAAAGGGCACATGTTACACATGTTGTCGTGAATAGAGTCGGGGGATCTGAAAACGATGACGTGAGACCCTCTTGCCAAATAGCCCTCGCAATGCAATGTTAGTTCAATCTCCTGCCTGTGGTTTGAAAGACTTGCAAAAGAACAGGGCCACATTCGGCACAATCACCGTACTGTGCTAACCCCAATCCCACACCCGAGATCGCACCCTCATGCAGCCACACACACACACACGCACACAAACCCTCCACGAGACCATCATCAGACCAGGAAGAAATATGTTCAAGGCCTATACTCCATCCCTCGCACTGCACACCGGACCTGAGTAAAAGCAGCGATCTTGATGATTCTGCCGCCTTCATTACATCGTAGCCGCGGAAGCAGCTAAATGTGTAGGAACTAGCACTTACAAACCTCGCAATCTGCTCTGTCCTCTGAACTCCCCAAGCCCAAAGCCTTTCTAATCCGAAAATCGCAAGCCTCAGCCCTATACTTTGAGATCATGTAGGGCCTGGGGTTTAGGGACCCTAAATCCTAGACTTCGAGATCCCTACACTCTTTATTGCTTCAAGTCCTAGACTCAGAACCCCTAGACCCTTAAACTTAAACCCTGAACCCCTGCATTTAGAGGAGCCTTTTGAGATCCCTTTCAAAGGAACTCTAAGAGATCCCCCTAAGCCCCACAAACCCTGAACCCCTATATTTCGCGGAGCGCTTTTGAGATCCCTAAAATAGGGGACCCTAATATGGTACCCTGAACGATAGGATCCTTATTATAACGACCCTAAAATCAGGTACCCCTACTGTTCAAAATTGCCAAAACCACCTTTCAAAGGAACCCTGAGGGAGCCCTAAACCCTGAACCCTAAACCCTAAACCCTGAACCCTTAAACCCTAAACCCTGAGCCCTAAACCCTAAACCCTGAACCTAAACCCTAAACCCTGAACCCTAAACCCTGAACCCTAAACCCTAAACCCTGAACCCAAAACCCTAAACCCTGAACCCTGAACCCAAAACCCTAAACCCTGAACCCTAAACCCTAAACCCTGAGGGATCATCCCCCTAAGAACTGGGGAGCCGATCGCCGCTTGGCCGGTGGTTGCGGAGCATCCTGGCCAGTTCCCAGAAAGCCCAAGAACCCCAATGCCCATGTATAGTTTAGGGTTTAGGGTAAAGGTTTAGGGTTTAGGGTTTAGGGTAAAGGTCAGGGTTTAGGGTTTAGGGGAAAGGTTAGGGTTTAGTGTTTAAGGGTAAAGGTTAGGGTTTAGGGTTTAGGGGAAAGGTTAGGGTTTAGGGTTTAAGGGTTCATGTACGCGTACAGTATATCGACCTCAATGTAGTCCCTGTTAAGGTACTTGAGGGCCCAAGTATATTCTATATGAGCACATGGACCCCCAGTGATGATGGAAGTGGGATCCACAATAAACACTTGGCTTTCCATATTTAAATGGCAACTTAGAAAGCTTGCTTTAAGGGTTACCATGTGTGTTGCATGGTTTAGGGCTTCTTCTTATAAACCCTAAAAAGGGCTTATGTAAGGAAATCATACTAAGGAAAGCGCGAACGCTAGGCTCTTTAGGGTCCAAACAGGGTCTAGGGAGCTTGGGGATGAGGCAGAGCCTGGGAGGACGCTTTTACTATAGGGTTGAGGGTTTAGGGTTGCCAGGTATTCCGACATCAACCTCAGGCTGTTTGCAAAGTCTTGGGTTTGGGTGGCGGCAGTTCTTGGAGCCCAGAGGGTAGCTGGTAAGTGGTACGGTCTCCACATGAGGAAATACTAGTATGACTTCATACTGCCTTCCACTTTGGTGGTGTTTAGATCTTTCTGAACTTGAAAGTCACAACCCTACGAGTAGGCTGTTGTTCTACCCCCTTATCTCTTTCAGTCTTGTGCTTGGGGCATGGGCTGTGGCTATTGAAGCCGCTGAGACTGAGAGAGAGAGAGAGAGAGAGAGAGAGAGAGAGAGAGAGAGAGAGTCACCCGTGGCACCTTTTTGCCTTTGGCCTTGCATCCCCGCATGGATTGTATTTAAGTGAAAGTAAACTCTCGCTCGGCACTTCCTTTCTAGGTCCTTAAAAAGGTATACTGTTTGGGGTTAGGGTGGGGATTCCCTCAGCCCTAAACCCTAAAACCTATGTCAGAAAACCTATGCAAGAACCCCATAAACACAGGTCCTTAACAAGGTAGGTTATTTGGGGTTCAACTAAAGAGTTCCGTAAACCCTCAGCCGTATACCCTAGAAGCCTGTGTAAGATCCATATCTCTCCTTAATAGGATTTCCTTTGTAGGTCCTCATTAAAAAGATAGGCTGTTCCCTATATTTTTAAATAAACCTATGTAAGAACCCCATGTTATATCCCGTTGCCTCATCCTCAGCACCTCCGTGCGCTGCATCTGACACCGCCCACTCCTTGGCGGAGCTCGTCCGGGATGAGGATTTTAGGGCGGCGCTAAGCTGCCTTACTAGGTTTGGATAGGATTTAGGGCTTTAGGGGCTTGTGGTTTATGCTTCATATGCTTTGAAGGTTTGGGGTTGTGGGGGGTAGGGGTTCGCTTGGAGTTCATGGAGCCTTACATGGTGTTATGGCACCTATGAACGCTCGACTTGGGTCTGAGGTTCAATTTCTAGGTGTCTTACTTACAGGACTTCACTATACTCTCCTTGCAGATGTAGACAGACCTAGGTGTCGATATAGAATAATTCTCGGTACAGATTTAGACTGCACTCCCTCCCTCCCTCCTTCGCTACGGACCGACATGCGTGCATGCATGCCTACATCCATACATCCGTACATCCATAATTACACCCATCCATCCATCCATCCATCCATCCATCCATCCATCCGTACATACGTAAACAAATACATACAACATAGACTGCATGTATACTCTCTGTGTGTATATGTATCTATCTATCTGTCTATCTATCTGTCTATCTGTCTATTTGAACATACATACATACATACATACATACAGATGTGAATGTGTTTGAAACTATACAAAAATGAGAATACAGTAAATAAATATAATAAATAAATTAATATATATATATATATATGTATACATAAAGATGCATAATAACGTAACGGCACCTAAGTTCACTTCTTTCTATCTTTACCACGACCCTCTGTATGTGGAAACAATTCGCCAAGGTATGCAGTTTCGATGAGGGACCTCAAAACTGAAAGAAGGGGCTGAGCCCCTAAACCATAAGTGCCCATTACACTCCACAAGCCATAACGTGTCATGAGTGCCCCCGAGCTGGGACAGGGACATGCCATGCCGGCAGCTCCGCGAGGAGCCTCCGGAGGGCGAAGAGAGGAGCCTTAACGCCTCGAATAGAGTTTAGGGTTTAGGGTTTTGGGGTTTAGGGTTTAGGGCTTAGGGTTTTGGGCTCCTTCATAGTATACCTATAGTGAGGAACCTTCAGGAATAGTATTGGTGATTGCTAAGGCCCCTTATACTACGTGTCGATTTCAACCATCCATCCCCACAATTATGTATAATTAGCATACCAAATCGACACCTAGTTTCTCATAGGGCCGCGCCAGTACTGCTCAAACAAGAGTGTACGGGATTCCAAGCAAGAGTTCAAGGGACTTCAAGTAAGAGTTTACGGGGTTTCCAGTCCGAGTTCAGGGGATTCCAGATACGAACTTCATGGACGGATTTCAGACAAACGTTTAGGTTTAGGATTTAGTGCTTCAGCGGCTTCAACCGTCAAAAACAAAAGGGTCCACAAGGACCTGACAAGTAGGTACCAGTACTTGGATTTGAGATAGTATCATTGGGCGGGGGGCGGCGTGGTACTCGGACCCCAAAGAGCTTTCTCCTATACCCCTATGGTTTAGGGTGTGGTTTAGGCCTCGGTTTAGGGTAAAGGGTTGGTATCAAGAGGCCAATAAGGTGCAAGTAGTCGAATCCTTTCCAAAGCATAACTGTGCGTTAGCATGTTCTGATCATTGCATGCTCTCCGAACCCTAAACGCTAGACCGTGTAGCATTAGTTCATGACTCGTGCTGGCTCCAGTGAACATCAGCAACCTTTTCTGGAGACGGGGTTTGGGTTTAAGGTTTGAGGTTTCTTGGGGTTCAACCTTACAAACCCTTATGCCTCAAACTCCTAACCCAGTAGCCTTCAAGGCCCTAACACCCTGCTACCGCGGTCTGACGCTATCAGACCCCGACAGGGGTCTTACAGGAGTGCACCTGGTTTTGTCACACATTCCTACGATGGTTACTATAGTTATATGGACATCGTGGTGGTGTACATAGCCCCTCGTTGGTGTTCATAAACACGAAACACTAAACCCAAATTCCTCTGTTTCTGCTTTTTTTCCGGTGGAAAGAAGATGCGTCGGCCGCCTCGCAAAAGACTGGCCGAGGTTGCGCGGACCCTCCTGGAGGCCTGTTAGAAAAGTCTTCAAGGGTTCGGGTTACTGTAGTTCGGCGGTTTAGGATTTAGGGCTTGCAAGGTCTTCAAGGGTGAAGGGGGTTTGGGGCTTTGGGGGTCCATTTTGTCGGCTTCAAGCCTGCCTTACTTTATGAGGGCTTAGGGTCTTTTTAGGGTTTAGGGCTTTAATAGGTGTGGGGATAAGGGCTTTATGAGGATTTGGACAAATGTTTCACCGTAGCATCAGCTTGGTTTTTGGAGAAAGGTCCTCTCCATCAGGGCTTCGGAACTAGTGTATTTAAGGCTTTGGGGTTGGGGGCTTGAGGATTTGGGATCTTGGGATGACAACACAAGGTGGAATGAGTCATAACCCAATCTGAGCTTGTGCACAAACCCTACACCCTAAACGCCTAAACCCTGAACCCTACATGCTTGACTTGTAACTCATCTCTGCCAGAAGTTCAGGTCGAGGACGCGTCAAGCTTGAAGAGATGTTTAGGGGGGTTGGGGGTTGCTTCACCCTACAGTGAATCTCCTTTCAATTGACATCAACCCAAACCCTGCCAATGCCCTCGGCTTGGGGTTGGGATTCTAGAGTGTAGGGCTCTGTGTCTACAACCCAAGCCCCAGCAAGCCCCAAACCTGAAACCCCAACCCTAAAAGCCACGATGCCGCAATCCCAGCCGGTGGAATGCACCAAGCTCGCAAGCAGCTTTGCTTGCAGGAAGGTAGCCGAAAAAGGCATTCCCACAGAGGTCCTGGGCATAGGCACCATCGGTGTGCAGGATCTCCAAGATGGATCCAGGATTTTCGAAGCCGTCCAGATGCCTTGCGCGCGGAACATTTCCGCAACCGTGATGCATCGCTGCAAGCGCACCGAGTAGATGGGCTGTGTCGGTGTGATGCATGGGAGCACGTCCATTTCCGACACGCCCCATTCCTCCGAGTCCGTCTCAACAAAAACATCTCGGCTCTGCTGCTCAAGCTTCCTCAGAACCTGACACCCAAACCCTCAGGCCAAGCCCTTGAGCATGCATGTCAAGACCTCACAGCATTGGACGACGTGCAAATCCTGAACCCTAAATGCAGACCCTATGCCCCAACCCCTGAAGAATCAACCCAAACCTTCAACCCCTAACCATAAACTCCAAACCCGAACTCAAACCCAAACCCTAATCCCCTTAAGCCGCTTAAGGACATTGCCCCAGCAGAACCTGCTGTCAGTGTGAGCACGGAGCCCTGCAGTACTGGACCCAGTGCCGCTTCGCCTGCGATCTTCGTTTTGGGGGTCATTTCGTTAGGGCTGTACAAAGCAGTGAACCCTAAAACCTCAACGATGTCTTATACGTTCTTGATGAGGTTCTATGAATGTCTTCTAAGGGCTTGGGGTCGAGGCCTGGGGTAGGGTTCAGGTTTTAGGGTTTGGGGTTTATATATAAAGAGGTTTCGACTTACCGACCGTGAACTGCAGAGCATTCAGAGATGTTGAGACTGTTCAGAGTGAAGTCTCTGGAACCTAACGCACTGCTGGTCACTTGGACCCACAGAGACTTCTGAGGCTTCAAAACCCAGTGAAAATCCCATAAAACCCTAAGCAGCTCAAGAATTGTAGAGGAAAGGAACAAGACATGGACATGCAGCAACCCTAAACTCTTCACATGAAGCTTTACAGAACGAAGAATGTGTGCATGCCCGCATGCATGCATACAGACAGACAGACGGACAGACAGGCAGGCTGGCTTGCATGCAGACAAACAGACAGATGGGTACATGCATATACACATACATAGTCCTGCATACATACATACATGCAGACAGACAGACAGACACCTGCAGACTCTATCTACAAACCTAAGCTCTGTGGGCAGATGGGGGCTTCTTACTGAAATCATAAGACCAACCGCGAACGTGGCCTCTTTGCAGGTATGAGTCCGACTTTTGGTGGATTTTGACGTGTCTAGGATGGGTCAGGGTTGGTTTGAGGATTCCTATAAGGATCTAAAAGGGTACTACAAGGCTTCTGGGCCTGGGGGTTTAGGGCTTCAGGGTGTGGGCTTTGTGGATCTATGTGTTGAAGGTGCCGTGCAGTGCGTTCGGAGCCCGGATGTACCACTTCTTGTCAACCTGCCGTTACCCTACGGTTCCAGAGGACTCAATCATTACTCTGGTTTGGGTTTAGGGTTTAGGGTTTAGGGTTTAGGATAATTAGCAGTTATACCGGTTAGCATTCCGGAAGAGTGTATGATTGCCAGGAACTTGGACCCTTACATCGTTGTTGCAGGTGGGGCCCTGCTTTGACGCCTGAGACCACGAACACCCAGCGCCCAACCCCTACACTCGCGAGTGCAGCCGCGAGGCGTGTCTAGGCAATGCTGCAATCACAGTGAGTATTTGTTGTGTTAAGCCCTCGGATCTTTTCGGGGTAGTTGAATGGCCAGGGATTTGTTTTTTCCTTGTCGCAGCCGTATCAAACACTTACAGAACCCTTATGGGGCCCTTCACAAAACCCTGATGGAAGGCATTGAAGCTGATGGCTGAGCGACCTTTTCTTCCAGCTCTGATAACGCCTGTCGTCTACGGGGCGCTCTCACCCTGCGTGGCCAGCTCTTGCCAAATCTCATCGTCAATCCCTGAAGCCGTGATCCTGGTCTGCAGGGCTGCGAGGCTTTACACGACACGGTGCAGATAACCGGGTGTTGGGTGTTAGCAGTTGGGAAGATTATGTGATTCGGGAGACTGAAAGAGCCTCAACTGTCTTGTTTCCTAACGCTGGGACACTTATCATAAACTACCCCAGAGGCCCATATTATATGGATATATATATATATATATATATGTAAATGTATACGTATTCAAAGGCTGGGATCGCGAGCCTCGAGGCTGCAAGGATGGCATGGGGTTTAGGATTTCGGGTGTGGTTCAGGGTTGGGGGCTTTCGGCTGGAGAGTTTAGGCCCTAGTCCAGGCTTGTAGGGCTTAGGCATGCTTTGGTCCTGAAATGTCCAGGTGTACGCTGATCATCCCTGAATCGAACCCTTAAAAGAGCCCTAGAAGGTAGAAAGCCCTAAACCCTAAACTGTTTAAGGTGGAACTGAGCCTCCAAAAACTAAATCCAAACACCTTCAAACCTAAACCCCTAAACCCTAAACCCTAAACCCTAAACCCTAAACCCTAAACCCTAAACCCTAAACCCACCTAAACCCCTAAACCCGGAACCCTAAACACCCTAAGTCAAGTTAAAGGTAGAAGCCAAAGTTCTTCTTCCCTTCGAACCATCGGTCGTTCAGCGCCAGCTCTCCCGCCAACCGCTGCTGCGGCGACTCCTTAACTCAAAAGGGTTTCGGATTCTTTTAAGGGCTCCTATAAGGATCTTTAAGGGTGCAATTTGGGTGGTTTTGGGTATAAGGCCTAAAACCTAACAACCCACAAACAACACCTGCAGAATGCCATTTGAGATGGCACATGTTCGCCTGTCATCTCCGCGCGAATTCGACATGACAGTCTGAAGGCGCATGTTTACATTAAGGTGGTATGGTTGGCCCCGCATCTCCGACAGATTTCATGGGATGTTTCAGGAAAGACAAATCAAATCCCAAGACGCGAGCCCACACCTCGGTTGAGTTCCTGACACCCCAAAGCCCTTCGACCCCTCAAGATTTACGGCTTTGAGTTTCGCAGATTCGGGATCCGAATTCGGATTAAAATCCGCAACCCAAAAACTCTAAACCCTAAACCCTAAACCGACTCTAACCCGTATAGGTTTGGGCTTCTGTAGGGCAAGAAGCCCTGGGCTCTCAACCAGAATTGTGCGGTGCAGCCCAGGCGCATAGAGAATGTAAATAAGCCCGGCGCTGCCTCGGGGGTCCACGGTGACGTGCACCACCTTCACCAGAAAGCGCCGTATAGGATCAACTCAAGACATATTAAAGGGTATGTTCAATCATGTATTCCCCCCGAATATGACACATAACTAGTAACCGAAACTTAATAGCACCTAATTGCCGGAATGCTTTGGACGCTTTGGGAACGGCTCCAGCAGCCCTCACATGAAGATCCGGGCAGCATAGAAACCCATATCAGCTTGGGGATACCTGGATCCCCAAAAGTAGGTAGAATAACAGCCGTCTGCAGTTGTTGGCCCGTTATTTTTGCCTACTACTTGGGGGGGTTCAGGGTTTAGGATAGTATGCCTCTGAGCAGATCTTTCATCAGTTTATTTCGAGGAAGTTTTCTCACGGCTTCGGGACAGCGGGGAACCAACGCATAAGAGCCTAGTCTTTGGGAATGTGCAGGGTTTATAGTACTCAGAAAGGTTAACCCTAATTGCCCAACATGGTGAGGGCTTGAGGCTCTGAATGGTTTTTCGGACCTAAAGCCGTACTATTTCAGCACTTGGACCCTCAGGGAAAAGGCTACTTGTCTTGCGGCTGAGTTGGTTGAGCCTTGAAAATGTGCTAAGATGTCTCGCCTTGCCAAACTTCGCGCACTCGTTGTGCGTGTCTTCGCGAATGGCATCGTAGAACTTGGGGTCCTGACTGGCACACGCCATCTATTCGGAGGTTCAGTGTAGCTATAGTATGTTATGGTCTATTATATGTTATAGCAGGTTAGAATATGTTACATATATAATTATAGTGTAATATAGCATGATGCCGTTGCAGACTTAATAGCCCAGTTCTGATGTAATTAATCTTTAGGGAGCATCAGCCTGTACCCTAAGTAGAGGCACGACTTCTGCTTCTGTCAGGGTCCATGTACTCATGTACTCGTATAGTATATACTTGGGCACTCAAGTAACCATCTTTCTCGGGGCTACATTGAGGCCGAAGTATATACCATACCTTAAGGACGAAGTGAAGCTTGAAAGGTTTTAGGTTCATGGTTCATAAGATAAGGGTCTAGGCCCTTACTTATAAGGGTCGATTGGTCTCTAAAGTACGGGCACATGGGCCCTCGGGGTCTGAATACCTTGAGCCGACAAGACAACCCAGAGGCATATGCACCGCTATGGAATGAAGTTCCCAAGACCATGATAAGGATGGTCTTTCCGGACCTAACTCCATTCTAGATGTGGACCCTTACAGACTCCAAACGCGAATCACTTAGCCCTCAACCGCTACTGGGCTGGCAAGCTTGGGCCCTCAAACTAGTAAAACGAAAGCCGAAACATAACACAGGTTCTGCATGGGTTGGAGTTTACGGTTGTGTATATGCGTGTATATGTCTGTGTGTATATATATATATATATATATATAAATGCATATACATGTCTCGATGTCTCTCTTTCTGCCATATATACACACATATAATATGCATGCTATGCACACGCACACATACCCCTGAAGCAAGCTGGACACCTCTCGTGGCCGGTCCTTTTCGAGATCGATGTCCGAGGGTGTGAACATGTTCTGCAGCAACCTTTCGTAAAGCTTCGCTGGACTCTGTAAACCTTCCCTGGACGTCGAAAGTATGTAGAATCAACGCATATGATAGCCTTGTTCAAAGGTGTTGGGCCATTCTCACACCTACTCTTGGGGGGTTTAAGTCTACCCAAAACTGACACACTCAACTCCCTGAGCCAAGAACCCTAAACCCCATAGCCTCAACCGCAAGCCCTATAGAACCCTTATCAACCCATGATAGGAACTCTTTATATGACCCCAAACCCCACTTCCCGAAACCCCTAACCCCTTAACCCTAAGCAGAGCCCTGTATAGCAGGCCCTTTACACTTAAGTCCCCCTTTAAGCCCCCCTTTAAGCCCCCTTAAGCCCCCCTTTAAGCCCCTTTAAGCCTTCCGGAAGCCCCCCTTAAGCTTCCCTTTAAGCCCCCACGCAACCCTAAACCCTAAACCAGGGGCCCCAGAGAGAAGGAAGGCCAGGAAGCAGCGTGCAGCTGGTCGACTTGGCCGGCTTCGGCACAGGGGGCCTCGTGAAAATGATTCAAATCTTCCGAAACGTTTAGGGTTCCTTGAAGGGTTCCTTTAAGAGATCTAGAAGCGATACTATAAGGGTAGTGTAGGGTTTAGGGTTTAAGGTTCGAGGATCCATAACATGATTTTAAAGTTTCGTCAAAATGCTTCAAATCTTCCAGGACGTTTCTTTGTTTAATATAGACCCCTACATAATTACCAATACTGTTGTGAGGGTTCCCTGATTAATTATACTCATACTATAGTGAATCCCGAAACCCTATTCTAATTACTGACGCCCCTATAGTATTGTTGTGGGCTCTTGTTTTGTTTAGGGTTCGGGGTTACACAAGGGTTATCGGGAGGGGCCCGAACATGATGTAAGGTGGAGAAGGGATTTTCGAGGATCTGGGAATTTCCGAAAATAGGGGACCCTAATATGGTACCCCAAATAGTAAGATCCTAATTATAAGGACCCCAAATAAGGTACCCAAATTTTCGGAAACTCCCAATTGGGTGTTGCAAGGTTCAGGTGTTTTGCCCAAGGGTTCCTAGTGCACTCATTGAGCTACTAAGACCTTCCAAAATCCCTTAATTAAGGAATATACCTTAATTCAAAAGAGGGATCCTATTATAATTTAAGGTATATTCGTATATTCCTTAATTAAGGGGTTTTGGAAGGTCTGGGTACTAAGGGGTTCCAGGTCAGCCTGAAGGGCACTGGGGTGTTCTGGAGCAGCGCCTGGTTCAAAGCACTGCCTCTAAACCACCCAGGGGCCCCAAAGTAGTTCCTTTTTGGAGTTACCCTATGGGATTCTATATATGAACCCCAAAAAGGAACTACTTTGGGGCCTTTGGGCAGATTTATGAGACCTCTTAACTCCTACTGTCGGGGGTTGTGGGTTTGCGGTTTCGCGGTTCCTGCATTGGATGACTTACATAGCACGTTTGTGAAGCAAAATGCTGACACTCGGCAGCCCCGCCAGGAGCTGCAGGAGGCCTGGGTCCAAGAAGATCTGACGAAAAAGCTCGTACGCGAAATCCAAACCTTACGAACACAAACCCTAAACCGTAAATCCTACATGCTAAATTCAAAGTGCAATGCCAAGCCCTCATATAACTAAGCAAAAAACCATAGCAATCGTAGAGAACCCTAAACCCCAAGACCCTAAACCCCAAACCCTAAGCCTAAACCCTAAAACCCTATAAACCCCAAACCCTGAACCCCAATCCCTAAACCCCAATCCCTAAACCCCAAATGGAAACCCCACAAACCGAGCCTTACCATCCTACACTAAGCCAAGCCAGGGTGCATGGAGCTGACGTCTGTCATGACAGTCGGCTCCGAATTCTCCCCAGTGGGTGCTGAGAGGCCAACCACGGTGGGCACTTTGGAACCTGCCCAAATACTTGGGTTTGGGGTTTTAGGGTTTAGGGGTAGCTGCATGTTGGAACCTGCATTGGAGGTATATTTTCCGAAACATATGATAAGGAGCCCCCAAAATAGTATAGGTAATTATCAAGGCCCCTCCATTGAATAAGAACTTGGTTAAGTATCGTATACGACCTCTATAAGGTTAAAATAGGGCTCAAGCAGGCTCGGGCTCATCAGGGTATCTATGTGCTGCTCATACAAGTCTCATTCATATCCGTCATATCCAGCATGGCTTGACAGGGCTTCAGTCAGGGGTTTACCAGCCGATAAGTAAAAGCATAACGGTAAGACAACTCCACATGGAGGACTTATAAATTGAGGGCACTGCAGAAACTCAACCCTCTCGGGACCATAAGATTGCTCCTATCAACAATCTCTTCATCTGGTTCTGAACTCTGGGTAAAGTCTAGGGCTTATTTTGTCCCGTGGGAAGCTCCAGGCACGCACAAGACCGGGTCTCACACCTTCAGGCACTACCTGAACGCTATAAAGCCTGCCTGATCTCCTTACATACGGCACCGAGAGGCTGGGTTGCAGGGGTCTTAAGGTTAAGAGCCCAAAGACATGCGGCCCTGAGCTGCATTGAAGTGCCCCCGTAATTTAACTGCCTCGCGATGTAAAGGCGGTAAGGGCTCTACCGAAGCTGTTGCAACAAGCCCGAAGACTAGAGTTGCTACTTATTGAGAACCCTGTATAACGTCCGTTAGCCATGCGAACGTTATCTCAACCCTGAAGCTCATCCGGTTTATGGAATCCCAGATGGAACCCTGCAAGGAATCCAAATAACGGAGCTGCCTGAGTGCTTTTCCATCAGCTTCTTCATGATGTCGATACGGTCGTGGACATTCGAGGGACCAGAACCGGTGGCGCCAAAATCACTATCCTCAGTCTTCTGGCTAAGACGAAAATGGGAGACCCAAATCTTGACAGGATTTAAGGCATACGGATCGCTGACATGGAGATGATATACGGGATGGGTTCTAAAAGGGCTTGAGGATTGTAGGCTGGGACTCAAGACGAACTGGCTCTTAGAAGTTGCATATGGGCTTAACTTACTACCCCAATAAGCCACAAAAATAGAAGGTTAAACTTTCCGATTCCTACTAAACGAATCACAGAAACCCAAAAAAGTTTAAAGGTTGGGTATTGGGGGATTTGGCGATCTAAGATATAGAAGCCTGAAAAGTTAGACCATGTGCTTTGAGTTTCCGACACAAACTGATATGAGCCTTTTTTGCAGGAAGGGAGCTTGCGAAAGCTGGGGACCCTAAAATGGTACCCTAAATAGTAGGATCCTGATTGTAAGGATCCCGAAATAAGGTACCGATCCCCAAATAAGGTAACCCCCCCAATTTTCGGAAACTCTCATATTAGGGGGCTTTGGCTCAGGATGCACTTGGAGGGTCGGGGGACTTAGTAAGTAGGTGGTAAGAAGACTTATAAGTACCCTAGAGGGGACCCTAATCGGGGTTATGGTACTTATAAGTCCTTAAAGTAACCAGTTACTAAGTCCCCTGACCCTCCAAGATAGGACTGACTTATAAAATTCCTGAAACTTGAAGATGACATTCAGGACAATCCCAAAACCCAAAACCCTCAAACCCCCAAAACCTCCTTAAAGTAACCAGTTACTCAGGCGAGTGGCGGTCTTAATATCCAGCGGCTTTGGCTTCGGCGGCTCCGGCACGGAATCGCTCTTCGCAGCGACGGAGAGCATGGTGATCCTGGTGTGCTTTCTTGGAGGTTCATGGCTGGTTATAAGTGGGGTTATAAGTGGGATAACTATAGTTATAAGTTATAAACCATAATTAGGGGACTGGTGATCCTGGTGTGCTTTGCAGTTCCCTAGGGCTCTTAGGACCCACATTTTAAGGCTTTTGGGCCCAAAGACCATACCATATAAGGCTTTTGGGCCATCTTGAGGTTGTGATCCTGGTCTGGGCGGTTGTCAGAATTGGGGTCCCTTTTTTGGTACCTTAAATACTAGGTTCCGTAATAAAATAATGAACCCAAAACTGCCCTGGTGTGCTTTACAGTTCAGAGGTTAGGAAGAAGCCTTGTAAACGCAGGGCTTGGGGATTAGGGTTTGGAGTTTAGGATTTTGGATTAAGGGTTCGGGCATATACACCGTCCTGTGAACCTCGAAGCCTACAAACCCTAAACCCTGAACCCTAAACCTCGAACCCTAGAACAAACCCAAAGCTTGGAAACGCAAGCCTTTGGGAAAGTGGCGCAGGCCACAGATCCCCCAGCCCTCAGCGCCGCTGCCTCATCCCTAAATCCTCATTCCTCAGCCTAAACCTTCAACCCTGAACCTAGAATCCACTACATCAACCTATCCCTGGTCCACCAACGGGTATAAATATGCAACTAGACTCAGAATCAGTGCCGTTAGGGTACTTACAACCTTACTTACTAAGTCCCTATAGATCCCTTATAGGACCCTTTACGCAGCCCCCCTAAGGATGCCTTTAAGGAGCCCGAACGCCCCTGATCCTCCAAGTGATGCAGCAACCGAAACCCCCTAGCCACCACGCCCTGGCTCCTACTGTTGATGATATAAATCCTGCACTACCTTAAGGACCCGAAACTATGGGGATTATGGTATATTCCTATTATGGGGTAATGCAGTATTTATATCCCTAAACCCTAAAACCCTACAGATCCCCTAAAGGAATCCCTTGAAGGTAGGGGTATATTCCCTAACTATGGGTCATGCAGGATTTGTATCATCAGCCGTAACTCATCGATAAGGCCTGGCCCTGATTCCGAAAGGTTTGGGGGCTTGGGGTTCATAGGGGTTTAAGGTTTGGGATTTAGGGTTTAGGGCTTACCGGGTTTAGGGTTTAGGGTCCTCAAGGCTTTATAGGGTTTAGGGTTTCGGGGTTTAGTGCTTTAAGGTTTGGGAGATGTAGGGTTTAGGGTTTATAGGGTGTAGGGTTTACCCAGACCACCGGGAGGATCTAGAAAGTAGATCCCCTAATTTGGGGCCCTAGACTACCAAGCGTACTTTATAGGAACCCCCATTAAGGGATCTACTTTTTGGATCCTCCCGGGGGTCTGGGTATGGGCTTTATGGGTTTCAGGGTTTTAGGCGCTAATTCAGGCCGGCAGTCTGGAGCTCTTGCCCGACGAGCTGGAAGCCCTGCATGGATGCCTCGGCACCCGGAGACTCCCAAAAGCCCCTTAATTAAGGAATATACCCTTTAAGGGCTCCTTAAAGGGCTCTATAAGGGGATTAAGGAGTATACCTTTAAGGGCTCCTTAAAGGGACCATAAGGGCTCTATAAGGGGATTAAGGAATATACCTCCAAGGGCCCCTTAAAGGGATCTATAAGGGCTCTAAGGGGATTAAGGAACATACCTTAAATCATACTAGGATTCCAAGTAAGATTTAAGGTATAGTATATTCCTTAATTAAGAGGTGTTGGAGGCTCTGGGTACAGATCGCCGTGTGGACCTATGGGTGCTTTGTGGAGATATCGGGTACTGACACACATACGTATGTATGTTTAAGTACGCATTCATATCTTCATAGTCTGTGTGTGTATGTGTGTGTATGTGTGTGTATATGTATGTATGTATGTATGTATGTATCTGTGTATGTATGTATGTATGTACGTATGTACGTATGTTTGTATGTATGTATGTATGTATGTACGCAATTATGTATGTACATATACACACACGCATAGATGTGTGTATATGTACATATGTGCATATCAGGTGTATACATGTATACATATATACACATGAATAAATAACGGCGAGATACCGTGCTTATACATAATCATGTATATGCACATATAGATACACATAAAGACCCTACATGCAACAGCCCCATGTGGCTTCTATTACACATCGTTTTGAACGACTACCTCATACAAACACTTCAGGGTCTATGACGTATTGTGTTGCAGCTACCCTCAATTACTGAGGCCGCATCAGGACCAAAACCATGGCTGAAACGTTTCAAACCAAAGAACAGACCAGTTTAAAGTTCAGGGTTCAGCTGTAACTAAACTCGCAACCCAGCGTCCATGGCATCCTGTGCATCATTGTGGTTCTTGAAGGTGATCCAGCACTCACCAGTACCCATCCTCAGCTCAGGACACGGTTCAGGGCTACCTGCCGGAGGGTGTAGGTTTAGTTTTGAGGTTAAGGGTTTAAGGTTTGAGGGCCAGTGTCTGGCTTAGGGTTTCCGGAATTTCGATGTTTGTTGTCTTTTTTGTTGACTGAACCCGCGACCTGAGCGACATCCGAAAGCTTCAAGACACAAATCTGAACACTGAATCCTATCCGAGCAGATGATTTGGCTCCAAAGGTGGGATGAAGGTAGGTGGGGTAAGCCTTGATATAAGGCATCCTTCATTCTACCCACCGTTACAACACCCTTCGTTGCCCCTGCAGACACTGAGAATACGAATAATCACCGTAACAGTAATCACGATACTAATAATCATAGTAATTAATAGCTACAGCAATATCTGTAGCAATAGAAGTAATGGTGATCATACTAATAACGGAACTACCCATTCGCCAAGCAAGCGGCTGGAAGTCCTCGAACTCGCCGAAAGGCTTGAAGATGCCTCGCATGTCATCTTCCCGCACCACCGGGCGGAGATTCTTGATATGAAGCCTGGGCAGCACTGAAGGGTTGAGGGTTTACGATTCAGGGGTTTAGGGTTGAGGGTTCAGTTTCCGTCAGGCCACTGGATTGTAAAAGCGTGTTTTACATGTGGTTTAGGTTTGTGACAGGAAGCCTGGGCTTTACTTGGAGAATCATGGGACGTGGTAGTTTAGAGCTTCTGCAAAAAAATGCTGGTGTCCTACCAGAAGCTGAGGGCTAGAGCCCTCAACCCTCAAGAAACAGCTTGTCGAGGGCCAGGAAAGATCCTTCAGCACCAAGACTAGGATACCCAGTAACCTAAGAATAAAAAGGCCTCTCTTTTTGGTATTGGGTAACTTTATTAGGAACCTAGGACTACAAAAAAGGAAATAAGGGTACTACTGGGCATCCTAGTCTTGGAGAGATACACCACAAATTCAACTGTAAACTCTAAACTTGAACCCTAAACCCGACACCCGAAACCCTAGAGCCGGGGTGCTTTCTCTTGTCCGGTTGTGCATCTGCCGACTTCGTCAATCCGCTAAGGACCTGCTGAGTGAACTGTTGCCGGGTCAGCGTCCTCTTCGGACCTCCAGGGGTTTCTGGGCTTACTTGGAAGGGCAGGGGACTTAGTAAGTAGGTTATAAGTAGAGTTATAAGTACCCTAAATGGAGTTACCCCAATTATAACCCTACTTATAACCTACTTACTAAGTCCCCTGCCCTTCCAAGTAGGAGCGCGAAAGGCTTTGTGGGCTGTGGCTTCTGCTCTTTCGGATTCGGGTGCTAAACTCATCATCTCCTGAGCTCTTGCTCAGGCTTTTAGGGAGGCATCGTATTCTACTATAGATCCCTGTGTACTGTAAACTCAAAATCCTACGAAGAGCCCGGTCTCTGAATCTGCACCCCCATCAAGCTCAGAACGCCACAAAGTCTTGGCTGACTTCTGAACCCCTCCTACAAGTTAAACTTTTGGCCTCCTTATTCTAGTTCATATAGAAACCCAAAAAGTTAAAGTCTAAAGGGCCAACCAGAAGAACGCCACAAAGTGTCGGAGGAGCAGAGCTCATGAACACAAAAACCCAGGCTCCTCCACCTCCAACTTCCGTCTGTTTCAGTTCATGTGTTCGCGTTTATGTGTGTTTCGGCTTAAGACTCTGACTACTTGGCGCTTTGACGGCTTGGAGCTTCGAGTTTCAGAGCTCCCCATGCCCTTCTGACCCTCACGCGCCTGGATCCTTCTTTGGAACCTGCATGTCCTGGGTTTCTGGCGCTCAGGCTGCAGCACAAGCAGCAGTTCAAACCAAACCCTAAGGGTCCATGTACCGAAATAGTATATACATTGGCCTTAAAGTAGTCCCTATATAGATACATTGGGCCCAAAGTATATGCTATTTGGGCACATGGACCCTTAGGGAAACAACCACAAGTATACTGTGCTGCAAAACAAGGGTTCACGTGCCCAAAACATAAGGCATTACATACTAATTAGGATACATCCACTCCGAGCACACAGGTGTATTCGGTATCTGGAACCTAAACCGTGCCAAGCCCTACTATTCTGGCACCACGGACCCTCCAACATCTACACTAACCACCCGAGACAAACCAGGCGTCTGCAAGCAAACTACACAGAACCCCATATGAAACCTTCAGCACTCCCATAGGAACCCTCTGACAAGAACCAGGACAACACTATACGAACCCTAAAAGAGCTGCAAAAAGGTAGACCAGGGTCGGCCCTCTTGGTGGTCACGGGTGTGCCCAGGATCTCGTTGAACGGAGGTTGCAGGGCAATAGCTCTTGCCACCGGCTCCTCTTGGGAGTACTCGATGATGGCCTCGCTCCAGATGTAGGGCATGAGGTGGGGTTTGGGGAACGGGTTTAGGGTACCAAACACTGTCTTCCTGCTGAAGTTCCGGAAGCGTAAGTTGCATGAACTCCAAGTGCAGCTCAGTGGCAACACCTGTAGGTTCATTCTTTCGGTTGTATATCATCTGCAGGTCTTCGATGAAGCCGCACTTGCTGTAGTGCTTGAACAGAATCTTCCTGGGTCACACGCGGCAACAAGTTTGCAGGCTGAAGCGTTGAATTCCAGAGCTCTTGATACAACGAAGTGCCGAATTCTACAGCTGGCCTTTTGCACCTGGTACCTGTGTGCTGAGGCCAGTTGACAAGTCTTCACCTACCAATCCGAGCATCTCATCGGCACCGAAGGGGATACCGGTGATGACGATGGTGCGGTCCACAATGCCTACTTTGTCGGTGAAGCCGCCCGTCTGCGGTAAGACCCTGCCACCCAAGCCTCAGGATCGGATCTTTGAGTTTAGGGTTTACGGTTTCGGGACATTAGTTTGAAGGCGTCGAAGGAAAAGACCCGACGTCACAAAAGGGTAGGGTTTACCCCAACACACTATGCTCTGAACGTGTCCAATAGACGCTGCCCTGCTGTCTCGGTGCACCCGAAGGCAGCCTGTGAAAGGCCTTGCAAGTTCAACCCCTAGACCTTAGGTACTGCCCCCATACAGTAAGAGTCTATAAGAAGGCTACTACTAAGGTCCTAATATATCTATACTATGAATACAGTATTATTCAACTATTTCTGAGTGGCGACCGTACCCAACCTAGACCCCAGATCCCCCGAAAAAAACCCGGACCCGAAACTGCTGCTAAGAAGAAGCCTTTATATTCCAAGGATTCGGCGTTGAGTACAATGGTTTGGGAGTCCCTGTAGCTCCAACTACAGGGGCCGCAAATGATTGAATATTTTAGAGTAGTGCTTTCAATGCGGTTTGGGTATCTTAGACTACACTGGGTCCTGAACACGGAGAAGTTAACTTGATAAATCTTCCGACGCCGAAAGAATACACCCTTAACGCTAAAACCCTGTAACCCTAAGCCCTAAACCCTACAAGCCCAAAAACAAACAAGCCCTTATAACTTGTACCAGGAAGCGAAGCGATCCACGTCTGGGAGGTGATCGGGAGCGATCGGAGCTAGATGAGTCCCCTCCTGCCAAGGGAGTAAAAAGCTACAATAGGCTCCGACAAAATGGTAAGCCCCCATGTCATCATGAAAGGCTAGTGCTTCGTCGCGGAATTGTACACTCTTTAGGGTCTTTAAGAACTGAGTTCAGAGTTGAAGACTCTACTATGTGCGAGAAGCCTGACACAGATGTGACCCTAAGCCAGAAACCATTGAGACTATCAATATTGGGAGCGTCAGCTGGACCCCCACCCTCAGGCTCAAAAGAGCCCAGCCGCCTCAAAGTAGCATGGTCTTCGGGCATACAAAGCTCAAAGCTATGAGTCCTTTAAACCTTAGGGTCCGGCTCCCGGCGCAGATTTACAAGCCCATGGGACTTGGTGTTAGCAACTAGGGTTATAAACAAGGTAACCAGGCGTGTTATCAGTTGTGTCCCTACTTCCAAGTACTTGCGGCTGCTCTTACTCAACCTCCAAGTATGGCATTCGAAATGTCTTCCAACCTTTCGATGTCCAAGCCACAAGCCGTGAACTCTGAGACTCAACACTAAGCCCAACCTGGATCCTCTAAACCGGGTTCCTGATTATGTATGGTTCTTGAGATAAGTCCCAAAAACCATCCGAATGGTTTTTATGTCATAAAAGAATCCCCGCCGTTTGGGCACGCGGATCCTGAGAGCCTGTGAAACCCTACAAAACCTGACATGACCAAACACGACCTCCTGTAGCATCGCGCACCCCTAAGCCCTCATGTAGGAGCCTAACTCCTTTAATTAAAGAAAAATATACCACAAAATCCTGTTCCAATAATTCAGGCCCCTCTAATATATACTCCCTATACACCCCTGACAGACCCTCTTTAAGGTACCCTTTAAAGGGAACCCTACTCGTAATATGAAGGCCCCTATATCAAGCTTGAAAACAACCGGACGTCTGGGGATCCCCGCCTTTCACCTTCCTTTTTCGCTTGTGCTGCCTCTTCTTGACCTGAGATGCCCAAAGGGTCCTAGTTTAGATTTTTTTGAGCTCTTTTTCCACGTGGCTAGTTTTGGGGTTTACGCTTTAAGGTTTTTTTTGCTAGTGCCCGGCGCGCTTTTCCACAGCGCGCTTCGGCGCTCGCTCCAAGGAACCCTTCAGGTCTCGATATATGGCTCGTAGACTCGGTGTGGTCCTAGACTTCCTTTACCAGGGTTCTGTGTCCAACGGCTCGGGAAATGCCTCTGCGTTGTGGTCTCTATCCAGTAGTACATTTTCATCCCTCTGCGCCTGCCGGTTAGAACTATTTTGTCCTTGTAAGTAGGCTGAACTGAAGACGGTGCTGTAGTAAGGATCAGAAACACCACTATGGAAGAGGGCTTCGATCATCTTAGCTTGTTCCCCAGACTACGTCGTTCGGTATGCGGGAGTAATCAGAAGTTGTGATGTTGACGATTCTCCGTAAGAATCTCGAGTAGTATGCGTCGATTCTGGCGGCTTGCTTGTCCGTGAGGGCTCGAGTATCCAGGCCGTAGTTTAGCGTCGGGATAAAGACTGACTGGAACATACGAAATTTGGTCTTTCATGGCAGCGAGCTGTTCCAAACTAATCTTAGTTTCTTGTAGTTTGTTTTCGAAAGGTTTTTCCTAAGTTATCAGGGAACCCAAGTACTTAATTTGCGTTGTGGTCGGAATTGGCTCGCCGTCAGCAAAGTAGATCTTCTGCAGTGATCGTCTGGGTGGTTCAAGGTCTACCTAGACCCCAAAAGTAGGTAAAACAATGGCCCAAAACCTATAAAAGGCAATTATTATACATACTTTTGGGACCCAATCCGTTTAGGAGTTGGGGCTGAGGCTTCCTTCGTAATCAAATGTTCTTGCCATGTTGGGGCTCTATAACCCTAAGGCTCAAAATGGCCCAAAAGCCGTATATAGTATGGTCTTTTCGGCCCAAAACCCTTAATATGTGAGTCCATAGAGCCTTAGGGTAAGGGCTACTAAAAGGGTCGAAGAATACGGTTCAGCAGTTTAGGATTTGTGTTTTAGGCGCTTTGGGGTCATAGAGCTTGAGCCCTGAAGGAACACAAAGAAAACACTGGATCGCCACGAGACGGTCCTAACCGCCTGCGCGAAGAGACGGTCCAGCTCAAAGAAGGAGATGTCCGTCAGATCGAAGACGCTCCCAGTCATTGTGTGTCAGGTCGGCTATTGCAGGAATGCTCTGAGGTGTAGCTAAGCCAACAGCAGGACTGCGCGTCAACACTAAACTATCTAACTATATACTCCTTGGTCACACTTTGCTGAAACATGGGTACTGCCTCAGACCCATGAGAATTCCAAGCCGTGCAATCTAGGCGTAAAGCTTCAGTCAGCTTGGATCTCAAGCGTAGTCAACTTATTCTGCACACGAAAGTTTCAGCAAGCTTCAATTGCGATGCATACTGTAAACCCTGAGCCCTGAGCCCTAAACCGATATCTTACAAAGGCGAAGAATCGAAGGATCCGTCTGAGCCACATGTTGCAGACACAAAGATTGGCGGCTTTGGAGAACATGGGTTTGGGTGTTTTCCTTCGACAACAAAGGCCGGCAGGGTCTACGGTTTGGGACTTTGTACGACGTATTTGGGGGAACAGAGGTTTGGGTATGATTGCAGATCGGATCTGGCCGAAAAAGTGCCTTGTGCTGCCGTGAACTGCTAAGACTCACAGCAAGTAGCTAAGCTTGGAGTTTGGGGTTTTGGAGAACTTAAAGATGCGTCCAAACGTTTGTAGAACAGAGGTTCGGGCATGATTGCAGATCGAATCTGCCTGGGAAATACGTTGGGCTGCCTTGTCCCGCTTATTCCTCACAGCAAGTATTGTAGATGCTGCGCCGTCTTTCGGGATCTGTGGCAGTTTAGATCTGCACGATCATGGTTGACTTCTTAAGCTCTCGACCTAAACCTCAAATCCCTAAACCGTAAACCCCAAACGGGTTGACGGCTTGTGCTCCTGGGCTCGAGGGAGTCAGTTTGGAGTCTCGGATGAAGTGTCGAAGCCGGCACAGAGGTGTGCCAGTCTTGGCCTGTTAATACAGGGGCCTTAGCAAATAGAATAATAGGGTTTTGGGGGTCCAGTATAGTGTACTTTGAAAAAGGAACCCCACAAATAGCATTGGTAATTATGTACGCCCCTAATAGAACCCTGAACCCTCAGTGGCAGTCTTGGCCTGTTGATCCAACGTTCTCCGTTTCGTTCTCGTCCTCGCCTTCGTTGCATCAAGCTGAAAATCGAGTTTAACCTACCCCCTCCAGGTCCGAGAACTCATCATATAAGGGCTTTCATCAGTAGACCAGGGTTTGGGGGTATACTATACTATAATCATAACAGAGAACCCCCTCCAACAGTATAGGTAATTGTTTAGGCCCCTATCATATTTCAAGAAACCGAGGTCCAGGATGAGTGCGGAGCAAACCTCAAAAGTCGCATGATCTTGGACAACACTGATCTCGAAAACTCATCTTCCAAGTGCTCAAGTATCATATACTCACCGACAACACTAACCGACCTACATTACTGCGATCCTCAATCCCTAATTACTGGATCCTGTGGATCCTTAAACCCTATGTAAAGCTGTTCTCTCTCCTTCAATAACCGGGCCCAAAAAAGTTTAAACTTTCTAAGATAGACCAAATGTATAAGGCTAAAAAGTTTGAAGTTCCCCCAGTGGCTATCTAAGTGTTTAAGAACTCCGATAGAACCCTGAGCTTTGGACCCCAAGGGATCCGGCCTCTACCACCCTCTCCCAGCATCGCACAGAAGTCGCACAGCCAAGATAGGAGGTGCCTGGCAAATGGCGAGTGTGTGAAAATTGGTTGTTTGTTTAGAGCTTTTCTTTCTGCGGCTTACAGGGTTTAGGGTTCAAGGTCTAGGTCTTGGATTTGCAATGATCTCGCTGCATCAGTGAAAGTGATGCAACACAGATGTATCGAGTGCAGCGCTCAGAAGGTCATCTCACACAAATATCGCACTAATGACAAGACTCCAAGAAAACCGTACAGAAGTCCGCAAGATAAGGTCCCACGCTTTGACAACCCTAATTACAGGACTTAGTAAGCGGGTTCCGAGCAGAGTTTGAAATTGGATAGAGACCTATGAAGCCCTGGAAGGTCTTTATGCCCCAGAGGCTCCATATAGACTGCCAGTATGGAATATGGAATTAGGCCCCAAAAGACCATGCCTATCATGGCTTTAGGGACCTAATTCCATAGTACTATACAGAAGTAAATAAATAAATAAACAAATGTAGGAAACGTATATATATATATATATATAAAATATATATATACACACATACAATGAAGCCTCATGAAGCCTCTAGGTATTGCATGAGTCGACAATAACAACACGCACAACCCCGCCTGGCCTCTTCCTACCTGAAGGCCACGGACGTGAGACCTTGAAGACCTCATTCGCGGGCTCGATTTTTCAGGGATTCGGTCTAGGGCGTAGGGTTGAGGAGTTCAGCTAGGACGTTTTTTTGTCTTTCACGTGTCGTTAACACGTGACCATGTGTTAACCGTGTCTCTGAGATGTTGTAGGTTTTGATAGGGTTGCATACTGTCTCGGAATCTAGACCCAAGAGTACCCTAGGAATAAAAAAGGTGCCCTTTTTGGTTTAAAGGGGGTCATAAGGGAACCTAAACCCCCCAAAAAGGGAATAAGGGCCTACTCTGGGTCCTAGGAATTGTTAAGAAGTTAGATGCCCCTTGCCTGAGAGGCACCGTCCGAAAATCGTTGTGGAAATCTTGAACCCGATGCCCAAAGCCTAAACAGCTACTTGGAGGGTCGGGGGACTTAGTAACATAAGGGGGTTCCTTTAAAGGGGTCCTTTAAAGGGATCTATAGGGATTCTATAAGGGTATAGGGTTTAGGGTTTAGGGGGACTTAGCAATAAGTACCACAACCCCAATTAGGGTCCCCTTTAGGATGCCTATAAGTCTACTTACTACCTACTTACGAAGTCCCCCGACCCTCCAAGTAGGAGTCTGGGTGCCTGAGCCCTTAGACTGTGCCCCTAAACCTCATAAACACTAAACCCAGACTTAGGTGTCTGCACAGTGGAAACTGTATTTAGGCTCCAGCCAACAGCAGTTGGGTGTCGTAGGTAGTCACCCTTAGTGCCAGAACCCTGAAGCCTAGTTAATCACCCAAACCCCTAATTAAATCATAAACCCTAAACCGTCAATCAAGTTACAAACCCTATAATAAACCGATAAAGCCTAAACCCCAACTAACTTGCATCCTTAACCCTCTAAACCCTATCGTCTGAGATGCTACTGGAATCCGGCAAGGAAGAGCTCGGGCCCCATACAGTGGAAGCCCAACACTTGGAAACCCAATAGCCTCAATCCTTACTCAGAGGGTCCAAGTACTCCCCATTATAGCACTTTAGGGCCTTATTATGTACCAAAACCATAAACAGGGACTACCTGGACCCTTAAAGTTAAGAGTAATGTATAAGGAATCCCAGCACTACTTGGCCTTCATCCGGTTTCCAACTTTATGGGGTTTACTGTAGGGCACAAGTCGCCCAAGCGTCGCGCAGTCACAGCACGGTCCGCAAAGAAATGGAGAAGCCTGGGTTTAGGGTTTAGTGGTTTCGGGGTTTAAGAATTTAGGATGGTTTACGGATTGGGGGTTTACCCCAAACCCTAAACCCTGAACCCCTGAACCCTAAACCGTTTAGGGTCTAGGGCAATAAAGCTCGAAGGACTCCTAGCTTTGGGGGTTGTCGGTCTCGGGCCCAAGGCCCTAAGAGTTCCTGTGATCATCTATAGGGTTTAGGGTTTAGGGGTTTAGGGTTTAGGGTTTAGGGTTAGTATATAAGTAATTCTGTAAAATAGGATCACTTTGAAGGTCCTTGTTATTGGGTTGCCGTACTATTTTCGGGATGTGAAAAGCGACCCTAATTTGAAGAATTCATATACGTTGGCCTGAGAGTCGCGCCTGTTTAGGTACGCTAAGGGCCAAGTACATACTATATGGGCACATGGACTCTGAAGGTTTCGGATTTAGGATGACGGAGGTTGTGCTAGTCATGCTAGAGGGTTCAAACATGAATATATGCCCAGATTTTTGCGGCAGACGTATACCGTCCAAGGTCCATCAAGCAAGATGACATTCGGGCAAAGGAACAGAATCGAATGGGCCGTGCTAAAGGGTTTACAACAATTTACAAGGACGGGTTTGGGGTCGACTATTTCGCACAGTTGTGTGCCTCTGTCTGACTACACAACGGTGCTTTCTGAAGCCTGGCTTGCAAAGAAGCAGCTCCTACAACAGCCCACAGGGCAGGGCTTGAAATCAGCGACGGGGGTGGACACCCAAAACCCCCCAATCAGAAACCTGACGCCATTAACCTCAACCTCTGCCCCCCAAACCTTCTATAACTTGTACACACCCTCCATCATGAAATCCGCTTGGAGTCCTAAGTCAAAAAAAGCTCGGGAACAGAAAAACACGAAACACACAAGCACTACACACACAAAAATGTGAAAACAGCACCGGCAAAAAACACACATACACGAACACAGCAAACTCACAAACCCAAAACAGAAAAGACACAACAAACACATGAAAACAACGGAGGTCGGAAGCTTGGGAACTGACTTGGGGCCGGCTTCAGACGGCGGCCGGGGTAGGCAAAGCCTGGCAGAGACGAGGGTTCGTTACTTGGAGGGTCGGGGGACTTAGTAAGTAGGTAGTAAGTAGACTTATAAGCACCCTAAAAGGGACCCTAATTGGGGTTATGGTACTTATAACTTCGTAAAATAACCAGTTGCTAAGTCCCCCGACCCTCCAAGTAGTCTTTTTCTTGGATTCTGTCAGTTGAGCCGGGTTTCGTTAAGTCTCCCGATCGATTTTGTGGGGCTCCTGTACTTGGAAGGGCAGGGGACTTAGTAAGTAGGCCATAAGTAGAGTTATAAGTACCCTAAATGGAGTTACGCCAACTATAACCCTACTTATAACCTACTTACTAAGTCCCCTGCCCTTCCAAGTACAAAGTATAGGAGTCTTGGAAGATTCTTCGAGGTCCAGAAACGGGCTCTCCAAGTTTGGGAACATCCACAACGGCTTGCAGCTTTAAGGTCTGGGCTCTACAGTTGAAGCTGAGTGTGATCTTCTGGGTTTTAACTATTTTTTTTGGA